ATATTGAAAAATCCCAAAACTGAAATATCGAAAAACTGAAAAATGAAACAAAAACTAAAAAATGGAAAACATGAAAAATCCGAAAACTGAAATATCCAAAAACTGAGAACCTAAAAAGTCGAATTGAGCAATAGAAAAATCCAAAGAGTGAAGTCGAAAAATTGAAACCTTAAAAAAATTTAAAAATATAAAGTCAAAAACCTGAAAAATCGAAAAATTAAAGAATTGAAGAACAGGAATATCGAAACCCTCGAAAGTCAAGAAATGGGATAATCAAAACATCGATTAATTGAAAAATCCAAAAATTGACAGTTTATAAATATCAAATTTGAAAAATTGAAAAACAGAAAATCTAAAAGCGGGAAGTCGAAAAATCTATTGATTAAGAAATCAAAACATTTGAAAAATTCGAAAACTTGAAAAACTGAAATATCGAAGAGCTGAAATGAAAAATCTAAAATTTTAAAAATTAAAAAATCTATAATCAAAAATTTGAAAATCGAAAAATTGAAAAATCGAAAAAGTAAAAAAATCGACACATCGAAAAATCCAGGAGTCAAAAATCGAGAAGTCGAAGAATCGAAATATTGAAAAATCCCAAAACTAAAATATCGAAAAACCGAAAAATGAAAGAAAAACTAAAAATGGGAAACTAAATCGGGAAATCAAAACATTGAAAAATCGAAAAATTTAAAACGACAATTGAAAACAGAAAATCTAAAACCGGGAAGTCGAAAAATCGAAAGATTAAGCAATCGAAAAATTGAAAAATCAAAAAAGTTGAAAAATCGACACATCGAAAACTCCAGAAGCCAAAAATCGAAAAGTCAAAGAATCAAAATATTGAAAAATGGAAAACCTGAAAAATCCGAAAACTTAAATATCCAAAAACTCAGAACCTAAAAAGTCGAAAAATTGAGCAATAGAAAAATCCAAAAAGTGAAGTCGAAAAATAGAAACGTTAAAAAATCGAAAACCTGAAAAATCAAAAAATTAAGGAATTGAAAAATATGAAAATCGAAGCACTCGAAGGTCAAGAAATGGGCAAATCAAAACATCGATTAATTGAAAAATCGGAAAATTGAGAGTTTATAAAAGTCAAATTTGAAAAATTAAAAAATCGAAAATTTGACAAAATGACAATTGAAAAACAGAAAATCTAAAACCGGGAAGTCTAAAAAAATCGACACTTTGAAAAATCCAGAAGTAAATCGAAAAGTCGAATAATCGAAATACTGAAAAAGTGAAAAATCTGAAACATTGGAAAATTGAGAAATTGAAAAATTGAAAATCGAGAAATTGAAAAATGGAAGAACTGAAAAAACTAAAAACTTAAAAATTCAGAAATTGGGAAATTATAATATTGAAAAAATGAGAAATCAAACAGTCAAAAAAGTGAAAAACCTTAAAAAATCAAAAAAACTGAAAATTAAAAACCTAAAAAGCTTCAAAATTGAAGAATTGAAGAAACGAAAAAACGAAAAATTGAAAGAAATTGAGAAATAATGGTAAAATCGAAAAATTGAGCAATAAATAAACTGAAAAGTCCCAAAACTGAAATATCTAAAATTGAAAAATTAAAGAAAAACTGACGTATAGAAAAACTGAAAAACAACAAAAACTGAGAAATCGAAATATCAAAAAAGTGAAGTAAAACAACCGAAATCTTCAAAAAAAATCGAAAAATTGAAAAATCAAAAACCTGAAAATTCGAAAAAGTGAAAAATCCAGAAACCAAAAGGTCGGAAAATTGAAAATTTAAAGAATCAAATCTGAAATTGAAAATCAAAAACCAAAAAACTGAAAAATCGAAAAAACGAAAAGTTGAAAAATTTAAGACTAGAAATATCGAAAAATCCCAAAGATAAAACACCGAAAAATTGAAAAATTTAGAAATTGAAAATCAAAAACCTGAAAAATCGAAAAATCAAAATTCAAAAAACTGAAAAATAGACAAATCGAGAAATCCAAAAAAACAGAAAGTTAAAAAATTGAAGAAATATTGAAAAATCCAGACAGCGGAAGGTCGAAAAATTGAAAATTTAAAGAATCAAATCAAAAATTGGAAATCAAAATCCTGAAAAATCGAAACATTAAAAATCAAAAAACTGAAAAATCGAGAAATCGAAAAACGGAAAATTGAAAAATTGAAGAATAGAAAAATTGAAAAATCCCAAAGCTGAAACACCGAATAATTGAAAAATTCCGAAATTGAAAATCAAAAACCTGAAAAATCGAAACATCAAAAATCAAAAAACTGAAAAATAGGCAAATCGAGAAATCCAAAAAACAGAAAGTTGAAAAATTGAAGAAATATTGAAAAATCCAGACAGCGGAAGGTCGAAAAATTGAAAATTTAAAGAATCAAATCAAAAATTGAAAATCAGAAACCTGGAGAATCGAGAAATCGAAAAAATGGAAAGTAGAAAATTGAAGAATAGAAATATTGAAAAATCCCTACACTGAAATATCGAAAAATTGAAAAATCTCAAAACTAAAACATCGAAAAATTGAAAAATCGAAAAAGTAAAAAAATCGACACTTCGAAAAATCCAGGAGTCAAAAATCGAAAAGTCGAAGAATCGAAATATTGAAAAATCCCAAAACTGAAATATCGAAAAAGTGAAAAATCCCGAAACCAAAAGGTCGGAAAATTGAAAATTTAAAGAATCAAATCTGAAATTGAAAATCAAAAACCAAAAAACTGAAAAATCGAAAAAACGAAAAGTTGAAAAATTTAAGACTAGAAATATCGAAAAATCCCAAAGATAAAACACCGAAAAATTGAAAAATTTAGAAATTGAAAATCAAAAACCTGAAAAATCGAAAAATCAAAAATCAAAAAACTGAAAAATAGACAAATCGAGAAATCCAAAAAACAGAAGTTGAAAAATTGAAGAAATATTGAAAAATCCAGACAGCGGAAGGTCGAAAAATTGAAAATTTAAAGAATCAAATCAAAAATTGGAAATCAGAAACCTGAAGAATCGAGAAATCGAAAAAATGAAAAGTAGAAAATTGAAGAATAGAAATATTGAAAAATCCCTACACTGAAATATCGAAAAATTGAAAATTTAAAGGATCAAATCAGAATTTGAAAATCAAAATCCTGAAAAATCGAAACATTAAAAATCAAAAAACTGAAAAATCGAGAAATCGAAAAACGGAAAATTGAAAAATTGAAGAATAGAAAAATTGAAAAATCCCAAAGCTGAAACACCGAATAATTGAAAAATTCCGAAATTGAAAATCAAAAACCTGAAAAATCGAAACATCAAAAATCAAAAAACTGAAAAATAGGCAAATCGAGAAATCCAAAAAACAGAAAGTTGAAAAATTGAAGAAATATTGAAAAATCCAGACAGCGGAAGGTCGAAAAATTGAAAATTTAAAGAATCAAATCAAAAATTGAAAATCAGAAACCTGGAGAATCGAGAAATCGAAAAAATGGAAAGTAGAAAATTGAAGAATAGAAATATTGAAAAATCCCTACACTGAAATATCGAAAAATTGAAAAATCTCAAAACTAAAACATCGAAAAATTGAAAACTCCTGAAATCGAAAGGTCGAAACATGAGAGAAAAACTAAAAATGGGAAACTAAATCGGGAAATCAAAACATTGAAAAATCGAAAAATTTAAAACGACAATTGAAAACAGAAAATCTAAAACCGGGAAATCGAAAAATTGAAAAATCAAAAAAGTAAAAAAATCGACACATCGAAAACTCTAGATGCCAAAAATCGAAAAGTCGAAGAATCAAAATATTGTAAAGTCCCAAAACTGAAATATCGAAAAACTGAAAAATGGAAAACCTGAAAAATCCAAAAAGTGAAGTCGAAAAATTCAAACCTTAAGAAAATTACAAAGTAAAAAATCAAAAACCTGAAAAATCTAAAAATTAAAGAATTGGAGAACAGGAATATCGAAGCCCTTGAAAGTAAAGAAATGGGAAAATTGAAAAATCGAAAATTTGAAAAAACGACAATTGAAAAACAGAAAATCTAAAACCGGGAAGTCGAAAAATCGATTGATTAAGAAATCAAAACATTTGAAAAATTCGAAAACTTGAAAAATTGAAATATCGAAGAACTGAAATGAAAAATCGAAAAATCCAGAAGTCAAAAATGGAAAAGTCGAAGAACAGAAATATTGAGAAATCCCAAAACTGAAATATCCAAAAACTGAGAATCTAAAGAATCGAAAAATAAAAAAAGTGAAATCAAAATATCGAAACCTTAAAAAAATCGAAAAATTGAAAGACCAAAAAACCCGAAAAATCAATTAATTGAAAAATCTACAGATAAAGAGTTGATAAAAGTCAAAAATTGAAAAATCGAAATATTTAAAAATCGTAAAATTGAAGAGAAAAACTGAAAACCGAGAAATTGAAAAATTGAGAAATTGTAAAATCCAAAAATTTAAAAATAAATAGGAGTAAACTGAAAAGTCCCCAAACTGTAATTCGTGTGACCTGAATTAAAGTGAAGGAAACAGTAAGCAGCTCGTAATATTCTGGTAAATCCAGTGTCAATTTGTCGAAATTTGACATTTTTTCTATTGTAGTTAATTTTATGCCTAGTTAGAAGCAAACACTGTTGCCAACATAAGTCGAGGAGTCCTCAACCGTCATTTAATTTAAACTATGACGCTTCTCTATGTTCTCTGACGAAACCCCGTTCCAGATCGATGTAAGCCATGTTTATTTAATTTAGGGGTGACGTCATCGCCGCCTTGCACGGAATTGATCAATTTTAACTCATAAATTTTTCCAATTTTATTGATTCTTGTAAGATATTGATCCACAAATTATACATAGTGCTCATGTTCGACGACGACCTTGATAACACATAATAATCACTTTAGATAACAAAAGTGTGATAAGTTTCATAACGCGCATTGTTTCTCTCGAAAAAAGTGCACTTGACTTGATTTATGGTTTGTAAATATTGCATACGTTAGTCTTTCCAAAACGAGTATTAAAGTTGTTTTTTTCCACAGCTGAAGATATCCTTCGTCGACGAGGGTCCAGAAGTTTACGAGTACCCTTCAGAAACATCGTTGCTCATAGAAGACATTCCCAAGTCGCCCCCAGTTGCACAAATCCGTCATTCAGTTCCTTCGCTCTCTGGTAAATAAGCAAAAAGTGTGTTAGTCCGTATCTGTCCACTATGTAGTGTATAATATATTTATTTATGTTACAATATGAACGAAAATCTCTTTAAAAGAGTGTTTTAGTAAAATAATAAAACAAAGTTTTTTTGTATAAAACTATAAAATAGTTACTATTATATTTTTATAAATAAACGACAACCTGTAACAAAATTTGTAGGTACCTAAATTATTTTCATTTTCAGTATCCAAAATTATGTAACTTTTAAACACAGTTCAATTTCGGCTGTGTAATTGTGGCTTGAAGTTTGACGTTTCCAATATGGCTGCTCCAAATTCAATTAGTGGATGGATTTATTTCAAAAATGGCGTTTTCACTGATTGAATTGCAGGCACGTCAACTCTAGCCAACTACACCCCAAAAAGTACCGAGGACTTCCAGCCAGGGGTCACTCGCAGTTTCCAGACCGCGCCAGTAACCAAGCCGGAGACACCCGAAGCCGATTTGTTCGTGCAAGAAGTCGAAAAACCCATTCTGTTCAGCGCCGGGGCCAATTCAGACATACTGTTCTAGACTAAGAATAAAAAAAAACGTTTATTGTATTAAAAAATTACTTACATTCCATTAACGGAACAATTTTTCACGTTTTATAATGTCATACTGCTTACAGTTTTAATTTTAAGTATAATATGTATTGTTAAGCGTACGCTGTGGTATTAGAATATGTTCATTCCAATTTGGCGCCTTAATTTTAAAAAAAGTGTAAACTCTGTGATGAAATTTGCAGTTTTATGTTTGTGTATTTATATATCTGTCTACTTTTGTAAAATTAAACAGTATTGCATTCAGATTGAGGGTTTATTGGTGAAGCTCGCTTCGCTCGCTACAGGATTTTTGTGATGACTGGGGTTTTGTCTTTTTCGATTTGGACGACGAGGATGTTGTCTAGAACCAGGAGTTTATCCTTGACTTTCACTATAGTCTGGAACAAAAAATTCAGAGTGTGATAATAATTGTTGAATGGTGTACCTGCATCATTTTTTCTATCGCTTCTTTGTTTTTACCCAACACGTTACTCTTCAGACTCATTATTGAAGTGGGGGTGCACTCCGCGAACTCAGAAATGACGTCACTGTGCACGCGAACCACCAAATCCCCACTCGCATCCTCAACTTTTATGACTAATTTGTACTCCCCGTCGCTCACGGTTAGTTTTTCTTCGACCGATTTGAATTTCGCGCGGATTCTAAACACACCTTTACTTATATTGTTTTTGTTTTGTATAAGTTTGGCTATTGTGATTACGCTAGGTCCCGCCACTGGCGCACTTTCCACTTGGTCTAAATGAGCGTCAATGTCTATGTCGTTGAAGACGTCGTCGTCGTCGTCAAGCGACATGGGGGCCACTTGTGTCGACGTACGACTCCTACTAAAACCGCCCTCGTCAAACAAGTCTGGAGTTCTATTATCATCCCTCCTTGTTTGATCAAACTCAGCTTCCGCCTCCAATAACATCTCGATCTCCTCTGCAGTCAAATCCCCCTCCATTGTGTCTACCGCCACTTTCTGTCTTAGCACCTGTGGTTTCACGTTCTTCACCTGCAAATACCCCTCATCCTTCTCCTCTTTCTCCACCGCGAGCAACCTCTCCTCGATGGCCCCCGGATTGGGGTTCAACGGCAGCTTCAGCGCCCGCGCTAGCACATTTTCAGACGCGTTCGCCACCAGCAACTCCTCCACTTCGCCCCCCAGCACCTTCACGTTTTGTTGCTCAAGCATCAACCGCCCCCGACGCACCACCACGGGCCCCATGACCCTCATCTTCGTCCCGGGGGCCAAATTGAGTCTCAAAGTCGGCACGGGTCGGTACTCCATGGCCTCGATTTCTTGCACCCCGTCGGTGAGGGTCATCTGCAGAAGGCGTTTCCCCGTGCCCGCGATGTCCGAGTCTTGCTGAGTTCCTCTCGTCAGAGCGTTGCTGTTGCGGATTTTCTGCAGCTGCCACAGCTTGGGCTTAGATATGTCCACGATTTGCATCATCTGCAGACAGAAGTTCCCGGTGAGGGTGTAGTGCTGCTTGGTGGAGAGGTGCGGCGGCAGGACGGCCACTTCCACGTCGCGTAGGTCGAGCAAGAGCCACTGTTCGTACACTTTGGATTGGAGCTCTTTGGGGGTGTAGTTGGGGGAGAGGGTCTCGGTTTTGCACCAGTGGATGCAGCTTTCGAGCCACATGTCGGAGAAGTGGACTTGGATGGAGGTGAAGAAGGATTTGATGGTGGTTAGTTCGGCCATCGGGCGAGTTTCGAGGCATCGGGAGGGTTTATTTTGAATTTTTGTAGGTTATGTTTTGACAAGCGACGATTATGTCATTTTCGGGCGGTAAATTCAAATCGATGTGAATATATTCTCAATTAGTGCACTTTGGTCATCACTGGGTGGTTAAACGAGTTCAGATTGCAAGTTGGCGTGCAAATAACACTTTCGGGTGTTTATTTTGTCGAAATTTTCGAACATTTGTGTGACATGCGTGGTGTGAACAGAGAACATAGAGAAGCGTCATGAAATGACGGTTGGTAACAGTGTTTGTTTCTAACTACAGTGGCGGTCATTTCTACGGAACCACTCGATAAAAAGTCAAGTTGGTAGCCCTGTCATCTAGTACTTTACGCCGAAAGCGGTTGGTAGCGGTAGTTGATATGGCAATCGAAACTAGCACAACACGAATGTTTCGGTTGCCCTCATTTATGCCGTACTGTATCCCGTGCATACTGTATGTTCTGTTCATCTATTTATTAAAATAAAATATCTACATTGACAATGGGGCCATCTAACCTGTCAAATTTTTGACACATATGTTTTCCCCCAGAAACCCTTCAAGGTCACTTACACTAAACAAATTTTGAAAATTTACACTAGGGAGTGGTTCCATAGAAAAGATCGCGACTTTAGGAATAAAATTAACTAGAAAAAATGGCATAATATTTTTTACGACGCGTTTTACTTTCGACAAATTGACACTGGATTTACCAGAATATTATGAGCTGCTTACTGTTTCCTTCACTTTAATTCAGGTCACACGAATTACAGTTCGTCGTCTGAGAACTTGTTTGATCTATAGACCAGAGCGCAGTCAGGCCAATGTCGACTCTAAGCGTTCGGAAACGATTTGATTTATAAGCCATGATCCGTGATCTGATCATTCTAACCGGTTTCGACCACAATTTCTGCTGCTTCAACTTTGGAATTCTCATTTTTTCGAAATTTTAGTTTCGGGACTTTTCAGTTTACTCCTATTTATTTTTCAATTTTTGGATTTTACAGTTTCTCAATTTTTCAATTTCTTGGTTTTCGGTTTTTCTCTTCAATTTTACGATTTTTAAATATTTCGATTTTTCAATTTTTGACTTTTATAAACTCTGTCGATTTTTCATTTAATTGATTTTTCATGTTTTTTGGTTTTTCAATTTTTCGATTTTTTTAAGGTTTCGATATTTCGACTTCATTTTATTTATTTTTCGATTTCTCAATTTTTCGATTCTTTAGATTCTCAGTTTTTGGATATTTCAATTTTGGGATTTGTCAGTTTTTCGATTCGTCAGTTTTTCTTTCATTTTTCAGTTTTTGATATTTCAGTTGTGGGATTTTTCAATACGACTTTTCCATTTTTAACTTATGGATTTTTCGATGTGGCGACTTTTTACTTTTTCGATTTTTAAATTTTAGAGTTCTTCATTTTTTGGTATTCTAATTTTTCAATTCTTAAAATTTTAGATTTTTCGATTTCTCGATTTTTCATTTCAGCTCTTCGAAATTTCAGTTTTTCAAGTTTTCGAATTTTTCAAATGTTTTGATTTCTTAATTAATCGATTTTTCGACTTTGCGGTTTTAGATTTTCTGTTTTTCAATTGTCGTTTTTTCAAACTGTCAAATTTTCGATTTTTCAATTAATTGATGTTTTGATTTTCCCATTTCTTGACTTTCGAGGGTTTCGATATTCCTGTTCTTCAATTCTTTAATTTTTCGGTTTTTCAGGTTATTGATTTTTTTTTTTTTTTTTATTTTTTTAAGGTTTCAATTTTTCGACTTCACTTTTTGGATTTTTCTATTGCTCAATTTTTCTGATTTTGGAAATTTCAGTTTTCCGATTTTTCAGATTTTCCATTTTTCAGTTTTTCTTTTATTTTTCAGTTTTTCGATATTTCAGTTTTGGGACTTTTCAATATTTTGATTCTTCGACTTTTCGATTTTTCAATTTTTCGATTTCCCGGTTTTAGATTTTCTGTTTTCAATTGTCGTTTTAAATTTTTCGATTTTTCAATGTTTTGATTTCCCCATTTAGTTTCCCATTTTTTGTTTTTCTCTCATTTTTCAGTTTTTCGATATTTCAGTTTTGGGATTTTTCAATATTTCGATTCTTCGACTTTTCGATTTTTGACTCCTGGATTTTTCGATGTGTCGATTTTTTTACTTTTTCGATTTTTCAATTTTTTGATTTTTAAATTTTAGATTTTTTAATTTTTAAAATTTTGGATTTTTCGATTCCTCGATTTTTCATTTAAGTCTTCGATATTTCAATTTTTCAAGTTTTCGAATTTTTCAAATGTTTCGATTTCTTAATCTTTTGATTTCATCATTATTTCTCATTTTCTTTCAATTTTTCAAATTTGATTTTTATAAACACGATTCTCGATTTTTCATTTCCTCAATTCTACAATTTTGAAGTTTTTTAGGATTTTGATTTTTCACTCTTTTAATTTTTTAAGGTTTTGACTTTTCGATTTCACTTTTTTGACTGTTTGGTTTCTCATTTTTTCAATTTTTTAATTTCCCAATTTTTGAATTTTTAAGTTTTGAAATTTTTCAGTTTTTCCATTCATCAGTTTTTCTTCCATTGTTCAATTTCTCGACTTTCAATTTTTCTATTTTTTATTTTTCTAAATTCTATTTTTCAGTTTTCCAATTAATTTGATTTTCCCATTTTTTGACTTTCGACTGTTTCGATTTTCCTGTTTTTCAATTCTTCAATTTTTCGAATTTTCAGGTTTTTGATTTTTCAATTTTTCGTTTTTTTTTAAAGATTTCGGTTGTTTTACTATACTTTTTTGATATTTCGATTTCTCAGTTTTTTAATTTCTCAGATTTTCTTTAATTTTTCAATTTTAGATATTTCAGTTTTGGGACTTTTCAGTTTATTTATTGCTCAATTTTTCGATTTTACCATCATTTCTCAATTTCTTTCAATTTTTCAAATTTGATTTTCATAAACTCGATTTTCAATTTTTCGTTTTTTCGTTTCTTCAATTCTTCAATTTTGAAGCTTTATAGGTTTTTGATTTTTCAGTTTTTTTTTTTTTTAGGTTTTGATTTTTCGACTTCACTTTTTCGGCTGTTTGATTCCTCATTTTTTCAATATTATAATTTCCCAATTTCTGAATTTTTAATTTTTTAGTTTTTTCAGTTCTTCCATTTTTCAATTTCTCGATTTTCAATTTTTCAATTTCTCAATTTTCCAATGTTTCCGATTTTTCAGTATTTCGATTATTCGACTTTTCGATTTACTTCTGGATTTTTCAAAGTGTCGAATTTTTTAGACTTCCCCGTTTTAGATTTTCTGTTTTTCAATTGTCATTTTGTCAAATTTCTGATTTTTTAATTTTTCAAATTTGACTTTTATAAACTCTCAATTTTCTGATTTTTCAATTAATCGATGTTTTGATTTTCCCATTTTTTGACCTTCGAGTGTTTCGATTTTCCTGTTCTTCAATTCTTTAATTTTTTTATTTTTCAGGTTTTCGATTTTTCAATTTTCCGATTTTTCAGTTTTTAGATATTTCAGTTTTAGGATTTTTCAATATTTCAACTCTTCGGCTTTTCTATTTTTGACTTCTGGATTTTTCGATGTGTTGACTTTTTACTTTTTCGATTTTTAAATTTTAGAATTCTCAGTATTTTGGTATTTTAATATTTCAATATTTAAAATTTTAGATTTTTCGATTTCTCGATTTTTCATTTCAGTTCTTCGATATTTCAGTTTTTCAAGTTTTGGAATTTTTCAAATGCTCTGATTTCATAATCAATCGATTCTTCGACTTCCCGGTTATAGATTTTCTGTTTTTCAATTTCGTTTTTTAAAATTGTCGTCAATTTTTCAAATTTAATATTAATTTATAAACTGTCAATTTTTCGATTTTTCAATTAATCGATGTTTTGATTTTCTCATTTCTTGACTTTCGAGGGTTTCGATATTCCTGTTCTTCAATTATTTAAGTTTTCGATTTTTCAGGTTTTTGATTTTTTATTTTTTTATTTTTTTAAGGTTTCAATTTTTCGATTTCACTTTTTGGATTTTTCTATTGCTCAGTTTTTCGACTTTTTAGGTTCCCAGTTTTTGGATATTTCAATTTTTGGGATTTTTCAGATTTTCCATTTTTCATTTTCTTTCATTTTTCAGTTCTTCGATATTTCAGTTTTGGGACTTTTCAATATTTTGATTCTTCGATTTTCGATTTTTGACTAATGAATTTTTCGATGTGTCGATTTTTTAATTTTTTCGATTTTTGAACTTTAGATTTTTTAATTTTTCGAATTTTTCAAATGTTTCGATTTCTTAATCTCTTGATTTTTCGACTTCCCGGTTTTAGATTTTCTGTTTTTAAACTGTCATTTTGTCAAATTTTCGATTTTTTAATTTTTCAGATTTGACTTTTATAAACTCTCAATTATTCGATTTTTCAATAATCGATGTTTTGATTTTCCCATCTCTTGACCTTCGAGTGTTTCGATTTTCCTGTTCATGAATTCTTTAATTTTTTGATTTTGCAGGTTTTTGATTTTTCAATTTTTCGATTTTTTAAGGTTTCTATTTTTCGACTTCACTTTTTTGATTTTTCGATTTTTCAGTTTTTAGATATTTCAGTTTTAGTATTTTTCAATATATCAATTCTTCGGCTTTTCTATTTTTGACTTCCGGGTTTTTCGATGTGTCTACCTTTTTACTTTTACGATTTTTCAATTTTTGGATTTTTAAATTTTAGATTTTTCAATCTTTTGATATTTTAATTTTTCAATATTTCTTAATCTTTCTATTTTTCGACTTTTTTCAATATTTCGATTTGTTAATTTTCATCCCGATTTATCGAGATTTGATTGTTCAGGTTTTCGATTTATCATTTTCTCAATTTTTTATTTTGGCCTATTTCGGTTTCTCAGTTTTTCCAGTTTTCCATTTTTTCGTTTTTTGATTTTTCCGCTTTTCCAATTTTTCAACTTTTAATTTTTTGTTTGTCGATTCCTCTATTTTTCAATTTTTCGACTTCATCACTTTTCGATTTCTCGTCTTTGGATCTTTCAATCTCTCAATTTTTCAATTTTTCGAATTTTTAAGTTTTTTGATTTCGCGATTTAACGTGATTTGGATTTTTCGATATTTTGATTGTCAATTTCTCAATTTATAAATTGTTCAATTACAGAAACCTGAAAATTGTTTAAATTTGGCGCTTGAGGACTCCAATGTCAATAAGGGTGATTTTGCAAAATCAGCCTGTATGTCGCATCGATATTAATCTATGGTGTGAAAGTCTATTTTGAAATTTTTAGGTTATGTTTTGATATTATGTCAAATTGTAACAGTAATTATGAGTGGTAAATTTAAACCGATTTATTTATTTGTGCAATATAGTCTCAAATAGTGCACTTTTATCAACACTGGGTGGAACAATGTGCTCGAATAACACTTTTCTGGTGTTTATTTATTCAAAACTGACTTTTTTACAATTTTTAGGTTATGTTGGCACGACTTTTTATTTACAACAAATGTTTACAAACTACTTCACGGACATCCGCGACCGCTTGGGAATCTGTCCAAACGACATCAGCAGCCCCTCAATCACGTAGGGCATAGGACCTTGAATGTCATCCGGTGTCATATAAACCGACGGTGGTAGAGAAACCCCATTTGACACCAAGTGCGTAACGTCATTCAAAGTGTCGATTTTTGTTGAGGTTAATAACACTAATTCGTTAGTAGCGACATCAACGCCTCTCACAACCCCTAAAAATAGTCTTTAATAACCAACAATTCAGACAATTTTTATTACCCCAGCTAAAGCACTGGAAAATGTGCTCTTCTTTGTTTGACAGTCGACAGAGTGCCACTAGGGACGCATTAATAGCTGCTGGATGAACTTCGTCGCCGTTTAAGTCACTAATTATTATATCATTCAAGTTTATCCTGAAACTATTTTTTAAAAATTTATTTTTTTAATTGTGGCACTACTTACCTATACATTGGTCCTTTACTTTTAAAAACTGAATTAGAATCAACTAAATGACTGATATAGGATAAAACACACATTTCTCTAAGTTGTCTGGGTTCAGCAGTCCAGCTATCATTTCCATCACACATTGACTCAATTTGGTGTAAATTATAATTCAAATTTGTTTTCTCTGAAACAAATAATTTGGCGTTTTGTTTAATAACGCCAGTCTTTAAACTAAATTTGTAATTTTTTTTAGAATTTTGGCTACAAATTTGGAGCACATCAGTTGGTTGGATTTGGGTGATCACAGCCGATAGAATATTAATTCCAACTCCATGAGTATACCCCATGTAGTTAATTAAAGTGGGAATTTCGTCTAAAACCACACTAACTAACTCTTTCACCCCAGCTATGTATTTTTCAGGTTCATACGCTATATTTATATTTGAAAGAATTGACCTAAAACATAAATTTAATTAAAAATTAAACCAACTATTTTTTTACCTTTCAGTTTGTTGCAGGTGAGTGTAATTAACACCAAATAAAGGTGTGTTCACTCTAACAATCGAAATGCATCCAGGAACCGTAAATTCTGACTGTCCAGGATCCAAATCAATCACTCTAATTTCACTAAATTTCATCAAAAGTCTGTTTATAGCGTATCTCAGGAAAGTCGTCTTTCCCACTCCTTTCCCGCCACAAATCATCAATTTCGTGTTTTTATCGACTTCATTAATTACGTGATTCCAGTCCTGACTGACCTGAAGCAAATTCCAGCTCCCTTCTTTCGGCTGGAAGACAACTCTAGGCAAATCTTGCTCCTGTCTGGGCAGAATCTGCTGCGAAATGTGTTTTTCCATGAACAGAACCCCCGGATCATGCAACTTTTTACAAAAGACTAGGGCACATTTTTCCGACAGTTTAATTTTGTTGGGGAGCAAGTAACTACTGATTGGGATATCAGACTCCGTGATATTTTTTAAATACAGAAGAGAGGAGCCCCTGAATGAGTAGAGTTTGGCCTCGGGGCTATTTTTGGTTAAAACGTGACCTAAAACTTCAACTTGACCGTGAAGAACCGACACTGAGCACAAACCATGAAAATAAATAGTCTGATTTTTCTCCAAAATAACAATAATTCCGTCGTCACGAAAATAAAATTGCGCTTCTTCCATGAGTAAATTATTCACTGGGGGGTCATCAACTTTCGCTTTTTTTTTCACAGTCTTACCCTCCGTCTTTTTTGACTTGGTTTTCTTCATAATGATTACGTTTTGGGGTACTTCCTCATCCGTTGACTCATTCAGACCATTCACTTCGGCCGACACCACCTCAGAGTAACTCTGGTTTCCGTCATCACACGCAAACTCTTCGATGATGCTCCCGTACGCGTACGAAACGTCTTCGTCGCGCGAAAGATCGAACTCAGACCAGAAGCTTGAGGCGTCTTTGGCACAGTCGGACGGTGTTGCTGCGTTTTCTTTACTAGTGTCACATTCTGACTTCGACGGGGTTAAATTTAGCACCTTGAACTGGTATTCGAGCGAGTCGGAGCGCTTAGACGGTGTCGTGTTTGCAGAAGTTTCATTGTCGTCGCTCGAATCGAAACTGGTTTCTTGAAAAATTCGGGAACGCTTCAACTTTTTGGATTTGTGGCGATTTCGCGACTTGCGTTTGCGGCCGACGTCGTCACCGAGGTGGGTTTTATTCATGATTATGAAAACTGAGACTTTGTATTTTGTTTAACCACAAAAATGCGATTTCTAACCTATTTCGGGCACATGGGGTTGACAATTGACAAGAAGGGCTGCCAATAGCGCGACAGAATTGTGCTGATTCCCCTATGTCACCGCAATGAATTGCGGAAACCACAAAGCTACAAACGATAGATTCCTTTTAGACTTTTGCAAAAATTTGGATTTTTTTGGATATTTTGATCTCAAGTAGATATATATTTGGATTTTCCTGGACTTCATTGATTTTTGGATGTTTTTGGAATGCATTGGAATTTTTTTATTTTTTCGGAATTTTTGGATGTTTTGGATTTACTTGGAAATTTCGGAAAATTTAGATTTTCCTGGATTTTATTGGTTTTTGGGATGTTTGGATTTTTTTGGATGCCATTTGAATTTGGGGATTTACTTGGAATTTTTGTATTTTTTTGGATGTTTTGAATGGTCTTGGATTGCACTCGAATTTTTTATTTTTTCGGAATGTTTTGATCTTTTGGGTGTTTTTGGATATTTCGAATTTTTTCGATTCACTTGAAATTTTTGGAAAATTTGGATTTTTTGATTTCAAATATACCTACATTTAGATTTTCCTGGATTTTATTGATATTTGGGAATTTTGTTTTTGGGTTGCATTGGAATTTTTTTATTTTTTCGGAATTTTTGGATTTTTTGGATTTACTTGAAATTATATTTGGATTTTATTCATTTTTGGGATTTTTGGATTTTTTTTTAATTGCATTGGAATTTTTGTTTTTTTTTCGGAATTTTTGGATATTTTTTGATGTTTTGGATTTTTCGGATTTACTTGAAATTTTTGGAAAATTCCGATATATTTAGATATCAAATATATATTTGGATTCTCCTGGATTTTATTGTTTTTTGGGTTTTTTGGATTTTTTTTTATTGCATTGGACTTTTTGTATTTTTTTTTTAATCCTTTGAATGTTCATGGATTGTATTAGAATTTTTCAATTTACGTCAAATTTTTGGAAATTTTGGATTCTTTGATATCAAATATATATTTGGATTTTCCTGGATTTTATGGCTTTTTGGATTTTTTTGGTTTTATTTGAAATTTTTGGATTTTATCGATTTTTATTGGAGTATTTGGATTTTCCTGGCTTTATGAATTGTCTAAGTTTTTTCGGTTTTTCTTGATTTTTTGAATTTTTTGGGTTTGTTTTATTTTTTGGGTTTCTTCAGTTTTTGGATTTATTTGGGGTATTGGGAATTTTTGGATTGTCTTGAATTACTTGGATTTTTTACATTTTTGGTTTTTTGAATTTGTTGAATTTTTTTGGATTTTTTGGATTTGATTGGTTTTTAGGAGTTATTTAATTTTTGGAATTTTTTATCTTTTGGCTTTGCTGGATTTTTAGATTTTTCGAAATTTTTGATTGTATTGGAATTTTCGTATTTTTTTTTTATTTTCTTGGATTGCATTGGAATTTTTTAATGTTTTGGATTTTTTGGATTTACTTGGAAATTTTGGAAAATTTAGATTTTCCTCGATTTTATTCATTTTTGGTATTTTTTGGATTTTTTTTTAATTGCATTGGAATTTTTGTATTTTTTTGGATCATTTGAATGTTCTTAGATTGCATTGGAATTTTTGTTTTTTTTCGGAATTTTTTTATTTTTTCGGAATTTTTGGATTTTTTGGATTTACTTGAAATTATATTTGGTTTTTATTCATTTTTTGGATTTTTTTGGATGTTTTGGATTTTTCGGATTTACTTGAAATTTTTGGCAAATTTGTATATTTTGATGTGAAATATATATTTCGATTTTCCTGGATTTTATTGGTATTTGGATTGTTTTCAATTTTTTGGATTGCATTGGAATTTTTGTATTTCTTTGAATCTTTTGAATGTTCTTGGATTAGATTGGAATTTTTGGATATTTTGGATTTACTTGAAATTTTTGGAAAATTAGGATTTTTTTATATCAAATATATATTTGGATTTTCCTGGATTTTATTGATTTTTGGGTTTTTTGGATTTCATTGGAATTTTTGTATTTTTTTTGGATCCTTTGAATGTTCTTAGATTGTATTGAAATTTTTGGATTTTTTCGGAATTTTTGAATGTTGTGAATTTTTTGGATTTTCCTGAATTTTATTGCTTTTTGAATTTTTTTGGTTTTGTTTGAAATTTTATTTGGGGTATTAGGAATATTTGGATTGTCTTGAATTACTTGGATGTTTAAGATTTTTTTGATTTTTGGTTTTTTGAATTTGTTGAATTTTTTTGGATTTTTTGGATTTGATTGGTTTTTAGGATTTATTTAATTTTTGGCTTTGCTGGATTTTTAGATTTATCGAAATTTTTGATTGTATTGGAATTTTCGTATTTTTTTTTTGTTTTCTTGGATTACATTGGAATTTTTTAATGTTTTGGATTTTTTGGATTTACTTGGACATTTCGAAAAATTTAGATTTTCCTCAATTTTGTTGGTTTTTGGGTTGTTTGGATTTTTTTTGGATGCCATTTGAATTTGGGGATTTACTTGGAATTTTTGTATTTTTTTGGATCTTTTGAATGTTCTTGGATTGCACTGAAATTTTTTATTTTTTCGGAATATTTTGATTTTAAATATACATTTAGATTTTCCTGGATTTTATTGATATTTGGGTTTTTTGAATTGGATTGGAATTTTTGTATTTTTTGGATCATTTGAATGTTCTTGGATTGCACTGTACTTTTTGTTTTTTTTTTCGGAATTTTTGGATATTTTTGGATGTTTTGGATTTTTCGGATTTACTTGAAATTTTTGGAAAATTCCGATATATTTAGATATCAAATATATATTTGGATTTTCCTGGATTTTTGGGTTTTTTGGATTTTTTTTCTTGTATTGGAATTTTTGGATTTTTTTTGGATCCTTTGAATGTTCTTGGATTGTATTGGAATTTTTCGATTTACGTGAAATTTTTGGAAAATTTGGATTTTTTGCTTTATGAATTGTGTAAATTTTTTCAGTTTTTCTAGATTTTTTTTGGAATTTTTGAATTTTTTGGGTTTGTTTTATTTTTTAGATTTCTTCAGTTTTTGGATTTATTTGGGGTTATTATTTTTGGATTGTCTTGAATTACTTGGATTTTTTAGATTTTTTTTTAATTTTTGGTTTTTTGAATTTGTTGATTTTTTTTGGATTTGATTGGTTTTTAGGATTTATTTAATTTTGGGAATTTTTTATCTTTTGGCTTTGCTGGATTTTTAGATTTTTCTAAATTTTTGATTGTATTGGAATTTTCGTATTTTTTTTTAATTTTCTTGGATTGCAATTTTTTCGGTTTTTCTACATTTTTTGTCGGATTTCTTGCATTTTTTTGGAATTTTTGAATTTTTTGGGTTTGTTTTATTTTTTGGATTTCTTCAGTTTTTGGTTTTATTTGGTGTATTGGGAACTTTTGGATTGTCTTGAATTACTTGGATTTTTTAGATTTTTTTGAATTTTGGTTTTTGAATTTGTTGAATTTTTTCGGATTTTTTGGATTTGATTGGTTTTTAGGATTTATTTAATTTTTGGAATTTTTTATCTTTTGGCTTTGCTGGATTTTTAGATTTTTCGAAATTTTTATTGTATTGGAATTTTCGTATTTTTTTTTATTTTCTTGAATTGCATTGGAATTTTTTAATGTTTTGGATTTTTTGGATTCACTTGGAAATTTCGGAAAATTTAGATTTTCCTGGATTTTATTGATTTTTGGGTTGTTTGGTTTTTTTTTTGGATGCCATCTGAATTTGGGGATTTAATTGGAATTTTTGTATTTTTTTGGATCTTTTGAATGTTCTTGGATTGCACTGACATTTTTTATTTTTTCGGAATATTTTGATTTTTTGGATTGTATTAGAATTTTTGCAAAAATTTGGATTTTTTTGGATTTTTTGATCTCAAATACGTATAAATTTGGATTTTCCTGGATTTCATTGATTTTTTTATGTTTTTGGATTGCGTTGGAATTTTTTTATTTTATCGGAATTTTTGGATTTTTTGGATTTACTTGAAATTATATTTGGATTTTATTCATTTTTGGGATTTTTTTGTATTTTTTTTAATTGCATTGGAATTTTTGTTTTTTTTTCGCTTTTTTGAATGTTCTGGATTTTTCGGATTCACTTGAAATTCTTGGCAAATTTGTATATTTTGATGTGGAATATAAAGTCGCGATCTTTTCTATAGAACCACTCCCTAGTGTAAATTTTCAAAATTTGTTTGGTGTAAGTGACCTTGACGGGTTTCTGGGGGAAAACATATGTGTCAAAAATTTGACAGGTTAGATGGCCTCATCGTCAATGTAGATATTTTATTTTAATAACCAGATGAACAGAACATACAGTCTGTACGGGATACAGTGCGGCATAGCTGAGGGCAACCGAAGCATTCGTGTTGTGCTAGTTTCGATTGCCATATCAACTACCGCTACCAACCGCGTTCGGCGTAAAGTGCTAGATGACAGGGCTACCAACTTGACTTTTTATCGAGTGGTTCCGTAGAAATGACCGCTACTGTATATTTCGATTTTCCTGGATTTTATTGGTATTTGGATTGTTTTCAAATTTTTCGAATGCATTGGAATTTTTGGATTTACCTGGAATTTTTGTATTTCTTTGGATCTTTTGAATGTTCTTGGATTGGATTTTTTGGATATTTTGGATTTACTTGAAATTTTTGGAAAATTTGGATTTTTTGATATAAAATAAGTATATATTTGGATTTTCCTGGATTTTTTTGATTTTTTGATTTTAAATATACATTTAGATTTTCCTGGATTTTATTGATATTTGGGTTTTTTGGATTGCATTTGAATTTTTGGATTTACTTGGAATTTCTGCAAAAATTTGGATTTTTTGATCTCAAATACGTATATATTTGGATTTTCCTAGACTTCATTGATTTTTGGATTGCATTGGATTTTTTTTATTTTTTCGGACTTTTTGGATTTACTTGAAGTTATATTTGGATTTTATTTGTTTTTGAGATTTTTTTGGATTTTTTTTAATTGCATTGGAATTTTTGTTTTTTTTTTTTCGCTTTTTTTGGATGGAAATATATATTTCGATTTTCCTGGATTTTATTGATATTTGGATTGTTTTCAATTTTTTGGATTGCATTGGAATTTTTGGATTTCCCTGGAATTTTTGGATATTTTGGATTTACTTGAAATTTTTGGAAATTTTGGATTTTTTTAAATCAAATATATATATGGATTTTCCTGGATTTTATTGATTTTTGGGTTTTTTGGATTTACCTGGAATTTTTGTATTTCTTTGGATCTTTTGAATGTTCTTGGATTGGATTGGAATTTTTGGATATTTTGGATTTACTTGAAATTTTTGGAAATTTTGCATTTTTTGATATCAAATATATATTTGGATTTTTCTGGATTTTATTGATTTTTGGGTTTTTTGGATTTACCTGGAATTTTTGTATTTCTTTGGATCTTTTGAATGTTCTTGGATTGGATTGGAATTTTTGGATATTTTGGATTTACTTGAAATTTTTGGATTTTTTGATATCAAATATATATTTGGATTTTCCTGGATTTTATTGATTTTTGGGTTTTTTGGATTGCATTGGATTTTTTTTTTTCGGACTCTTTGGATTTACTTGAAATTTTATTTGGATTTTATTCATTTTTGGGATTTTTTTGTATTTTCTTTTAATTGCATTGGAATTTTTGTTTTTTTTTTTCGCTTTTTTGGATGTTCTGGATTTTTCGGATTCACTTGAAATTCTTGGCAAATTTGTATATTTTGATGTGAAATATATATTTCGATTTTCCTGGTATTTGGATTGTTTTCAATTTTTGCGGATTGCATTGGAATTTTTGTATTTCTTTGGATCTTTTGAATGTTCTTGGATTGGATTGGGATTTTTGGATATTTTGGATTTACTTGAAATTTTTGGAAAATTTGGATTTTTTGATGTCAAATATATATTTGGATTTTCCTGGATTTTATTGATTTTTGGGTTTTTTGGATTACATTGGAATTTTTGTATTTTTTTTATCCTTTGAATGTTCTTAGATTGTATTGGAATTTTTGGATTTTTTTGGAATTTTTGAATTTTTTGGGTTTGTTTTATTTTTTGGATTTCTTCAGTTTTTGGATTTATTTGGGGTATTGGGAATTTTTGGATTCTCTTGAATTACTTGAATTTTTTAGGTTTTTTTGATTTTTGGTTTTTTGAATTTGTTGAATTTTTTTGGATTTTTTGGATTTGATTGGTTTTTAGGATTTATTTAATTTTGGGAATTTTTTATCTTTTGGCTTTGCTGGATTTTTAGATTTTTCGAATTTTTTTATTGTATTGAAATTTTCGTATTTTTTTTTTATTTTCTTGGATTGCATTGGAATTTTTTAATGTTTTGGATTTTTTGGATTTACTTGGAAATTTCGGAAAATTTAGATTTTCCTGGATTTTATTGGTTTTTGGGTTGTTTGGATTTTTTTTGGATGCCATTTGAATTTGGGGATTTACTTGGAATTTTTGTATTTTTTTGGATCTTTTGAATGGTTTTGGATTGCACTCGAATTTTTTATTTTTTCGGAATGTTTTGATTTTGTTATGTTTTTGGATGTTTCGAATTTTTTGGATTCACTTGAAATTTTTGGAAAATTCGGATTTTTTGATTTCAAATATACATTTAGATTTTCCTGTATTTTATTGATATTTGGGTTTTTTGGATTGGATTGGAATTTTTGGATTTACTTGGAATTTTTGCAAAAATTTGTATTTTTTTGGATATTTTGATCTCAAATACATGTATATTTGGATTTTCATGGACTTCATTGATTTTTGGATGTTTTTGGAATGCACTGGAATTTTTTTATTTTTTCGAAATTTTGGATTTTTTTGGATGTTTTGGATTTACTTGAAATTATACTTGGATTTTATTCATTTTTGGGATTTTTTGGATTTTTATTTAATTGCATTGGAATTTTTGTATTTTTTTGGATCATTTGAATGTTCTTGGATTGCATTGGAATTTTTGTTTTTGTTTTCGGAATTTTTGGATATTTTTGGATGTTTTGGATTTTTCGGATTTACTTGAAATTTTTGGAAAATTCCGATGTATTTAGATATCAAATATATATTTGGATTTTCCTGGATTTTTGGATTTTTTTTTATTGCATTGGAATTTTTGTATTTTTTTGGATCCTCTGAATGTTCATGGATTGTATTGGAATTTTTCGATTTACGTGAAATTTTTGGAAAATTTGGATTTTTTGATATCAAATATATATTTGGATTTTTTGATATCAAATATATATTTGGATTTTCCTGCATTTGATTGATTTTTGGGTTTTTTGGATTACATTGGAATTTTTGTTTTTTTTTTTTTGGATATTCTGATCTCAAATACATGTATATTTGGATTTTCCTGGACTTCATTGATTTTTGGATGTTTTTGGAATGCACTGGAATTTTTTTATTTTTTCGAAATTTTGGATTTTTTCGGATGTTTTGGATTTACTTGAAATTATATTTGGATTTTATTCATTTTTGGGATTTTTTGGATTTTTTTTTAATTGCATTGGAATTTTTGTATTTTTTTTGGATCATTTGAATGTTCTTGGATTGCATCGGAATTTTTTTTTCGGAATTTTTGGATATTTTTGGATGTTTTGGATTTTTCGGATTTACTTGAAATTTTTTGGAAAATTCCGATATATTTAGATATCAAATATATACTTGGATTTTCCTGGATTTTATTTTTTTTTCTTGGTTTTTTGGATCTTTTTCATTGAAATTTTTGTATTTTTTTTGATCCCTTAAATGTTCTTGGATTGTATTGGAATTTTTCGATTTACGTGAAATTTTTGGAAAATTTGGATTTTTTTATAGCAAATATATATTTGGATTTTCCTGGATTTTATTGCTTTTTGGATTTTTTTGGTTTTATTTGAAATTTTTAGATTTTATCGATTTTTATTGGAGTGTTTGGATTTTCCTGGCTTTATGAATTGTCTAAATTTTTTCGGCTTTTCTAGATTTTTTGTTCTTCAGTTTTTGGATTTATTTGGGGTATTGGGAATTTTTGGATTGTCTTAAATTACTTGGATTTTTTAGATTTTTTTGATTTTTTGAATTTGTTGAATTTTTTTGGATTTTTTGGATTTGATTGGTTTTTAGGATGGATTTAATTTTTGGAATTTTTTATCTTTTGGCTTTGCTGGATTTTTAGATTTTTCGAAATTTTTGATTGTATTGGAATTTTCGTATTTTTTTTATTTTCTTGGATTGCATTGGAATTTTTTAATGTTTTGGATTTTTTGGATTTACTTAGAAATTTCGGAAAATTTAGATTTTCCTCGATTTTATTGGTTTTTGGGTTGTTTGGATTTTTTTTTTGGATGCCATTTGAGTTTGGGGATTTACTTGGAATTTTTGTATGTATTTTTTTTGATCTTTTGAATGTTCTTGGATTGCACTGAAATTTATTATTTTTTCGGAATATTTTGATTTTTTTGGATGTTTTGAATTTTTTGGATTTACTTGAAATTTTTGGAAAATTTGGATTATTTTGATTTTTTAATTTTAAATATACATTTAGATTTTCCTGGATTTTATTGATATTTGGGTTTTTTGGTTTTTTTTTGGATTGCATTGGAATTTTTGGATTTACTTGGAATTTTTGCAAAAATTTGGATTTTTTTGGATTTTTTGATCTCAAATACGTATATATATTTGGATTTTCCTGGAGTTCATTGATTTTTGGATGTTTTTGGATTGCATTGGAATTTTTTTATTTTTTCGGAATTTTTGGATTTTTTTGGATTTACTTGAAATTATATTTGGATTTTACTCATTTTTGGGATTTTTTTTGGATTTATTTTAATTGCATTGGAATTTTTTTTTTTCGCTTTTTTTGGATGTTTTGGATATTTCAGATTTACTTGAAATTTTAAATATACATTTAGATTTTCCTGGATTTTATTGATATTTGGGTCTTTTGGAATTTTTTAATTTTTTCGAAATTTTTGGATTTACTTGAAATTATATTTGGATTGTATTAATTTTTGGGTTTTTTTTAATTGCATTGGAATTTTTGTTTTTTTTTCGCTTTTTTGGATGTTTTGGATTTTTCAGATTGACTTGAAATTTTTGGCAAATTTCTATATTTTGATGTGAAATACATATTTCGATTTTCCTAGATTTTATTGGTATTTGGATTGTTTTCAATTTTTTGGTTTGCATTGGAATTTTTGATTTACCTGGAATTTTTGTATTTCTTTGGATCTTTTGAATGTTCTTGGATTGGATTGGAATTTATGGATTTACTTGAAATTTTTGGAAAATTTGGATTTTTTAATATCAAATATATATTTGGATTTTCCTGGATTTTATTGATTTTTGGGTTTTTTGGATTGCATTGGAATTTTTGTATTTTTTTTTTTTGGATCCTTTGAATGTCTTAGATTGTATTGGAATTTTTGGATGTTGTGGATTTTTTGGATTTACGTGAAATTTTTGGAAAATTTGGATTTTTTGATATCAAATAAGTATATATTTGGATTTTCCTGGATTTTATTGCTTTGATTTGAAATTTTTGGATTTTATCGATTTTTATCGGAGTATTCGGATTTTCCTGGCTTTATATAGCCGTATGGATTGTCTCAATTTTTTCGGTTTTTCTTGATTTTTTTTTGGAATTTTTGAATTTTTTGGGTTTGTTTTATTTTTTGAATTTCTTCAATTTTTGATTTATTTGTGGTACTGGGAAATTTTTTGATATTTGGTTTTTTGGATTTGTTGAACTTACACATCCAAAGAAAACACAAAAATACTAATAAATATTTATTTAAAAAAAAACCTACTTTACGAGTAATATTTCGAAAAATGTGGCACAATCGCGTCTTTGATATCCTTATTAATCCTATATAAAAAATCGCTAATGTAGAGTGTGTTTATACAAAGGATTCCCCGTTGGGCCAACGGAATATAAACACTAAAATCAGGAACACTTCTGGCTTCGAGTAAACAGTGCGTGGCGTAAACATTTTCACTAAACGGTGGCCTAAAACCCACAATTAAATAAAATAATTCAAATCAAAAATCCACAATTTACGCAGCATCCACGATTTGGCCGCCCCCAGCTTCAATTACTCTGACAATGGGGTCCCGCCTTTGGGCCACCACAATGGCGCGCATGTCATTGAAAGCTCCATACCCTCTCCTAGAAATTTCTTTTCTCCACCAATGAATGGACTGGATTCTGGCGTCGTTCTCTTTGTCGAACGTCTCCTTAATATTGTCTTTCGCTTTGGGGTTGCCAAATTCGAAATTTTCCTCCTGTTAAAGCTCAATTTTATTTAGAAAAAACGTGACTTGTGACACTTACGGGCAAAAATTTCCCCGCAGCGATACTCTTGTCCACGTAAGAAATATGCAAAATCCACTTTCCTGACGCCATACACGACAAAGTTTTCTCGTTTCTCGCCGGTTTCGGACAAATCAGGTGCGTACATTTGGAATCGTAGGAGCTTAGTTCGGACACGTGACCACCCAACTGCTCGATTTTTTCCACCATTTGTTGGCGGTCGCTATCCACCCCCGATATCATAAATATGCGCATTGGGGGCTGCAGTGGCTGGAATTTTTGGTGTATTTTTGTTTTTGGGGTTGGTAGTACGACTTACCTCGGATTGGATGTTTTCTTCGTAGTCCCAGCCGACGGAGAACGGTTGCGAATCTTTCATGGTCACTTTGCCAACTATAAAAACCAAATGTAACTAAAACTAGTGACTTTGTAAATTCAATTAAATCAAGTACCTTCTGCCGACGCAGTCGCTTGGAAAGTTCTGCTACTTCTGCGTTTCTCGCTAAAAGCACTAACCATTTCTTCGATTTGTTTGAGTTTTGTGTTGATAAAAGAACTATCGTCGTTCATCTGAAATGTCACAGAAGTAGAGGCGGACCGCGGACTAAACTACCAATTCTACCTCTATGTCACCATTGCTGATGCCTTCTTTGTCTTCACCTACTTCATCGTGTTGTTCTATGATATTATTAGTTCGATCTGATTCTGCGACGTGACTTGTAGATGGCGCTGATTCCGTTTTATCCTGAGTAAAGCGCGGACTTTCCTGTGACCCTAGTAATTTCGCCCAACACCTGCGTTTCACCTCTGATAGTGGCTAAACAATGTCAAAAATAAATTAGATTGAGAAAAAACGAAATCAGACACCCTACCGTCGATTTTCTTCCCTTAGGTGGGGGTACGAAATCCGGAATTTGGTTTATGTATCGCATTAATTCTTTCTTGGACTTTGGGGATAAGTGGGGCCTGATGAAAGCGCCAAATGGGCTTTCTGGGGTGTCTACGTCGTACCACGTTTTAGGCATCGGGGGCGTCTGTGGTGTCCCTAAAAGGTTCGTTTTTCGGACTTCCTCCATCAGTTTGTTTATGGGGGTTACTTGGGTGCATGGGGTTTCTGGCACGGCTTCAAAGAGTCGCTGATTTACGGGAGTTTTTTCTACAACAAGCATGTCATAGAAATTTTTTTTGGTAAAGATTTTCTAACAACTTTCGTTTTGAAATTCATTGATTTTTTCATGACAAATGTATTACGTAGCAAAACATAAAAAAAGGAGGCCAAGAAATGTAAATTTAAGTTTATTGTGACACAAATATTCTACAGTAGTCTAGTCAAAATTGAGAACACAAAAATTGATTTGTTCAGTAAACATGGGAAGTCAAAAAGCGAAAAAAAAACAAGGAGAAACGCGACTAAAAAAGCTATAAAAAACCGATTAAAAAACATCCATAAGAAAAAGCGACAAAAAAACTGTGTCGAGAAAAATAAAGGTAATAGAAAAAGAACGGAAAACTTGGCAAACAGTAACAATAAAAAGCGTGTTAAAGTCTGGAAGAAAATGAACCTAAAAGAAAAAGGTTATAAAAAAAAACGATAGAAGACTGGGATAAAAAAATTCACAAGATGCGACAACAAAATACAAAAAACGAAAAAAAAAAAAACAGGCAAAAACACCGTTAAAAAAGTCCACAAAAGAAGTAAAAAATTAACGACAAAAAATGGTTACTAAAAAGACAAAAAATCGTTAAAAAAGAAACGATAAAAAATCTGGAAAGAAAATGAATCAAAAAAAATCTAAAAACGATTTTAAAACAACATAAATAAAAAGTCTGACAAAACGGGCAGAAGCGTGATTACAAGAATATATGACAAAAAAGACGGGAAAAAACGATAAAAACGGGACTAAAAACACCGATGAAAAAAATCTACAACAAACGGCAAAAAACTAAGAAAAAAAGTTTATAAAAATACTATAGCAAAACTTCGCAAAAACGCAACAAAAAAAAAAAAACGAAAAACTTATTACCAAAAAAGCGACAAAGAAATTGCAAAAAAAAGAGCGAAAAGTCTGGAAAAAAGTGAAACAAAAAAGCCACAAAAAATATTTAAAAAAAAGTGAGAAAAAAGTATACAAAAGTAAAAAGACTTCAAAAAGCCAAAAAAAGTTTACCTAACAAAAAATTCAAAAAAAAAAACGGCAGAAGAGGGTGATTTAAAAACACAGGAAAATGCGACCAAAAAAAAAATAATAATAAAAAATGACGAAAACAATAAATAAAGCGACAAAAAAATCCGAAAAGAATTAGAAGAGAAAAGAATCGTTAAAAAAAGCCATAAAAAAAATGGCGGAAAACGAAACAGAAAAATTAAAAAAAAAAAAACGATTTAAGAAAAACCGACAAAAACGACATAAATATAAAAAGTATCAAAATACCCCAAAAAAAAAAAGAAAAAGGCTGACAAAAAGAACAGAAAAGTTTGAATAAAAAAAACCACAAGAATATACCACAAAAAGACAAAAAAAAAAAAACGACCAAAAAAGGATGAAAGCACCGATGAAAAAAGACTACAAAACAACTATAAATAAAAGTTCATAAAAAATATTAGAACCGCGCAAAAAAAAAAACAACAAAAAAGACAAAAAAATTATTACCAAAAAAGCGACAAAGAATTTTCAAAAAAAAGGGAACGATAAAAGCCTACAAGAAAATGAAACAAAAAAAGCCATAAAAAAAAGATTTAAAAAAAGGTGACAAAAGCTACAAAAAAAGTCAAAAAGCATCAAAATGGCATAAAAGGTAACCTGACAAAAAAAAACCGCCAGAAGAGGGTGACTAAAAAAAAACACAAGAGACTGCGACACAAAATTTTAAAAAGACACAAACCAAAAAGAGAAATCAAAAAATGGAACTAAAAGTAGAGAGTCAAAAACGAGACAAAAAAAAGCAAAAAGAATACAAAGAGAAAAGTCCGCAAAAAAATCGTTAAAAAAAGAAGCGATAAAAAACTGGTAGAAAATGAAACAAAAAAAGCTAAAAAACGATTTAAAAAAAAGTGACAAAAACAACATGAAAATAAAAACCATCAAAATGCCAAAAATAGAAAAAGTCTGACAAAAAAAAAAGATTTTTCAATTTTTAGATTTTAACTTTTTGAGTTTTCCAATTTTCCGCTTATATGTATATTTTAGTTTTTAGCTTTATTTTTCAGTTTTTAGGGATTTTCCAGTTCCTTGACTTTTAAGTTTTTAACTTTACAGTTTTTCCGATAGTTCGACGTGTAGACTTAATTTTCCAATTTTTTGACTTCAATTTTCCATATTCCAATTTTATTATACCGCAAGTTTTTATTTTTAAATTTTACAATTGGTTGATTTTTCAATTTTTCGAATTTTTAAACTTAATTTTTCACTTCTTACTTTTTTCATTTTTCTTTACCATTTTTCAATTTTTAAGTTTTCCAATTTTTCAGTTTATGATTGCTAATTTTATATTTTTCAATTTTAAAATTTTTTAATTGTGTGGTTTTCAGTTTGGAAATGTTTCGATTTTTCTCTTAATTCCTAGGTTTTCTTTCAATTTTTCGATTTTTGAATTTTTCATGTTTTAAGTTTTTCAATATTTGGACTTTTTGATTTAATTATTCGATTTTTCAATTTTACGATTTTCTAGTTTATTTTTCAGTTTTTATGTTTCTCGTATTCGATTTTACAATTAACAATTTTTCGATCTTTCGACAATTCCATTTTTCGATTTTTGGTTTTTCAGCATTTCAATATGTAGTTTTTCAATTTTATAATATTCGATTTTACTAGTTTTCCATTTTTCGAGTTTTCAATTTTAATTTTTTTGATTTTGAATTTTTGGATTTTTTTTTAGTTCTTTCAGTTTTTCAGTTTGCCGATTTTGGGGTTTTTGAATTTTCAATTTTTTAGTTCAATATCAAAAATAAGAAAAAAAAAATTGGTCTAAAGAGTTTAGACAGTACTTCCCTCGCTGTCGGAAACTTGACGACTGCATGCCTATTGTGTTTTTTTTCTCATTACACTTTTGTAGTGGGAATTTAAAAAAAAATTGCGATGACGTCATCAACATTTTTGCAAGGACACGTATATCAGTTGGGATAGATGTAGTGTAATACTAAGAATAAAATTATTATATTCTCAAATTTTCGGGAAAATGAATTGGGTCGTTTGAATATTGATTTGTAATAATCAATAAAATAACGAAACAATTTACTCACGTATACCTACGTATCAGAGGCAACTGAAAATCGTGTATGTATAAACATTGTTAATTTAAGATGACAGGCGTAACAGCATACGTGAGAGTCAAACAGAGAAACTGTAAACAATACGACTATCGGTTTTATTGCTTCGACTCCCGCTTATTATATAAAACATTGGGTTTTATTTTAATTCTTGACGGTGAAATTCACAATTGGTTGATTATAAACATGTCTATTTCACATTCGCGGAATCAAGTGAACGCATAAAACAAATGCAGGTCTGTAATGTTAAAGTCGATGTAAATAAGCGTGCTACCTTTATGTTTCAACCGAGTTTTTCCTTTAACAAATTTTGTGTCTACCAAATTGGGTTGGTTGGGGTGTAATACTAATAATAAGTGTTGCCTTTAATTTAATCAATAAAATAAATTGACTTCATTAATTCTTTTGAACCACCTCTTAAGAAAATCTAAAAAATATGAATGGAATGATAAATCACAAGTACAAACTCATCATATTTTTTGCATTTTAGATAGGATTTATTCAGCAAAATTTAAGGGTGACGTCATCAATTTTTTTAGGAGGGATGAACAAATACATTTTGAACAAAAGTTTACCATGCTTATAATAACTTTAAAATATTCCCAAGATTTCAAAGCATTCGGTTTTGTAATTCCTGATTAAATCGATAAAATAAATTCACGCCTTCATTAATTTTTTTGAGTCACCCTGCATATGCAAATCCAAAAATATGAATGGAATGATAAATCACAAGTACAGACTCATCATATTTTGTACATTTTAGATACGATTTATTCGGAAAACTTTTGAGCTGACGTCATCAGTTTTTTGTAGAAGATAACCAAATATATTTTGACTAAAAATTTATTATGCTCTTTATAACCTTAAAACATCTGCAAGATTTCAAAGCATTCGGTTTTGTAGTTCCTGATTAAATCAATAAAATAAATTTACGCATTCATTAATTTTTTTGAGTCACTCTGTATATGCAAATCCAAAAAATATGAATGGAGTGATAAATGACAAGTACAGGCTCATCATATTTTGTACATTTTAGATATGATTTATTCGGCAAACTTTCGAGCTTACGTCATCAAGTTTTTGGAGGGGATAAGCAAATATATTTTGACTAAACATTTATTATGCTCTTTATGACCTTAAAACATCTGCAAGATTTCAGAGCATTCGGTTTTGTAGTTCCTGATTAAATCAATAAAATATATTTACGCATTCATTAATTTTTTTGAGTCACCCTGTATATGCAAATCCAAAAAATATGAATGGAGTGATAGATCACAAGTACAGACTCATCATATTTTGTACATTTTAGATATGATTTATTCCACAAAGTTTTGAGCTGACGTCATCAAGTTTTTGGAGGGGATAAGCAAATATTTTTTGACTAAAGATTTATGATGCTCTTTATAGCCTTAAAACATCTGCTAGATTTCAGAGCATTCGGTTTTGTAGTTCCTGATTAAATCAATAAAATATATTTACGCATTCATTAATTTTTTTGAGTCACCCTGTATATGCAAATCCAAAAAATATGAATGGAGTGATAGATCACAAGTACAGACTCATCATATTTTGTACATTTTAGATATGATTTATTCCACAAACTTTTGAGCTGACGTCATCAAGTTTTTGGAGGGGATAAGCAAATATTTTTTGACTAAAGATTTATGATGCTCTTTATAGCCTTAAAACATCTGCAACATTTCAAAGCATTCTGGTTAGCAGATTAAAAATTAAATTTCAAAATGTTGTTTTATAATTTTGATTTTTTTTCCAAAAATCTGGACGTTTCGAGTGAAAAGTCGATTCAGAGTTGTAAACTACATGTGTAGGACTATGTTATTTTATACAATTGAAAACCCATTTATTATGTACAATTTTGAAGTGACGTCATCGCTTTAGTGGTGGGGATGATTCGACAAATTTTGGTTAGCGTTTTACCATCTACATGATATTCTTAATATAAGTACAAAATTTCACAACAATCGGTCGAGTACTTTCGGAGATTATCTGTCTAATAAAAATCCGGGACAACAGACGGACAGACGGACAGACGGACGGACAGACGGACAGACGGACGGACAGACGGACGGACAGACGGACAGACAGACGGAAATGGGAGACCTATTTCTTCGTCTTCTAGGGGTCATGAAAGATCGAGAAAACATAAAAGTAGAGAGTCGGCCGACGGACTCGATTACAATACTTCCTTTGCTTACGCTCGGGAAGTAAAAAACGACCAAAAAAACGGGGCAATAGCACCGATAAAAAGGCTACAAAAAATGCCAAAAAACTATTAAAAAAAAGTCTTAAAAATTACTAGAAAAACTAGAAGAAAAAAAACAAAAAAAAAAGACGAAAAAAAATTATTACCAAAAAAGCGACAAACAGTTTTTACAAGATTAATACAGGCAAAATCAGTCTTATATTAGGAAGTACTAGCCCCGCCCACCACGCCCCCTATTTTCTCAGTGGATGTCATTTGCCAAAATAAGTCTTATTTTAGCAAGTACTAGCCCCGCCCACCCGCCCCCTGTTTTCTCAGAGGTGATGTTATTTGTCAAAATAACTCCTATCTTAGCAAGTACTATCCCCATTCACCTGCCCTCTATTTTCTTAAAAGATATGTCATTTGCTAAAATGCTAGTATTTGCTAAGATAAGACTGATTTTGGCAGATGACATAGCCTCTAAGAAGAAAGTGGGTGGGTGGGCGGGGCTAGTACTTGCTAAGATAAAACTGATTTTGGCAAATGCTATACCCTCTAAGAAAATAGAGGGCGGGTGGGTGGGGTAGAATTTTTCGGCAAAATTTTGAGATGACGTCATCAATTGTTTGGAGGGGCTAAGTAAATATACTTTGATTTAAAATTTATTATGCTTATCATAACTGCCAAAAAAAACTGACCTGACAAAAAATACAAAGAAAAGGCAGAAGAGGGTGATTAAAAAACACAAGAAAATGCGACAAAAAAATTTAAAAAGCCACAAAAAACAAAAAAGGGAGATCAAAAAATGGGATTCAAAGTAGACAGCCAAAAATGGGACAGAAAAAAACAAAAAGAATACGAAGAGAAAAGTCCGCAAAAAAATCGTTAAAAAAACTGGTAGAAAATGAAACAAAAAAAGCTAAAAAACGATTTAAAAAAGCGACAAAAACAACTTGAAAATAAAAAGTATCAAAATGCCAAAAATAGAAAAAGTCTGAAAAAAGGGACAGCAAAGTGCGATGAAAAAAAACTTAGGAATATGACAAAAAAAAGATTTTTCAATTTTTGGACTTGGTTTTCCGATTTTTTGATTTTTCCGTTTTCAGTTTTACGATTTTGCAATTTTTAGGTTTTAACTTTTTGAGTTTTTCAATTTTCCGATTATATGTATATTTTAGTTTTTAGCTTTATTTTTCGGTTTTTCCGATATTTCGATGTGTAGACTTGATTTTTCAATTTTCTGACTTTTCAATTTTCCATATTGCAATTTTATTATACCACAAGTTTTTATTTTTAAATTTTACAATTGTTTGATTTTTCAATTTTGTAGTTTTCAAACAATTGTTCAATTATTCGATTTTTGGAATTTTCGTTTTTTTAATTTTACGTTTCGTGATTTTTCAATTTTTCGAATTTTTAAATTTAATTTTTCACTTTTTACTTTTTTTCAATTTTTCTTTTTTTTTTATTTTACCATTTTTCAATTTTAAATTTTTTTAATTGTGTGGTTTTCAGTTTTGAAATTTTTCGATTTTTGTCTTAATTCCTAGGTTTTTCTTTCAATTTTTCAATTTTTGAATTTTTCATGTTTTAAGTGTTTCAATATTTGGACTTTTTTATTTAATTATTCGATTTTTCAATTTCATGATTTTCTAGTCTATTTTTTAGTTTTTATATTTCTCGTGTTCGATTTTACAATTAACAATTTTTCGATCTGTCGACAATTCCATTTTTCCATTTTTGGTTTTTCAGCATTTCAATATTGTAGTTTTTCAATTTTATAATATTCGATTTTACTAGTTTCTAGTTTTCCATTTTTTTCGAGTTTTCAATTTTAATTTTTTTTTTAGTTTTTTCAGTTTTTCAGTTTGGTGATTCTGGGGTTTTTTGAATTTTCAATTTTTTAGTTCAAAGTCAAAAATAAGAAAAAAAAAAAACAAAACAAAACGACCAAAAAACGGGGCAATAGCACCGATAAAAAAGGCTACAAAAAATGCCAAAAAGAAACTATTAAAGTTCATAAAAATTAATAGAAAAACCTTGCAAAAAAACAAGAAAAAAAAGACGAAAAAATTTACATATTACCAAAAAAGTGACAGAGTTTTTACAAGATTAATACAGGCAAAATCAGTCTTATACTAGGAAGTACTAGCCCCGCCCACCCGCCCCCAATTTTCTCAGAGGTAATGTTATTTGCCAAAATAAGTCCTTTCTTAGCAAATACTAACCCCACCCACCCGCCCCCTGTTTTCTCAGAGGGTATGTTATTTGCCAAAGTTAGTCTTATCTTAGCAAGGACTAGCCCCACCCACCCGCCCCCTAGTTTGTCAGAGGGCTTGTAATTTGCCGAAATCACTCTTATCTTAGCAAGTACTATCCCCATTCACCTGCCCTCTATTTTCTTAAAAGACATGTCATTTGCTAAAATGCTAGTATTTGCTAAGATAAGACTGATTTTGGCAGATGACATAGCCTCTAAGAAGAAAGTGGGTGGGTGGGCGGGGCTAGTACTTGCTAAGATAAAACTGATTTTGGCAAATGCTATACCCTCTAAGAAAATAGAGGGCGGGTGGGTGGGGCTAGTCCTTGCTAAGATAAGACTAACTTTGGTAAATGACATATCCTTTGAGAAAATAAGGGGCAAATCTAAAAAATATGAATGAGATGATAAATCACAAGTACAAACTCATCGTTTGCAGATTCTGGGTAGAATTTTTCGGCAAAATTTTGAGATGATGTCATTAATTATTTGGAGGGGATAAATAAATATATTTTGATTTAAAATTTATTATGCTTATCATAACTGCCAAAAAAAGCTGACCTGACAAAAAATACAAAAAAAGGCAGAAGAGGGTGATTAAAAAAACACAAGAAAATGCGACAAAAAAAACAAAAAAGGGGGACTAAAAGTCGGCAGTCACAAATGAGACAAAAAGCAACAAAAAAACGAAATGAATCCGAAGAAAAGTCCACAGAAAAATCGTTAAAAAAAGAAATTACTAAAAAAAAGGAAACAAAAAAAGTCACAAAAAAGATTTTAAAAAAGGTGACAAAAACTAAAAAAACCAGGGGAACCAAAAAATGGGGAAGTCAAAAATGAGAGAAAAAACAAAGTAAAACAGAAAAGATGCCAAAATAAACAACAAAAACCAAAAAAAAGTTGGAACAAAAAAATACATAAAAAAGAACGACAAAAAAGTCCGCGTGAAAATGTGACAAAAAATATTTTTAAAACTCGACACAGACCGACGGACAGACATGCAGACGAGAGAGAAATGGGAGGCTGATTTTTTCGTAATCTAGGGATCATGAAACATCGAGAAAACGTGAAAGTAGACAGTACCCCGATAGACTCGATTACAATACTTAGCCTACGTAAAAAGCTAACGGGGACCAAAAAATTCCATTAAAAATCGTAAGCTACAAAAAATCGACCAAAAAAAAAAAAAACATTCTTATAAAAAAGAGGGGCTCACAAGAACTACTAAAAATTAGAAGGCAAAAATGAGACAAAAAAAAAAAAACACAAAAAGGAGATAAAAAAGCGAAAAAGAGAAAAAAATGATGAAAAGTTAAGTAGGATTTATTTTTGCATAATTCGGAGATGACGTCATCAATTTTGATAAGCGATTTACCGTCTACACGATATTCCTAAAACATACCTACAACAATCAGTCCAGTAGTTTCGCAGATTTTTTATCTAGTAAAATCGCCCCCATTTCAAAAGACAGATTGTGATACTCAACACATTCTTATCATAGCATTTCGACTCTACTCCTTATGGGCAACAATAAAAAAAAATGTAACTAGAGTGTGAAAAAAAAAAAGTAAGAACTAACCATTTTTGCAAACATCAAGAGGCTGAAGTTGACTGACCGGCGTCAAAACCTTCCTCCACGTACTAGAACCCGGTGTACTTCTCTTATCAGCGATGGGTGTACATCTCTTATCAGCCATGGGTGTACTTCTATTATCAACGACGGGTGTACTTCTCTTATCAACGATCGGTGTACTTCTCTTATCAACAATCGGTGTCGCCACCTTGTTTCTGCTAACAGGAGTCCCAAGAACACTGCTACTCCTACTGGGCGCTACAACCACCAACATTACCAAAAAAAACCCCAAAAAATTAAAATCACCTTTAGATTCACCCATCAGAAAACCCTCCTCTGGAACAAACTTCCCGCTCTTGGCACACTCAAACAACCACTCCTTCGCCACCACCGGCAGCCCCCACTTCAACGCCGCCACATACTTCTTCCCCTCGGTACTCAAACTCACCAAATGCGTCGACGCCTTAACATTTTTCTCAACGCACATAACCCGCGCAAACTGATCCTGAAAATCGCCACCGAGGGTCTCGATCAACCCCTTCAGGAAAATCCTCTCGGCCCCCGTGTGCCCGCTGACCGTGACCACGCAATTCACCAAAGGTTTACTATCGCAGACCACAAAGGGGCGAAAATAGTACTCAATTTCCAGATCCTCGCAGTGCTGGATGGACTCGCTGATCCAGTACTGGTTGACCACCTCGAGGGCTGACGCTTGAACCGGGGCTTTGACGAACGCCGGGGCCACCACGTAGTCCGGGATACCCTTGTACGACTTCGCCATGACCGTCCCCAGCACGCTCTCGATTTGCTGCTTGACGTACTGCGCCTCCTCCATCGAGAAGTTGACGATGACGAACTTCTTCGAGTAGAAGATGTTGGTGTCTTGGGTCGACCTGTCGTCTTGGGAGCTCTGCGAAAACTCGCTCGACAGGTCGGTGGTGCGCTTGGAGTCGCCGGCGGCGTCCGGTTTCGAGTTGAAGTCGCTGTTGTTCTTGAGGAGTTGTGCTAGCGTGTCGGAGTCTTCGTTCTTGGAGGCGGGTTTGAGGTACTGCTGCATGATGTCGTCCTCGGGCTCGAGGTCTTGGGAGTTCCGGGCGCTGGTGCTGGCGGCTTCGAAGTCGTTGGAGGTCATGGTTTTTTTGGATCGCAGCAAGCTGAGGCCCTGGAATGGGTTTAGTTAGCGGCGGAATTGGGGGTGTTTGGGGTTACTTTTTTTCCGAGGGGGGAGCTGAATTGCTCTTTGTCGAAGTCGTGGAGGTTGATTAGGTAGTTTTCTTCGTCGGCTATTTGCTGGTTTTCCATGCTGTCGAGTAGCCACTGGAGAGAGACGAGTGAGACTGAGTAGTTTTTTGTTTTGATTATTTTGACTTCGGGACAAGTCGTGTCTCCGACGATGATGTGGGTGAGTCGGTCGGAGATGTCGTCGTACCGGGTGGCGCCGCTCAGGTTTAGAATTTTGGCGAGTTTTTCTCTCTGGTCGGGGATAAATCCGGCCAAGTAGACCTAAAAGGTACGAATATATGATGACAACGAGAGTTGTAATATTCCCTTGCTCCTGAAGTTCAATCAAACAAATCCAGTTTTTCGATAATTGATAAGACTTTATAAGTGAAACAATGGAAATGTGAAATTCAATATAATAAACTTTTGTGAATTTTTCAACAAGGATAACAAAAAGTAAAAAAATTGACCGAAAAATTCGATAAAAAAACGAAAAGAGGCGACAAGAGGAAGGCGAACAAAATACGATTCAACAAAAGAAAAAATACAACTAAAACAATGTGAACAGAAAAAACAGAAAAAATACGAAAAAAAACATAACCAAAAAAATTTCCAAAAATACCACAAAAAACGACAAAAAAAATGTCAAAAAAGCACTAAAAAAAAAGGACAACCCAAAAAACAGCGAAAAAAAGTATATGAAAAAAAAAACGTTAAAAAAGCAGCTACAAAATGCTCCAAAAAGGCGACAAAAATACCACAACGAAGACAAAAGTTGATGAAAAATTAATTATAAACAACAAAAACGTAACAAAAAGACAGCAAAAAATGCTGCAAAAATAGCACAAAAGACAACAAAAATGAGAAAAAAGGGACCAAAAAACCGCGACAAAAAATTATAGAAAAGAGGTCATTTAAAAAAAAAAAAAAAAATACGACAAAAAAGTGATAAAAAAACGCAAAAAATTAATTCATGAAGAGACCAATAAAAGACCTCAAAAAGGAGTGAACAAAACGACCAAAAAAAAAAAAAAAACACAATAACGAGCATCGGAAAATGGTAACAAAAAGGAGTCCAAAAAAACCCGCCAGAAAAAAGGCGATTAAAAAGAGCTAAAAAAACAAAAATGATCTATAAAGACTACAAAGATGTGAAAAACAAGGCGACAAAAAATCGATCAAAAAAACGCAACAACAAGAAGCAAAAAAAATCACAAAAATGGACCGCCATAACAAAAAGTAGAAAAAGGTTTTAAAAAAGGGTAAAAAAAAAACGCAAACAAAAAATATGAAATACAGACCACAAAAAGGGCGACAAAAATAAGAGAAAAAAATATGCGACAACAGAAAGTAGAAAAAAAGGTACAAAATTATTTCTAAAAAGATCACAAAAAAGGCTTAAAAAAGATGAAAAAGGTGAACAAGAGAAAAAGGGAGATAAACCGGTAACAACCACGAAATAATAATGGTTTATTAACCGAAAACACAACAAAAAAAATGTCACAAAAAAAAGGAAACAAAAAAGCAACAAAAAAAGTACAAAAAAGACGACAAAAAGAAATACAATAAAAAAAACAAAAAAAATGCGACAAAAAAGGCAGAAAAAGGGGCTATTAAAAAAAAAGATTTACAAAATACGTGACAAAAAAGAGGGAAAAATAATTTTTCAAAAAAGACCACAAAAAGGGCTACAGAAAGGTGGTCAAAACAAGCGTTTAAAAAAGATCCAAAAAAAAAAACGCAAGTCAAAATGCGATTACAAAAAGGTTAAAAAAAAATGAAAAAAAAAAGAAGTAAAAACTGGTGAAAAAATGGCAACATAAAAAAATCACAAAAAATGCAGGAAAAAGGCTACAAGAGAGTAAAATAAACAAACACCAAAAAATGAGCAAAAAATTTTCTAAGATCACAAAAAATCGTTAAAAAAAGAGCGACAAAAGGCAAACCGCGATAACAAAACGCAAACAAAAAACATGACAAAAACCACAAAAATAAGAGGAATAAAAAAAAATACAACAAAAAGCTGAAAAAGGGAGACAAAATAAGACACAAAAAAACGCCACAAAAGATTATAAAAAAACAAAAAGAAAAGCTATTTAAAAAGGAGTAAAAAACTAAAAAAAAGTGACAAAAACAAAAGAGCCAAAAAATTGTCCAAAAAGACCGAAAAAAGAGGTGAAAAAGGCAAAACAAACGACGAATGAAAAAAGAACAAAAAACTCTAACCACGAAAAAATCAGCCAAAAAAATTGCAATAAAATCACAAAAAAAAAAACATAAAAAAAGTGACAATGGCAACGAAAACGACAAAAGAATCAGTAACAAAAAACCGGTAATATCAAAAATACGCGACAAAAAAAAACAAAAATTGACCAAAAAACGCAAAAAAATGCGCAAAAAATTTTAGAACGAAAAATGTCACAAAAGGAAGGAAAAAGCGACAAAAATAAATGCAACAAAAAACAAAAAAAAAAATCGCTAAAAAAAGGCCCAAAAATAACATAACAAAAAATGTCAGAAAAAGAGGCTATAAAAAAAAGATTTAGAGAATACAAAAAAAGTGACAAAAAACGACGCAAAAACAAATTTCTAAAATGCATAAAAAAAAAGGTATACACTAAGGGGGTGAAAAAGGTGTCTAAAAAAAAAAGAGCTAAAAAAATGGTATCAAAAAAACGCCCCAACGAAAATCAGAAAAAAGGGCGATGAAAGAGTCCAAAAAATGCGATTACAAAAAAGTTAAAAAAATGAAAAAAAAAATCAAAGAATGCTTCAAAAGACGACAAAAAGAAATGAAAATTGGTGAAAAAATTGCAATATAAAAATTACAAAAAAAGGCTACAAAAAAGTAAAATAAAGACAAAAAAAATGAGCCAAAAATTTTCCAGGATCACAAAAAGTCGTAAAAAATGTGAATAACAAATATAAAAAAAAAAAACGCAAACAATAACAATGACACAAAGACAACAAAAATAGAGAAACAAAGGAACGTGACAACAAAAAACCAGACAAAAAGGAGATAAAAAAATAGGTATAAAAAAAGGGACAAAATGTGTAGAAAAAAGAAGCAGAAAGAAAGGCTCTCTAAAAAGGAGTAAAAAAAAAACTAAAAAAAGTGCCAAAAACAAAGGAAATAAAAAAGGTGAACAAAAGATAAATAAAAAGGGACAAAAAACGGTAACAACCACGAAACAATCAGCCAAAAAATATCCAATTAAATCAAAAAAACTATAAAAAAAGTGAGAAAGGCGACGAAAAGGACAAAAGAATCAATAACAAAAAACTGGCAATCAATATTAAAAAACCGAAAAAAGATCCAAAAATACGTGACAAAAAAAAAACTCAAAAAATTTTAGAAAAACAACAAAAAATGTCACAAAAAAAGAAAACCAAAAAAGCGACAAAAATAGCACAAAAAGCAGCAATAAAGAGAAAAAAAACACAAAAAAGGATCTAAAAATAACGTAACAAAAAAGGAAGAAAAAGGGGTTATAAAAAAAATACGAAAAAAAGTGGCAAAAATAAATTTCTAAAAACACCAAAAAAATGCATAAAAAAAAGCCTACAGAAAGGAGGTGAAAAAAGCGTTTTAAAAAGGACCAAAAAAATGGCACCAAAAAACGCTTCAACGAAAATTAGCAAAAAGGCGACTAAAAAGAATCCAAAAAATGCAACAAAAAATCCGATTACAAAAAGGTTAAAAAATTGGAAAAAAGGGCAAAAAATTCTCCAAAGATCACAAAGAGAAGTAAAAATTGGTGAAAAAAAATGTCAACATTAAAATAACAGAAAAAGGCAGGAAAAGGTTACAAAAGAGTCAAATAAAGACAGGAAAAAATTAGTCAAAAATTTTCCAAGATCACAAAAAGTCGTAAAAAATGTGAAAAAAATGCGAACAAAAAAACTGCAATAGGTTTTAAAAAAGGGCCAAAAAAACGTAACCACCACGAAAAAAATAGCCAAAAAATTCTAATATAATCACAAAAAACATGAGAAAAGTAAAAAAAGGGGACGAAAAACATAAAAGAATAACAAAAAAACGACAATATCAAAAAATAAAAAACAAAAATGTCCGAAAAATACGCGACAAAAAACACAAAAATTTACCAAAAAAACGCAAAAAACCGCGAAAAAAAAAGTCACACAAAAGGGGAAACCAAAAGAGCACAAAAAAAGACGACAAAAAAGAAATGCAACAAAAAAAAACAAGAAAAATGTGACAAAAAAAGGGCCCAAAAAGAGCGTAACAAAAAAGGCAGAAAAAGGGGCTATTAAAAAAAAAAAGAATTAGAACCTACGAAAAACAGAACGTGACAAAAAAAAAAAGAGGAAAAACATAAATTTCTAAAAAGACTACAAAAATTCATAAATCAGGCCTACAGAAAAGGGGTGAAAAAAAGTATTTTAAAATGAAGGACCAAAAAAAAATGCCACCAAAAAAACGCTCCAACGAAAACCAGAAAAAAAGGCGATTAAAGAGTCCAAAAAACGCAATTACAAAAAGGTTAAAAAAAAATAAAAAAAAACAAAACAAAAAATGCTCCAGAGGATCACAAAGAAGTAAAAATTGGCGAAAAAATTACAACATAAAAATCACAAAAAAAGGCAGAAAAAAGGCCACAAGAGTAAAATAAAAAAAAAGAAATGAGTCAAAAATTTTCCAAGACCACAAAAAATCGTGAATAATGTGAAAAAAAAAACCGCGATGACAAAAAGTAGAAAAAAAGGTGATTAAAAAAAAGGACCCAAAAAAAAAACGCTAACAAAAAATATGACAAAAACAACGCAAAAAAGGACGACACAAATAAGAGAAAATAAAAAAGAAATGCGGCAACAAAAAGCAGCAAAAATGTACAAAAAACGCTATCAACATAAAGGTTATAAAAAAATGTAACGAAAAGCAGTATTTTTACTGCTGGCCACAAAAATAAGCAAAAAAAATTACAAAAAAAATCACAAAAAAGTAAAAATTGGTAAAAAAACAAAAAATATGTCAAAAATGGGTACCCAAATAAGGAGCAACAAAAAAAAAAAGCGACAAAAAGCGACAAAAAACCGCTATAAAAAACCACAAATGTAATCCCACATTTTCTCCTTTTTAGATGAGATTACCTGGCGAAATTTTGAAAATGTCATCAAGTTTTTGTAGCGCATAAACAAAAAAATGTTGATTAGCGAAATGCCATCTTTGCGATAGCTTTGACATATCTGCAAGATTCCAGGCAGTCGTCAGTTTCATGATTTCTTGAAATTGTAAAACGTTCAAGGTAAATAAGTATCACAGAAGAAAATTCAAATCGAATCTACTTTGAAAATTTTTAGATGACGTCATCAAATTATTGGTGGGGACGATCAGGCAAATTTAGTTACCACTTCCCATCTACTAAACTACAAAAAAAAAAAAACTACATACACTGCATCCATCCAAATACTGCCCAGCTTTCTTGGCCTTTTTAATATCCAACCCATCAATCAGCCTCCCAACGTCGGCAGCCGCAGAACCTGAACAAAAAATAAACACACAAAAATCTCAGAACAAATAAAACTCACATTTTCTTTTATTGGGAGAAATTTTCTTAGGAAAGAGCACACTAGGTTGCAGCCTTTTCGGAATCACAGACTCCTCAAAAGTATTAGGCATCCTAGACATGTCACCAATGGCACTAATCAACGAAAAATCGGGCCCCGCCTCGTCGTCTCTAGTCGGAGTAGAAGTCCCCTTCTTATTAACATTATACAACTTATGCGGCAACGCGTATCCTTTCGCTATACTATCATGAACCCAGTCAACGCTCACGCAAAAAATATTCGGGTTAGTCCTCACAGCTTTGTACTTTTTGCTCAACAAACCACTAAAAAAATCTGATAAGTGCGATTTTTATGATAATAGAAAACGTACTTGTCCCCATGGACTATCAACACGTCTGTAGTCGATAAGGACAGATTGGCAGTGAAAATCCCCCCATACTTCGCTATAGTCTGCGCAATTTCAGCCCTCATTTCAACATTGGAAAAACCAGTTGAAGAAATTGTGAGACTGTGAAACGGGGGACACTTATATTTATTAAATTGTTCATCATCACAGTGAATATTACTAGTCTGACTGGCTTCCCATACGGCATCCACCCACTTAGAAACGTACAACTTTAACCCGGTTTCCCCTGCTTGCTAAAATCCAGTCATGTTCATTGATTCTAGAAACTTAGCAACTTACTAAATATTTTTCAGACTTCACGCTCTCTGTGACTAAGTGGGTGTTCGTGGACATGAGACTGTCAGTGTAGCAGCCCCCCATCAGCTGCACTTTCTCTTTAATTTCGGATTTTCGCGCTTTGAGGATGTGTGAACATGATACGACAACTCCAGACATGGCGACGTTGTATATAGGCCACGTGAAATTCGGGATGGAGCGGCCTTCCATTAAGCAAACTAGGAGGCACCACGGTCCTAAAATTCTGCTGCAAAATAGTGATTGTGGACTGAGTTATCTTAAGATGACAAAACTTACGCACACTTGCTTTCTTTCAGGGAGTTAAAATTTCTACCTTTGAAATCCTGGAAGACGACAAAGTCGGTTTTGGACAGGTCTGTTGAGTCTAGTTTGGATTCTTCCAGCCAAGACACGTTGACGACGTTTTGTTGGCATGACTAGAAAGTTTAATGAGTTTTATCAGATGATTATCAATGTAAAATACCTCATAAGCTTGACACATCAGTTCAGATGCTTGAGTCTGGTCGGAACAGCCTTCGGGGAGGATAAAAAGGACCCTGATGTTTTCCATTATTCAGAAAAACCGTTTTAGCGCCAGTAACCTAAAAAGCGTGACTGAAATAGTGAACAACAAGCCTTGAATCGTTTTATTTACGATGGGTTAAAGTGTGTATAAAAGTGCTTTGTTTTCAAGACAAATTCATCGTGAAATTAAACCCACACAAAAAAACAAATCGAATCAAATCAAAATTTACCACACGACACAACTGACAGATGAATTATCAACATGCTCGCGTCAATTCAAAACTAGCCAATGAAATGAGAACCTGACATGAAAAACCTTTGAAGGTAGAATTCCCCCAGACACTTTCGCACAAAAGTCACTAGTGTCAACGGAAGCTCGTTAATTATCAATTTTTTGCTACATTTTTAATAACATTTTTGGTCAGATTTATTTATAGCATTATCTTATTACTAATATTTATTGTATTAAAAACACTAACGATTGCACTTGAGATTCTGTACTACTTTTAACGCATCTGTCACTCTAAAGAACTGAAACTTAATTTAACCCTCAATTCACATTTCTACCGGCCTAGAATTATTCAGTTTTTGTAACTCGTCCAGAACGCACTCTTGATACTCCTTGAAAACCAGCAGTGCTTCCCGTTCCCCGCTCAATTCAAAATACCTTTTCCTCCTTTCGTTGCATTCTTCCATATTCTCCTGGTTCTTCCCATTTGTCCCGAATTTTTTCTTTTCCAACGCACGATTTATCTTTTTCACAAACTCTTCCACGTTTTTCTCTGACTGCCGCCACGCAGTCTCAAGTTGCACCCTCTGAACAATAACCCGATCGTTTAAATCATGGGCTTGCTTTTTCAGCAACGCCTCTTGTTTTTGAAGAACTTCCTCTTGTTGGTTTAATCGTATTAGTTTGTTTTGGGATATTTCCAGTTTTTTCCGTAGCTGAGATAAGTCGGTTTTGAGTTCATCCAGGCTTTTCTCGGGGATTTCCGATTTCTGCGTGTTATCATCCATTGTAGCTATTTTATCACGATTTCGTTGTGATTATTACAAAAAAAAACACGAATAATGCTATCACCACGCTTAGATGTTGGTACTTTTTGACATTCCATTGTATTGAATTTTTATTGGTCACAGTCACCTTAGCCAACCGTAGAATTGAAATTCGCTTTTTTGTAGAATTTCGTAGAAAACAGAAAGTTTAAATACTTTATTAACAATTATTAGTTACAATTAGGCCATTTTGCGCTGAAAATTTAAACTTTAAGCGTACTGCGCAAAAACGGAAGCGTTTGGGTTGTGACAGTTCAAGCAACGTTGCCGGATTGATTTGGCAATTTCATTTTAGCAACGTTGTTCTGAACTTTTCTTCCGTTTATTTATTTTAAATGATTTTATCTACACGTAACGATAAAGTGGGATTAATAAACTTGATGTTGACGTTTACCGTTTTAGACATGTTGTCGAAATAAGTCTACACATTTTAAGAAAGAAAGGCAAAATATATAACCCGCCCACCCACCCTGTCTCAAATGTGATGATTTTTTTTTTCGTCGTTAGCCAAGACGGCGGAGCTTATCTGCAAAATCCTTATTTCCCTACGAGAAATTAAAAACATGTTTGTGAGTGTCGTGCTGTTCAAAGAACACTATTTTATGTATCTTAACAAAAAATGATGCCAATGATTAGGCCCCACCCATATTCGCCCCGATCTCAATTCTCAGTTGTGATGAATTTTTCATTCGTTGTCAGATCGAGAGGCGGGGCTTAATTGCAAGATCCATTTTTGTCTAGAAGACTGAAAAAACGATTACGTATATTAAGAAAAAAGGCAAAATATAAGCTCCGCCCACCCGCCCTATCTCAATTGTGATGATTTTTTTCTAATCGTCGAGAGCCAAAGAAGTGGAATTTAACGGCAAAATCTTTATTATTTCTCTACAAGGAATTACCATGTAAGACATGTTTCTGAGTATCGTGTTATACAAAGAATACTATGTTTATTAAGACAAAATTGAAGCCAAAGATTAAGCCCCACCCATACCTGCCCTGATGTAAATAGTAATGAAATTTTCATTCGTTAGCAGACCTAGGGGCGGAGCCTAATTGCAAAATCCATATTTCCTTACAAAAATTGAAAAATTTTCCATTTTAAACATGTTTTAGGTTTCTAAGAATAAAAAAATCATCAGAAATGGGATGGGGTGGGTGGGCGGGGTTTATATTTTGTTTTTGTTTCTTAATATGCCTAGCATTCTTTGAACAACACGATCTTCAAAACATGTTTTTAATTTCTTGTAAAGAAATAAGTATTTTGCAGTTAAGCTCCGCCCCCTTGGTTCACGGTGAATAAAAAAAAATCATCACAATTGAGACAGGGCGGGTGGGCGGGCTTACATTTTGCCTTTTTGTTTTAGTATGTGTAGACATCTTTTCACAACATGAAACTTAAAACATGTTTAAAATGGACAATTTGTGTAAGAGAATATCGATTTTGCAATTAGGCTCCGCTCCGTAATTCCAAAAACTATATTTCCTTGCAAAAATGGATCATTTTAAACATGTTCTAAGTTTCTTGTTGTGAAAAGATGGCTATGTATATTAAAAAACAAAAAGGAAAATATAAGCCCCGCCCACCCACCCTGTCTCTATTCGGATGATTTTCTTTATTCGTCGTAAGCCGAGGGGCGGAGCTTAATTGCAAAATCCATATTTCTCTAGAAAATTTTGGCATGTTGAACATGTTTTAAGTTTCCTGTTATGAGAAGATTACATATATTTAAAAAAAACGGGCTAAATATAAGCCCCACCCACCCACCCTATGTCAGTTGTAATAATTTTTTTATTCGTCGTGAGCCGGGGGGCGGAGCCTACTTGCAAAATCGATACTCTCATATAAAAATTTACGATTGTAGACATGTTTGAAGTTTCTTGTTATCGAAATAGTCTACACATATTAAGATCACAAAGAAGTAAAAATTGGTAAAAAAAAAAGGGCGACAAAAAACCGCGATAAAGTAGAAAAAAAATGTGATAAAAAAAAGGGTTCAAAAATAAGAGAAAAAATAAATAAATGCGACAACAAAAAGCAGCAAAAAAGGTACAAAAAACGCTACCAACATAAAGGCTACAAAAAAAATGTAACAAAATGCAGAAAAAAAGCGACAAAAAAATTAAGTATTCTTTGAACAACACGATACTCAAAAGAATATTTTTATTTTATTGTAAAGAAATAAGTATTTCGCAGTTAAGCTCCGCCCCCTTGCTTCACGGCGAATAAAAAAAATCATCACAATTGAGACAGGGCGGGCTTACATTTTGCCTGTTTGTTTTAATATGTGTAGACGTCTTTTCACAACACGAAACTTAAAACATGTTTAAAATAGAAAATTTGTATACGGAAATATCAATTTTGCAATGAGGCTCCTCCACATAATTACAAAATCTATGTTTCCATGCAAAAATGTACCATTTTAAACATAAGTCTCTTGTTGTGAAAAAATTGTATATGAAGAAAAAAATATATAAGCCCCATCCGCCCACCCTATCTCAATTCTGACGATTTTTTTATTCGTCGTAAGCCGAGGGGCGGAACTTACCTAATTGTAAAATCCTTATTTTTCTACGAGAAATTACCATGTGAAATATGTTCTTAAGTAATCCTGTTATACAAAAAAAAAAAAACAAAAGTGAAGCCCCACCCATCCGTCTTGATCTCAATAGTGACGAGTTTTCATTCGTTGTCAGACCGAGGGGCGGAGCGTAATTGCAAAATCCAAAATCTATATTTTCCTATACAAATTTACTATTTTAAACATGTTTTACCTTCCTTATTGTGAAAAGAAGACTACAAATATTAAGAACAAAAAAAATGGCAATAAATCTTGTTGATTTAAAGGTCGAGAACTGTCTTTAATAACAAGACAAAAGTACTGACAGAAAATGTCCCCTACTTTAGGGGATTTTTCTTCGGTTGGCAGCGGTGCACACTACCGCAATTTGATTGGTTGAAAATCCTACGTCAACGTAACGGCAAAGCGCCAAAGTTAAAAGTCGAACGTCACTTCAATGGTGTATAAGTTGCGCTCTAAGGTGATAAACTGATAAGATGTGAGCGTTTCCGTATCCATTTTCTTTGTTTACAAATTATTAGGTCGAAGTCGAAATGACAAAGAGCAAATCAAGGGAATTTAAACTCATTTATTTCACATTATATAATCGTTTTCACTGTTATACCACAGTATAGTTATACAGATCAGATACATCAACTCTTTCTGTTAACTGTCGATGAGAATGGTAAGCATTTAACTAATTAATAATTATAAAAAGTGAAGTGCAAACCGTTCCATTATCCGCCTGAACTGTAAAAACTATAGACTGTGTGTTCCTGAAGTCGCAGTTCATTATCAGGCACTCATTGTTTAACAAAAATAATTGATTAACTGACGTCAGATAACGAGTAACGACCTTAATGAGTCATAGTTATCAGAATAGACCGACATACTAACAATTCAATTCCAGTTTTGTTATTTCACAGCATTCAAAGAAAAAGTTGATTCAGAATAAAATTTTAATTCCACAAATAGTGCAGGCATGTAATTATTGTGCGGCACGACCTCGATGTATAGGCACCCAACATTACACTGCAACTATCACCATGACTCAGTCTCTTGACATTGACCAAGAATAACAACAAAAAACTGCACATGTGCAGTAAATTATCGCATGTAGCGTGAATTTCCACCGATTCCTTGTCAATCATTTGTGTTGTAATGTTTGTTTTTCCGGTTTTGCCGTTCCGAATTTCACCTTTATTCGTTTTCGGTGTTGAATGTAGTGGAAACTAGTTGCATTGTGACGCCATCCTTGACGCCATATTGGACCAAACTACTACATCCGAATTATCTGATAACCATCAGCATGATCTTTATCCAATCAAATCGTGTTCATCGTGCATTTTAATGCCGCGCTATTGTTTTTCCGTTTTACGTAGTGATAGTGTGCAGTAACGTAGCACTTGTTAATGGCGACAGGCGCCATTTTGGTACAAGTGGGATTCCCCGAGTGCGCAAATTGTATTAAATTACGATTGGCAGTGGTTGGTGGCACAGTTGAGCAGTCATGGGCGACGATGTGAGTACATTTGTGTAATGCATTTACGAATTTTAAAATGACACGTTTAGGGATCTTCGGTTTGTCAAGTTTGTAAGGAGTATATCCACGATCTGGGACACAACAATACGGTGAACCACCGATTTCACTTTACGAAATGGGCATACAACGAATACCGGTAAGTGTTGAGGCACTGTTTTGTTCCATTTCTTTGTTTCACCATATGAGTTAAAATTGGAGAAGTGTTCACTATTACTACGAAGTGGCAAGTCTGCAGCCTTGTATTTCGTAGGTCACTAGATGTACGAACCATTTATGAAAGCCTTATGGTTATTTAATATTATTTTACAAAAAGTACGTTTGTCCGGATGGAACAAAGCTTTTTATTGACGTTTATCTTCTAATCAGACAAAGTTTTATGTACATGTTTCCTTTATTTGATAGTTTTATCTCGTACTATTTGAGATGTGCTAGTACAATAAGTACACAATGTTAATCAATTAATGGCTTGAATTTTTTAAAATTATTTTTCAAAAGACACGAATAAATAACTGTGTTTAAAATTTCCGCCAACGTGACGTCACGGGCCCAACAGGCTCAGTGGGGTGTGATTCGTAGCCAATGGGAAGAGGCAGGCATGTGACGTCACCACATTTAATTGATAGCAAGTATAAAAATGCGGACATACCAATATCAATGTTATCGGGTTTAATTTTACATTGTTTCGCAAAATCTGTGCCAATACAAAAAATGCTGAATTGCTGAGCCATGAATGTACTTTAATGAGTCATCAGGTCTTTGTTTCTACGATTTATAAGAATTTTTTTCATCTGTAGCTTGATTTTGACGTTTTGAGAGCCAGTGATTTCTTTTTTTACAATTAGAACTGCTGGAATACGTATAATCCTGGCTTTACTTTGCCTTTTTTTGTTCATTGTTGATCTTAATTGAATGAAGTGAAATTGAAAATAAAACGAATTAGCGTTGGCTGCGACACTGTGTATAGGTGGTACCACTGCACAACCCATTCTTAAGGTCGATTTATAAACTTGTCGCCGTTACGTTGTCGTTGACGTTGGGTTTTCAACCAATTAAATTGCGGTAGCGTGCCAACTTGACGGAAAATCCCCTGAAGTAGAGGGGACATTTTTCTGGTTGACAGCTCTAACTCTACGAAGATCAAATGGCATCATTTTCTACGCTTTCTGTCAGTACTTATCCAATGTTGAAGATAGTTCTCGACGTTTAAATCAACAAGATTTATTACTGTTCGTCTCAAAACAGATTGGGTATTATAACTACAAGGGTTTACGTTTTGCCCTTTTTTCTTAATTTTTTTTTTTCCACAACAAGAGAGGTAAAACATGTTTAAAATAGTAAATTTTTAGGAAAGTATCGATTTTGCAATTAGGCTCCGCCTCTCGGTCTGACAACGAAAAAAAAAATTATCAGAATTGAGATAGCGTGGGTGCGTGGGGCTTATTTTTAGCCCTTTTTTTTAATATATGATCTTCATAACAGGAAACCTAAAACATGTCAACATGGTAAAATTTTCTAGAGAAATATGGATTTTGCAATTAAGCTCGGCCCCTCGGCTTACGACGAATAAAAACAAAACATCAGGATTGAGACAGGGCGGGTGGGCGGGGATTATATTTTGTCCTTTCTTTCTTAATATACATAGCCATCTTTTTACAAGAAACTTAAAACATGATTAAAATGGTAACATTGTATAGGGAAATATCGATTTTGCAATTAGGCGCCTCCCCTCGGTCTGACAACGAATAAAAAAATCATCAGAATTGAGATCGGGCGGGTGGGCGGGGCTTATATTTTGTCTTCTTTTTCTTAATATACATAGCCATTTTTTCACAACAAGAAACTTGGAACATTTTTAAAATGCTACATTTTTGCAAGGAAACATGGATTTTGTAATTATGGAGCGGAGTCTAATGCAAAATCGATATTTTTTTATACAGATTTACCATTTTAAACATGTTTTAAGTTTCATGTTGTGAAAAGAAGTCTACACACATTAAAACAAAAAGGCAAAATATAAGCCCGCCCACCCGCCCTATCGCAATTGTGATGATTTTTTTTATTCGTCGTGAGCCAAGAGGGCGGAGCTTCACTGCAAAATACTTATTTCTTTACAAGATATTAAAAACTTGTTTTGAGTATCGTGTTATTGAAAGAATACTACGTATATTTAAAAAAAGAAGCAAAATATAAACCCCGCCCACCCACTCCATCTCAATTGTGATGATTTTTTTTTATTCTTGGAAACTTAAAACACGTTTAAAATGGTAAAATTTTGTAAGGAAATAAGGATTTTGCAATTAGGCTCCGGCCCCCGGGCTCATGACGAATAAAAAAAATCATCACAACTGAGATAGGGTGGGTGGGTGGGGCTTATTTTTAGCCTTTTTTTTTAATATATGATCTTCATAACAGGAAACCTAAAACATGTCAACATGGTAAAATTTTCTAGAGAAATATGGATTTTGCAATTAAACTCCGCCCCTCGACTTACGTCGAATAAAAAAAAATCATCAGAATGGAGACAGGGCGGGTGGGCGGGGATTATATTTTGTCCTTTCTTTCTTAATATACATAGCCATCTTTTCGCAAGAAACTTAAAACATGATTAAAATGGTAACGTTGTATAGGGAAATATAGATTTTGCAATTAGGCGCCTCCCCTCGGTCTGACAACGAACAAAATAAATCATCAGAATTGAGATCGGGTGGGTGGGCGGGGCTTATATTTTCCCTGTTTTTTTCTTAATTTACATAGCCATTTTTTCACAACAAGAAACTTGGAACATTTTTAAAATGCTACATTTTTGCAAGGAAACATGGATTCTGTAATTATGGAGCGGAGCCTAATGCAAAATCGATATTTTTTTATACAGATTTACCATTTTAAACATGTTTTAAGTTTCATGTTGTGAAAAGAAGTCTACACACATTAAAACAAAAAGGCAAAATATAAGCCCGCCCACCCGCCCTATCGCAATTGTGATGATTTTTTTTATTCGTCGTGAGCCAAGAGGGCGGAGCTTCACTGCAAAATACTTATTTCTTTACAAGAAATTAAAAACATATTATTGAGTATCGTGTTGTTCAAAGAATACTACGTATATTAAGAAAAAGAAGCAAAATATAAACCCCGCCTACCCACTCCATCTCAATTGTGATGATTTTTTTTTATTCTTAGAAACTTAAAACACGTTTAAAATGATAAAATTTTGTAAGGAAATAACGATTTTGTAATTAGGCTCCGCCCCCCGGGCTCATGACGAATAAAAAAATCATCACAACTGAGATAGGGTGGGTGGGTGGGGCTTATTTTTAGCCTTTTTTTTAATATATGATCTTTATAACAAGAAACCTAAAACATGTCAACATGGTAAAATTTTCTAGAGAAATATGGATTTTGCAATTAAGCTCCGCCCCTCGGCTTACGACGAATAAAAACAAATCATCAGAATGGAGACAGGGCGGGTGGGCGGGGATTATATTCTGTCCTTTCTTTCTTAATATACATAGCCATCTTTTCACAAGAAACTTAAAACATGATTAAAATGGTAACGTTGTATAGGGAAATATCGATTTATCAGTTAGGCGCCTCCCCTCGGTCTGACAACGAATAAAAAAAATCATCAGAATTGAGATCGGGTGGGTGGGCGGGGCTTATATTTTGCCTTTTTTTCGTAATATACATAGCCATCTTTTCACAACAAGAAACTTAAAACATGGTTAAAATGGTACATTTTTACAAGGAACCATGGATTTTGCAATTATGGAGCGGAGCCTATTTGCAAAATCGATATTTCTTTATACAAAGTTTCCATTTTAAATATGGTTTAAGTTTCATGTTATGAAAAGAAGTCTACACATATTAAAACAAGCAGGCAAAATATAAGCCCGCCCACCCGCCCTATCTCACTTGTGATGATTTTTTGTATTCGCGGTGAACCAAGCGGGGGCGGAGCTTAGCTGCGAAATACTTATTTCTTTACAAGAAATTACAAACATATTTTGAGTATCGTGTTATTGTAAGAATACTACGTATATTTAAAAAAGAAGCAAAATATAAACCCCACCCACCCACCCCAACTCGATTGTGATGATTTTTTTATTCTTAGAAACTGAAAACACGTTTAAAATGGTAAAATTTTGTAAGGAAATATGGATTTTGCAATTAGGCTCCGCCCGTCGCCTCATGACGAATAAAAAAAGTCATCACAACTGAGATGGGGAGGTTGGTTGGGGTTTATATTTAGCCTTTTTTTTAAATAATATAATCTTCATAACATGAAACTTAAAACATGGTAAAATTTTCTAGAGAAATATGGATTTTGAAATTAAGCTCCGCCCCTCGGCTTACAACGAATAAAAACAAAACATCAGGATTGAGACAGGGCGGGTGGGCGGGGATTATATTTTGTCCTTTCTTTTTTAATATACATTGCCATCTTTTCACAAGAAACTTAAAACATGATTAAAATGGTAACATGGTATAGGGAAATATTGATTTTGCGATTAGGCGCCTCCCTTCGGTCTGACAACGAATAAAAAAATCATCAGAATTGAGATCGGGCGGGTGGGCGGGGCTTATATTTTCCCTTTTTTTCTTAATTTACAAAGCCACTTTTTCACAACAAGAAACTTGGAATATGGTTAAAATGCTACATTTTTGCAAGGAAACATGGATTTTGTAATTATGGAGCGGAGCCTAATGCAAAATCGATATTTTTTATACAGATTTACCATTTTAAACATGTTTTAAGTTTCATGTTGTGAAAAGAAGTCTACACACATTAAAACAAAAAGGCAAAATATAAGCCCGCCCACCCGCCCTATCTCACTTGTGATGATTTTTTATATTCGCGTTGAACCAAGCGGGGGCGGAGCTTAGCTGCAAAATACTTATTTCTTTACAAGAAATTAAAAACTTGTTTTGAGTATCGTGTTGAAAGAATACTACGTATATTTAAAAAAAGAAGCAAAATATAAACCCCGCCCACCCACTCCATCTCAATTGTGATGATTTTTTTTTATTCTTGGAAACTTAAAACACGTTTAAAATGGTAAAATTTTGTAAGGAAATAAGGATTTTGTAATTAGGCTCCGCCCCTTGGCTCATGATGAATAAAAAAAATCATCACAACTGAGATAGGGTGGGTGGGTGGGTGGGGGGCTTATTTTTAGCCTTTTTTTTTAATATATGATCTTCATAACAGGAAACCTAAAACATGTCAACATGGTAAAATTTTCTAGAGAAATATGGATTTTGCAATTAAGCTCCGCCCCTCGGCTTACGACGAATAAAAACAAAACATCAGAATTGAGACAGGGAGGGTGGGCGGGGATTATATTTTGTCCTTTCTTTCTTAATATACATTGCCATATTTTCACAAGAAACTTAAAACACGATTAAAATGGTAACACTGTATAGGGAAATATCGATTTTGCAATTACGCTCCGCCCCTCGGTCTGCTGACAACGAATAAAAAAATTATCAGAATTGAGATCGGGTGGGTGGGTGGGGCTTATATTTTCCCTGTTTTTTCTTAATTTACATAGCCATTTTTTCACAACAAGAAACTTGGAACATTTTTAAAATGCTACATTTTTGCAAGGAAACATGGATTTTGTAATTATGGAGAGGAGCCTAATGCAAAATCGATATTTTTTTATACAGATTTACCATTTTAAACATGTTTTATGTTTCATGTTGTGAAAAGAAGTCTACACATATTAAAACAAAAAGACAAAATATAAGCCCGCCCACCTGCCCTATCGCAATTGAGATGATTTTTTTTATTCGTCGTGAGCCAAGAGGACGGAGCTTCACTGCAAAATATTTATTTCTTTACAAGAAATTAAAAACATGTTATTGAGTATCGTGTTGTTCAAAGAATACTATGTATATTACGAAAAAAAAAATAAAGCCAAACATTACTTAAGAATATATTTGGTAATTTCTTGTAGAAATACGACAAATAAAAAAAATTATTAGAATTGAGAGAGGGCGGGTGGGCGGGGCTTATATATTGCCTTTTTTTCGTAATATACATAGCCATCTTTTCACAACAAGAAACTTAAAACATGGTTAAAATGGTACATTTTTACAAGGAACCATGGATTTTGCAATTATGGAGCGGAGCCTATTTGCAAAATCGATATTTTTTTATACAAAGTTTCCATTTTAAATATGTTTTAAGTTTCATGTTAGGAAAAGAAGTCTACACATATTAAAACAAGAAGGCAAAATATAAGCCCGCCCACCCGCCCTATCTCAATTGTGATGATTTTTTTATTTGCCGTGAATAAAGGAGGCGGAGCTTCACTGCAAAATACTTATTTCTTTACAAGAAATTAAAAACATATTTTTGAGTATCGTGTTGTTCAAAGAATACTATGTGTATTAAGAAAAAAGGGATAATATTAACCCCGCCCACCCACCCCATCCCACTTGTGATGATTTTTTTTATTCTCAGAAACTTAAAACACGTTTAAAATGGTAAAATTTTGTAAGGAAATATGTATTTTGCAATTAGGCTCCGCCCCCCGGGCTCACAACGAATAAAAAAAATCATCACAATTGAGACAGGGTGGGAGGATGGGGCTTACATTTAGCCTTTTTTTTTTAATATATGTAATCCTCTTTTCATAACAGGAAACTTAAAACATGTTCAACAAGGTAAAATTTTCTAGAGAAATATGGATTTTGCAATTAAGCTCCGCCCCTCGACGTACGTCGAATCAAAAAATCATCAGAATTGAGATCGGGTGGGTGGGCGGGGCTTATATTTTCCCTTTTTTTCTTAATTTACATAGCCATTTTTTCACAACAAGAAACTTGGAATATGGTTAAAATGCTACATTTTTGCAAGGAAACATGGATTTTGTAATTATGAAACGGAGACTAATGCAAAATCGATATTTCTTTATACAAATTTATCATGTTAAACATGTTTTAAGTTTCATCTTGTGAAAACAAGTCTACACATATTAAAACAAAAAGGCAAACTATAAGCCCGCCCACCCGCCCTATCTTACTTGTGATGATTTTTTATATTCGCCGTGAATCAAGCGGGGGCGGAGCTTAACTGCAAAATCCTTATTTCTTTACAAGGACCTAAAACATGTTTTTGAGTATCGTGTTATTGAAAGAATACTACGTATATTAAGAAAAAGGAGCAAAATATAAACCCCGCCCACCCACCCCATCTCAATTGTCATGATTTTTCTTTTATTTTTAGAAATTTAAAATACGTTTAAAATAGTAAATGGTTGTAAGGAAATAAGGATTTTGCAATTAGGCTCCGCCCGTCGGTTCACAACGAATAAAAAAAATCATCACAACTGAAATAGGGTGGGTGGGTGGGGCTTATGTTTTGCTTGTTTTTTTAAATATATGTATGTATATATAATCTTCTTTTCATAACAGGAAACTTAAAACATGTTCAAGATGATAAAATTTTCTAGAGAAATATGGATTTTGCAATTAAGCTCCGCCCCTCGACTTACGTCGAATAAAAGAATCATCAGAATTGAGATCGGGTGGGTGGGCGGGGCTTATATTTTCCCTGTTTTTTCTTAATTTACATTGCCATTTTTTCACAACAAGAAACTTGGCACATGTTTGAAATGGTACATTTTTGCAAGGAAGTGTGGATTTTACAATTGTGGGGCGGAGTCTAATTACAAAATAGATATTTCCGTATACAAATTTGACATTTTAAACATGTTTTAAGTTTCATGTCGTGAAAAGAATTCTACACGTATTAAAACAAAAAGGCAAAATATAAGCCCGTCCACCCGCCCTATTTCAATTGTGATGATTTTTTTATTTGCCATGAATCAAGGGGGCGGAGATTAACTGCCAAATACTTATTTCTTTACAAGAAATTAAAAACATGTAATTGAGTATCGTGTTGTTCGAAGAATACTACATATGTATATTAAGAAAAAAAAGGCAAAATATAAACCCCGCCCACCCACCCCATCCCATTTGTGATGATTTTTTTATTCTTAGAAACTTAAAACGCGTTTAAAATGGTAAAATTTTGTAAGGAATAATGGATTTTGCAATTAGGCTCTGCCCCCGGCGGACGACGAATAAAAAAATCATCACAACTGAGACAAGGTGGGTGGGTGGGGCTTATATTTAGCCTTTTTTAAATATATATAATCTTCTTTTCATAACAGGAAACTTAAAACATGTTCAAGATGGTAAAATATGGACTTTGCAATTAAGCTCCGCCCCTCGACTTACGTCAAATAAAAAATCATTAGAATTGAGATAGGGCTTGGATTTTCCTTTTTTTTTTTCTTAATTTATATAGCTATTTTTTCGTAACACGAAACATGGTTAAAATGGTAAATTTTCGTAAGGAAATATGGATTTTGCTATTAGGCTCCGCCCCTAGGTCCACCAACGAATGAAAACTTCATTACTATTTAGATCAGGGCAACTATGGGTGGGGCTTAATCTTTGGCTTTAATTTATTTAATGTACCTACATAGTATTAGACGTCCATCTTTTACAGGAAAGCGCTAGTTAACGACCGACACGGCATAGAGTTGAAGATCGAAGTGAAAAAAGTGAACAATTTCCACTACGACTTCCGTAATATCAAAGGGAAATACGTAATAAAGGTAGACGATTCCAAAAGTGTTACTTCTACGGTCATACACCACAAACCAAAGCTAATTTCAGGTCACTCCAGAGCAACTTCGACTCCACAACTGCACCATAACGTTCAAATGCAAAATAAAAAACACCAGAAAAGACCCCATTTTCGTCACAAACACAAACGTACTGCACCCTTCACACTACTTCGACATTATCCACGACAATTGCTTCGGAGACGACGAATCCACGTTCATCAAAATAGCACCAGGTTAAATGAAACTCAAAATTTTTGAACCCGTCTTAATGCAAAGATTTAGGTCATGTGTACCCGTTCAAAGTAACTTTCACGACGGACGTTTTGTCCTGCGCTAGTTACAAGATTCCGTTGTCTTGTGATTTTCAAACCTGTGACAATAAAGATAATTTTACGATAGTGAGGACATTCGTAAGTTGGCAATTTGAAAATTAACAAAAGTTACTAGTGTGATTGTAGTTGACGATCATTGCTGACAACATCACAGTTGAAGAGGAAAAAACTAAAAGCCCCTTTACGAGTCAGCCGTGGAAGGACGTTTACACGAATCCTACCACAAAGACGACGTAAGTTTTAAACGTAACGTGAAAATGTAGTAGTAATGGTGTAATTTTAGAAAATATACGGATGAGTATCCAGTTCCAGGGAACCTGAAGCGGCTGCTCTACCATGGGTTGCAAAAGTTTGATAACATGAGTGAGACCGACGAAAACAATCTGGACCAAATAAGGTAGAACCAGTGAACCACATATTTGCTTAGTATTTTTGTGTTAAATTTGTAGGTGGTGTCTCCAAACATTAACGCCACAAAATTACAACCAGTACTGGCACCACGTCCTGTGGCTAGAAGAACAAGGTCAGAGTTTAATGTTGAGCAAATACAACATGCAAGGGGTAGAACTACCACTTCAAGTCTTAGCAAATTAATTTTTCGTGTGTTTAGGTTACAATGAAGATTAAAAACGACGACGTTCTATTACTAGAAGTACCAGGACTTGCAGAGAAACGACCCTCTGTGATAGTGGGCGATTTTATTCGTATCCGACTGACCAATGACCACACCGCGTACCAAGGTTTTGTCTGTAAGGTCAACGATACAACCGTAGAAATCTCGCACCTTGACGAAGAGTACGTTTTTATTTTCAAAACGTATATATTAGTACTATAGATTAATATAGATGCGACATACAGGCTGATTTTGCAAAACCATCCTTATTGACATTGGAGTCCTCAACTGTCAAAGGCAAGCGCCAAATTTAAATAGTCGATGCCAATAAAAAATTTTGATTCACTACAACTCGTCGCCTGAGAACTTGTTTGATTTACAGACCAGAGCGCGCTCAGGCCAATGTCGACTCTAAGTGTTCAGAAGCGATTTGGTTGGTTTAGACTATAATTTCTGCGGGAAATAGTTCTTTGGTCGGTTTTTATAGCGACCAAGTGATTTTTTTTGGTATATATTTAGATGATTTTACATATTTTGTTTAACTAAGAATTAATTCTTTATTTGTCTTTTATACTAGCAAAACGTCTTAAACTAAGAATATTGTTGAAATCGTAATGACCCGATGGATTTTTTTTCGGGAAAACGTTTTGGAAACACTGTTCTATTTTGTATGATTTTTTTTAATGTTTTTAGTGACAATTTTTGTGGTTGTTTTCGATATACTGTATGATATTAACAGTGAGAAAAAAAATAAACAATTAAAGAAAAGAACTGAAATGAAAATCGAGAAATCGAAAAGTTAAAAATTGAACAATTTATAAATTGAGAAATTGACAATCAAAATATTGAAATATCCAAAGAACGAGACATCGGAAAGTGATGAAGTCGAAAAATCGAAAAATAGAGAAATCGACAAACAAAAAGTTAAAAGTTGAAAAATGGAAAGAGCGGAAAAATCAAAAAACGAAAAAATGGAAAACTGGAAAAACTGAGAAACCGAAATTGGCCAAAATAAAAAATTGAAAAAATGATAAATCGAAAACCTGAACATTCAAGTCTCGATAAATCGGGAATGAAAAATTAACAAATTGAAAAATTAAAAAACAGAACATCTAAAACCAGGAAGTCGAAAAATCGAAAGATTAAGAGATATTGAAAAATTAAAATATCAAAAGAATAAAAAATCTAAAATTTAAAAGTCCAAAAATTGAAAAATCGAAAAAGTAAAAAGGTAGACACATCGAAAAACCCAGAAGTCAGAAATAGAAAAGCCGAAGAATTGAAATATTGAAAAATCCTAAAACTGAAATATCTAAAAACTGAAAAATCGAAAAATCAAAAAAGTGAAGTCGAAAAATAGAAACCTTAAAAAATCGAAAAATCGAAAAATCAAAAACCTGAAAAATCAAAAAATTAAAGAATTGAAGAACAGGAAAATCGAAACACTCGAAGGTCAAGAAATGGGAAAATCAAAACATCGATTAATTGAAAAATCGAAAAATTGAGAGTTTATAAAAGTCAAATTTAAAAAATTAAAAAAGCGAAAATTTGACAAAATGACAATTGAAAAACTGAAAAATCAAAAACCTAAAAAGCTTCAAAATTGAAGAATTGAAGAAACGAAAAAACGAAAATCGAGTTTATAAAAATCAAATTTGAAAAATTGAAACAAATTGAGAAATAATGGTAAAATCGAAAAATTGAGCAATAAGTAAACTGAAAAGTCCCAAAACTGAAATATCTAAAATTGAAAAATTAAAGAAAAACTGAAGAATTGAAAAAGTGAAAAACAACAAAAACTGAGAAATCGAAAAATTAAAAAATTAAAAACCTGAATATTCGAAAAATTGAAGAATTGAAAAACAGGAAAATCCAAACAGTCGAAAGAAAAAAAAATGGGAAAACAAATTAATTGGAAAACCCAAAAATAGAATTTAGAAAAATAAAAAATCGAAAAATTGGAAAAAACGGAAAAAACGTAAAACTGAAAATTGAGAAATTGAAAAATTGAAAGTGGAGAAATTGAACAATGGAAGAAAAACTAATGAGTGGAAAAACTGAAAAATCTCAAAACTTAAAAATTCAAAAACTGGGAAATTAAAAAATTGAAAAATTGAAAAACAGAACATCTAAAACCAGGAAGTCGAAAAATAGAAAGATTAAGAAATATTGAAAAATTATAATATCAAAAGATTAAAAAATCTAAAATTTAAAAATCCAAAAATTGAAAAATCGAAAAAGTAAAAAGGTAGACACATCGAAAAACCCAGAAGTCAAAAATAGAAAAGCTGAAGAATTGAAATATTGAAAAATCCTAAAACTGAAATATCTAAAAACTGAAAAATCAAAAAAGTGAAGTCGAAAAATAGAAACCTTAAAAAATCGAAAAATTGAAAAATCAAAAACCTGAAAAATCAAAAAATTAAAGAATTGAAGAACAGGAAAATTCAAACACTCGAAGGTCAAGAAATGGGAAAAATCGAAAAATTGAGAGTTTATAAGTCAAATTTGAAAAATTAAAAAATCGAAAATTTGACAAAATGACAATTCAAAAACAGAAAATTTAAAACCTGGAAGTCGAAAAATCAGAAGGTTAAGAAATCTTGAAAGCTTGAAAAATTGAAATATCGAAGAACTGAAATGAAAAATCAAGAAATCGAAAAATCTAAAATTTTAAAAATTAAAAAATCTTAAATTTAAAAATCGAAAAAGTAAAAAAAATCGACACATCGAAAAATCCAGGAGTCAAAAATCGAAAAGTCGAAAAATCGAAATATTGAAAAATCCCAAAACTGAAATATCGAAAAACTGAAAAATGAAAGAAAAACTAAAAATGGGAAACTAAATCGGGAAATCAAAACATTGAAAAATCGAAAAATTTAAAACGACAATTGAAAACAGAAATCTAAAACCGGAAGTCGAAAAATCGAAAGATTAAGCAATCGAAAAATTGAAAAATCTAAAAAGTAAAAAAATCGACACATCGAAAACTCCAGAAGCCAAAAATCGAAAAGTCGAATCAAAATATTGAAAAATCCCAAAACTGAAATATCGAAAAATTGAAAAATGAAAGAAAAACAGAAAAATGGAAAACCTGAAAAATCCGAAAACTGAAATATCCAAAAACTGAGAACCTAAAGTCTAAAAATTGAGCAATAGAAAAATCCAAAAAGTGAAGTCGAAAAATTGAAATCTTAAAAAATAAAAAACTTAAAAATCAAAAACCTAAAAAATCGAAAAATTGAAGAATTGAAGAACAGGAATATCGAAACCCTCGAAAGTCAAGAAATGGGAAATCGATCGATTAATTGAAAAATCGAAAAATTGAAAAAACGACAATTGAAAAACAGAAAATCTAAAACCGGGAAGTCGAAAAATCGATTGATTAAGAAATCAAAACATCTGAAAAATTCGCAAACTTGAAAAACTGAAATATCGAAGAGCTGAAATGAAAAATCGAGAAATCGAAAAATCTAAAATTTTAAATATTGAAAAATTAAAATACCAAAAAATCGAGAAATCTAAAATTTAAAAATCGAAAAAGTAAAAAGTCGACACATCGAAAAATCGACAATTGAAAAATAGAAAATCTAAAACCGGGAAGTCGAAAAATCGATTAATTAAGAAATCAAAACTTTTGAAAAATTCGAAAACTTGAAAAACTGAAATATCGAAGAGCTGAATTGAAAAATCGAGAAATCTAAAATTTAAAAATCGAAAAAGTAAAAAGTCGACACACCGAAAAATCCAGAAGTCAAAAATGGAAAAGTCGAAGGACAGAAATCCCAAAACTGAAAAATGAAAGAAAAAGTGACGAATCGAAAAACTGAAAAATCCCAAAATTGAAATATCCAAAAACTGAGAATCTAAAGAATCGAAAAATTGAGAAATCGAAAAAGTCGAAATATCGAAACCTTAAAAAAATCGAAAAATTGAAAAATCAAAAACCTCCAAAATCGTAAGATCGAAAAATTGAATAATAAGTAAACTGAAAAATCCCTAAACTGAAAAATCCCAAAACGGAAATGTCCAAAAACTGAGAAATTATAAAGTTGAAAAATGAGAAATCGACAAATCTAAAATTTTAAATATTGAAAAATTAAAATACCAAAAAATTGAGATATCTAAAATTTAAAAGTCGACACATCGAAAAATCCAGAAATCAAAAATGGAAAAGTCGAAGAACAGAAATCCCAAAACTGAAATATGAAAGAAAAACTGACGAATCGAAAAACTGAAAAATCCCAAAATTGAAATATCCAAAAACTGAGAATCTAAAGAATCGAAAAATTGAGAAATCAAAAAATAAAACATAGTGAAGTCGAAATATCGAAACCTTAAAAAAATCGAAAAATTGAAAAATCAAAAACCTGCAAAATCGTAAAATCGAAAAATTGAATAATAAGTAAACTGAAAAATCCCTAAACTGAAAAATCCCAAAACTGAAATGTCCAAAAACTGAGAAATTATAAAGTTGAAAAATGAGAAATCGAAAAATCAAAAAAGTGTAGTTGAAAAATCGAAACCTGAAAAAATAGAAAAATTGAAAAACCAAAAAACTTGAAAAATCAATTAATTGAAAAATCTACAAATAAAGAGTTCATAAAAGTCAAAAATAGAAAAATCGAAATATTTAAAAATCGTAAAATTGAAGAGAAAAACTGAAAACTGAGAAATTGAAAAATTGAGAAATTGTAAAATCCAAAAATTGAAAAATAAATAGGAGTAAACTGAAAAGTCCCCAAACTAAAATTTCTAAAAACTGAGAATTCGAAAGTTGAAACAGCAGAAATTATGGTCGAAACCTGTTGGAATGTGTATCAGATCACGGATCATGGCTTATAAATCAAATCGTTTGTGAACGCTTAGAGTCGACATTGGCCTGACTGCGCTCTGGTCTGTAGATCAAACAAGTTCTCAGACGACGAACTGTAATTCGTGTGACCTGAATTAAAGTGAAGGAAACAGTAACCAGCTTGTAATATTCTGGTAAATCTAGTGTCAATTCGTCGAAAGTAAAACGCGTCGTTAAAAATATTGACATTTTTTCTAGTTAATTTTATTCCTAGTAAGAAACAAACACTGTTGCCAACATAAGTCGAGGACTCCTCAACCGTCATTTAATTTAAACTACTTATGACGCTTCTCTATGTTCTCTGTTAGTACGTTCGGACTTTTTTAGCATAGTTGAGTACGTCGCGAACGACCCGAGTACCGAAATGGACGTGTCTTTCATGCTGGGCCGAGTATCGTTCGAGAGGATGCACCGAGCCGTGGATATTCTCGTTCGTACTGGAATGGTGACCAAACTTTTCCCGCAGGGTCAATTCCAAGTTAAACACAATACAGCTCATAAACTCTCGGACTCACAGTACTACTTAAAAGTGACTCCTTTTGTGTACGTAATTGTAATATTGTAGGTACTTCAACAAGTCCGTTTGTAAAAACGGTGACCAGAAAAAAGCGGTCGACAAAATTTTGAATAGTACGCACGATTTCCCGTACATCATTTTTGGTCCACCCGGTACTGGGAAAACCGTGACTCTTGTAGAAGCGATACTACAAATAAAAAAACGTACCAAAAAAAAGATATTGGTTTGTGCGCCTGCCAATTCTGCGTGCGATATGTTGGCGTTGAAACTGAAGGAACATTGTACTAATGAGGAGCTAATCCGTATACATTCGTCCACAAGAGATATGTAAGTATGTAATAGCAGTAGAGAGCGGATTTATAAGCACAAAAAAATTAAAAATAAGTGCTTAAATAAGCACAACATTTTCAATAAAAAAGTTTTATTTTAAGCAAAAAAGCATTAAAACATAATCGTATTACAAATCAAAGACACTTCTTAGAACTTTGGATAAAATATCATTACAATAATCCTAGACTTTATATTTTACATACGTATTTCAGTTTTCTTTAAAACAATTTATGATTGTAATATGTTCCAAGTTGTCCACTGTAAAATTTTTTCGCCGATCATTTAAAACGTGTTTAAAATTGGACAATGTGCGTTCAACATCCACATTCGTTGTTGGCGCAAATTTGAATTTTGCAACTAATGTTGAATCTAACTCCAAATTTTCCACCTTCTGGCCTTGTAAAACATGAGCAACGTCGGAAAGAACACCGAAACCTGCATTTTTATTTAACACTTATTGGTCAAGTTTTTGAGATACTCTAGTACCAATATCACCCCTTACTGCGTTTGCTTGTTGTTTAAATTCTTTCACTAAGTTTATGCCATCAAGGGGTTTTTATTGGAATTGAAAATGAGATCAGGTAAATTAATAGCTATTTAACGAACAAGTTTGTTAATAAAGGTGATTAATAATCGAGATATTTTAACGCGCGAGGAACGAGTTTTTATATTTTTTCTTTTTCTCAATTTGAAATTTTTCAGTTTTTGGATTTTTCAATTTTTTTTGTTTTCAATTTTTCGTTTCTTCAATTTTTGATTTGCAGGTTTTCTAATTTTCATTTTAGATATGTAATAATAATTATAATTTTTATTAGAGTTGTTCACTTTTTCAATTTTTCGTTTTTGGAATTTTTTAATTTTTCGATCTTTGAATGTTAGTTTTTGGACTTTACGAACATTTTTCGATTTAATTCGTTCTTTGATTCATTAATTTTTTCTCGATTTCTAGTTTTTCAATGTTTCTATTTTTCGTTTCTTCAGTTCTACAATTTTGTCAAATAAATGTTATATAAATAAAAAAAAAGTAACAGTGTACCTATGGTCTATGAATCCGCGTTGAATTTTTATCTTCGACATCGAAATTTTTGTGGAAAAATAAAACAAAATTGAATTACAATTTTTCGATTTCTTGATTTCTCGATTTTTAGTTTACTTAATTTTTCGATATTTCAGTGTTACAATTTTTGCAATTAAAAAAAAAATAATTTTTACATTTCTCAATTTCTCTGTTAATCATTTCTTTGATTTTTCGAATTTTCCTCTTTCCAATTTATCGATTTTTCAGTTTTTCGATTTCTCAAGTTTTCGTTGTTCCAATTTTGGGATTTTTCAATATCTCCAATTTTTTTATTTAAAATTTTTCACTTTTTTGATATATCGATTTATCGATCTTTTGATTTTTAAAATTTCTGATTTTTCGAATTTTGAATATTTTGATTTATCGCTTTTTTTTTTTTAGTTTAAATATGTATTTCAGTTTTAAATTTTCCGGTTTTTCGATTTCTCGGCTTTTCCATTTTCAATTTTTTATTTCTTCAATTTTTTTAGATTTTTAAAATTCTCCATTTTTCGATTTTATGTTTTGTTATGCTTCGATCTCCCGATTTTAACCTTTTTAACGTGTATTCCAATTTTTCGATTTCTTACATTTCGATTTTTCGTTTTTTCGATTTTAAAATATTTTTACTTTTCGTTCTTTTTTTCGATTCTGGATTTTTCAAGTTTTCGATTTCTCAATTTTTCAACATTTCAATTTTGAGAATGTCTACATTTTTCAGTTTTTTGATATTTTCATTTTTCAACTTTTTAAATTTTGATTTTTCGACTTACCGGAAATCGATTTTTGGGTTTTTCAATGTTTCGACTTTTCAGTTTTGAGATTTTTCAATTTGTAGATTTTTTGGTTTTTCATTTCTTCAGTTTTTCGGTTTTTCAAGTTTTCGAATTTTTAAATTTAAAATTTTTCAGTTTTTCGATTTTATTTTTTTTACGTTCCGAATATCCGATTTTAATTTTTTTTTATGCTTTTCAATTTTTGGTTTTTCTAAATTTTCATTTTTCCATTTCTCAATTTCTCGATTTTTCGACTTTTTGATTTTGTGTTTTTTTTAAATGTTAAATTTTTCGTTATTGTAATTTTTCTGTTTTTTAAATTTTAGATTTAGATTTAGATTTTTCGACATCTTGAATTCTCGATCTTTTTTCAGTTTGAATTTCTCGGTTTTTCGATTTTCCAAAATTTCGATTTTTCAATCTTTCGATTTTTGAAAATTTTCGATTTCTCGATTTTTCAGTTTTTGATTTTCCAACTTTTAGATGTTTCAAATTTTAGAGTTTGCAAATTTCACGAGTTTACAGTTTTTAATTGCGTCAGTTTTTCGATTTGCAATTTTTCCTGTGGGTTTTTAATTTTCTTTATTTTTTCAATTTTCTGCTTTCAATTTTCCTTTTCATTTGCAGTTTTTCTAGTTTTCATTTTAATTATGTAACACTCCTAATAATTATAATTTTTAAAGTTGTTCACTTTTTCAGTTTTTCGTTTTTGGAATTTTTCAATTTTTCGGTGTTTGAATGTCACAGTTTTTGGACTTTACAATTTTCAAGATTCTATAATTTTTCGATTTTACAATTTTTGGATTTTCCAATTTTTCAATTCGAATGGTTTTTCTTCTTTTCCATTCTTCGATTCATTATTTTTTTTTTAGATTTTTAAGTTTCTCGGTTTTTAGTTTTTCATTGTTTCAATTTTTCATTTTTTCGAGTTTTTAACTTTTCGAATAAACAAAATCGAAAAATTATAAAATAGAAAAATTGTAAAACTGAAAAAGTACAAAATGAAAGCTTCGAAATATAAAAAAATTGGAAATCAAGAACTTAAAAAGTCAAAGATTGAAAATGTAAAAAATTGAATAAGCAAAAAATTACAAAATCCAAAAAAACATTGAAAAAATAAAGATAATGGAAAATGAAAATATCGAAAATCTGAAAAATATAGAAATTGAAAAATTCCCAAAATTGCGATGTTTAAAATTGAGATAGCGAAAACTTAAACATCGAGAAATCGAAAATTTTTTAAAATTGGAAAATTGAGATATGAGAAATCGAAAATTCCAAAAATGGAAAAATTGAAACACATTAAAAAATTTAAATCGGGAAATCGAAACATAAAGATTATAAAAGGGAAAAATGAAAAATTTTTAAAATCGAAAATTTAAAATATATACTAGAAAAATCGAAAATTTTGAAAATCGAAAAACCAAGAAATTGAAATCGAAAACTTAAGACTTCAAAAGATCGAAATAGGCCGAAATCGGAAAATTCAAAATTGAAATATTTACTTAAAAAAAAGATTAACGGAAAAATCGAAAAACTCAAAAAAATCGATAAACCTAGATATGAGAAACAGAAAATTCCAAAAATCGAAAAATTGAAATAGAGATTAAAAAGTTTAAAAAATCGAAGTTAAAAAATCGTAAAAACAAATTCCATTCGATTTTCCGTTTTATCGATTTTGTCAATTTTTTTTTATTTTCCGATTTTTCAATTTTTCGAATTTTCTACTTTCCGAATAAACAAAATGGAAAAGTTATAAAATAGAAAAATTGTAAAATTGAAAACTCAAAATGAAAAAACGCAAAAGTATAAAATGAAGGCTTCGAGAAATCTAAAAACTTGAGAAATTGAAGAAACGGAAAATTCAAAAATCGAAAGATTAAAAATTGAGAGACTTAAAGATCGAAAAATTGCGGTCGAAAACACGAAAATTATTGTAAAATCTAAATATTGAAAATTGGAAAATCGAGGAATTGAAAATGTGAAAAATTGAATAAACGAAAAATTGTGATATCAAATCCAGAAAATGAAAATTAAAAAACGGGAAAATGGTATAAAAAAATGAAGAACTTGAAACAACATCATTACGCCGAATATGTTCATTGCGCTACACATAACCTCAATTTAGTCCTTAATGATAATGATTCTATTAAGAATGTACCAGGAATTTCCGCATTTTATGATTTAATAAATGCTATATACGTCTATTTCAGTGAGAGTTTTTAATCTCTCAACATTTATGAGCTGAAATTATTTTAACATCAAAAAAGAAAAGTGAAATAGATGAAGCTGTAGCTCTTCGTAAAAAAATGGATTCATTTGAATTTGTTGCTCTATTAGTATTTCAATGCAAAATTTAAAAAATGTTAATTTGGTCTCAAAAACTTTACAGAGCTCAAATATTACTTTAGATGAGGCTTGTAAATGGATGGAACATCTAAAAGACAAATTTCAAAATATACGTGACAATTTTGAACAAATAATGGAGGAATCAAGGAAATGTGCTGATACCTGGAAAATTAACAATTCTTTCTCAAATAAACGTATAAAAAAAGTAAAACTGTTTCATGACGAATTATGTGAAGATACCGTTTTCAAAGATCCCACTGAAAAATTTAAAACAACCGTTTTCTATCCTGCTCTTGATATTTTAAATAGTCAAATTAAAGATAGGTTTGAAAGCATGAAAAACGTCAGAAACTATTTTTCTTTTCTGGAACCACAGGAAATGTTGAATAGTACAGACGAAGAATTTGTGGAGGCAGCATCAAAGTTGGCAAATAAATACGAAGAAGATATTTCTAGTGCAATCTGTGGGCAAATCGTTAGTTTTAAAAAACATTCAGCAAAAAGTAACTAAAATTACAGATATTGCTAAGTTTCTGTTTATGGACAATAATTTTTTAACGGCAGAAAGATCTTTTTCTAAATTAAAATTAATTAAATCATATTTGGGAAGCACGATGAGTCAAAAAGATTAACCAACTTAGCTGTGTTGAGCATTGAGTGTGACCGATCCCAAAAATTAGATCTCGACAGTGTCATACGCGAATTTATGAACTCTCGACAACGTCGAATGGAGCCAGTCTAATATTAACAATTTTTAAAAATTATTATGTGTATAAATTATTATTATTTGTAAATCTGTGTTATTCGGCGCCACTACTGGTAAACCAGTAATTTCATATTAATTTTATATTACTTTTTAAATTTGGTGTATGGGGGCGCTTACTATAAACTGCAGGGGGGCGCAGTGGAAGTTAGCTACGCCACTGGTCTTGAGTAAGTGTACTTCAATGGTCAAGTCCAGGTAAAATGCATACGATACGATACGCCTAACTAACAAGTATTTGTCATCCCGACAAGGCCGGCATTTGAACAAAATGTGCATTAAAACTCATATTCGTCGAAAAAAGCATTAAATAAGCATATAAGTTTTAATATGCATAAAATTGAAAAAAAAGCAAATAAGCATACAAAAAAATGTGTCAAATGACTCCAAATTGTATCATAGTTACAGATATAAAAAAGTTTTGAAGTGCTTACATTTTTCACAAAAAGCATTAAACCTAGAAATCCGCTCTCTAAATATCAGTTAAGGAGATCTGCGCATGCGTACTACTGGTATATAATATCATTATCATCAACGATCCATAATTTCAGGCCCTCCATTCCCGAGGAGTTAAAAACTTATAGTAACATTGAAGACGACGAGTTTATGAGAATTCGGCCCGATCAGCTAAAACCGTACAGAATAGTCGTGACAACGTTGGTCCTAGTTGGTCGTTTCACCGGTGCTTATCAACCCGACTGCATTTTTATAGATGAAGCTGCTCAAGCCAGCGAACCCGAAACAGATATAGCCATTGCACTCCTCGATAAAGGAAAACAAGTAGTTCTGGCTGGTGATCCCAAACAACTCGGACCCATGGCGATAAAATCCGCGGAAAAATTCGGCCTAGGTGGGTTTCCGGGTGTACCAACGCACCCTCACGACTCTTATTTCAGGAATTTCGTTGTTGCAAAGACTGATGACGGACTGCGACATTTACCAACTCAACCGTAGAACTGGCAACTACGACAGCGACTTTATCACGATGCTCAGGCTGAACTTCAGGTCGCACCCGGACATTTTATCCATACCGAACGAGTTGTTCTACCACGGTTTACTACAAGTAAGCTCAATGCGGCTCACTCGTTCGCAATACAATACACGCATTTTAGCCCAAATCAAAGGAAGCCAAAAGGGACCCAATCGTAGCCGTCGCTATTTACCCGACTATTAAAAATAAATCGCAGTTGGTTGAAGGGAGCGCGGTTGAGTTTTGTTCTATAAGCTCCAAAGAAAAACGGGAGGGCTCATCACCGAGGTACGACACACTTTTTCGTGGTCCAAAAAATCACACTCTGTTTCAGTTATTTCAACCTGTTTGAAATCAAAATGGTGGTGGAGTATGTGAAAGCCCTACACAATTTGAAATTGGGGCCAGCGTATAAAGTGCGAGCGGATCAAATTGGCGTGGTTACTCCGTACAAGCGACAAGTGAGTTTGAATTATCGTGTATGAGAATTGCCGCTTCGTTGTGATAAGTAGCTGTAAGGTCGATTTATAAACATGGCGCTGACGTTGCGTTGAAAGACAACAGATTAGGTATTTTAACTACAAGGGCTAACATTTTGCCCTTTTTTCTTAATAAGATTTGTAGTTTTCTTTTCACAACAAGAAAGGTAAAACATGTTTAAAATGGTAAATTTTTGTAGGAAAGTATCGATTTTGCAATTATGCTCCGCCCCTCGGTCTGACAACGAATGAAAGTTCATCACGATTGAGATCGAGACGGATGGGTGGGGCTTCTTTGTTGATTTTCTTTTTTTATTTAATTTTTTTATTTAGTTTTTTTGTCTAACACGATTACTTAAGAATATATTTCGCATGGGAAATTCTCGTAGAAAAATAAGGATTTTGCAATTAAGCTCCGCCCCTCGGCTTACGACGAATAAAAAAAACATCATCAGAAATGAGTTGGGGCGGATTTCAAATTCTTGATTTTTATTTTTCACCTTCACGATTTTTTAATTATTGTATATGACAAATTTTCGTTTTTTCATTCCATTTTTATTTTCCGTATTTTTTTCGATTTTCCAATTTTTGAATTTTTCAATTTGGTAATTTTTGGATTTCCAGTTATCCGATTTTTCGATTTCTTTAATTTTCAATACATATTTCGTTTTTTCGATCTTGCACTTCCTCATTTTTTCACCTTCCATTTTTTCGTTTTGATAATTTTTCAACTTTTCGTTTCTTCAATTTTGCAATTTTTCAATACATAGTTTAATTTTTCATTTTTCTATTTTTCAGTTTCTCCGTTTCTTTTGAATTTTCGATTTTTCAGTTTTTCATTTCCCCAATTTTTCAATTTCTTGATTTTTATTTTTCAGTTTCCCGATTTTTTAATTGTCATTTTCTCAATTTTATATCGCAAATTTTCATTTTTTCGATTGTATAATTTTTCGTGTATTCAATTTTTCAAATTTTCAACCTTTCTCAATTTTCCAATTTTTTAATATTGAATAAAAAATAATTTGGCAATTTTTGGATTTCCAGTTATCCGATTTCAATACATATTTCGTTTTTTTGATTTTGAACAACTTTCTCAATTTTTAATCTTTCGTATTTTTAATTTTTCCATTTTTTCGTTTTGATAATTTTTTTTTTCAACTTTAATTTTTTTCAGTTTCTCAGTTTTTTTTAATTTTTCGATTTTTCAGTTTTTATTTCCCCAGTTTTTCAACTTCTTGATTTTTATTTTTCAGTTTCCCGATTTTTTAATTGTCATTTTCTCGTTTTTATGTCACAAATGTTCGTTTTTTCATTCCCTTTATTTTTCGATGTTTCTTTCGATTTTATAATTTTTCGTGTATTCAATTTTTCTTTTTTTTATTTTTTAATTTGGCAATTTTTGCATTTCCAGTTATCCGATTTTTCGATTTCTTGAATCGTTTTTTCGATCTTGCACTTTCTCATTTTTTCACCTTCCATTTTTTCGTTTTGATAATTTTTCATTTTTTCTACTTTAATTTTTTTGAGTTTTTCAGTTTCTCGACTTCCAAATTTTTCAACTCCCCAATTTTTCAATTTCTTGATTTTTATTTTTCAGTTTCCCGATTTTTTAATTGTCACTTTCTCGATTTTATATTACAAATTTTCGTTTTTCATTACTCTTTTTTTTTTCGATGTTTCTTTCACTTTATAATTTTTGTGTGTATTCAATTTTTCAAATTTTCAGTCTTTCCTCAATTTTCCAATTTTTAAATTTTTCATTTTGACAATTTTTTGGATTTCCAGTTATCCGATTTCAATACATATTTCGTTTTTTTGATTTTGAACAACTTTCTCAATTTTTAATCTTTGATTTTTTAATTTTTCCATTTTTTCGACTTTAATTTTTTTCAGTTTCTCACTTTTTTTTTATTTTTCAGTTTCCCGATTTTTTAATTGTCATTTTCTCGTTTTTATGTCACAAATTTTCGTTTTTTCATTCCCTTTTTTCTTAATGTTTCTTTCGATTTTATAATTTTTCGTGTATTCAATTTTTCAAATTTTCAAACCTTCCTCAATTTTTCAAATTTTCAACTTTTCCTCAATTTTTCTTTCCTTTTAATTTTTTAATTTGGCAATTTTAGGATTTCCAGTTATCCGATTTTCCGATTTCTTTAATCGTTTTTTCGATGTTGCACTTTCTGATTTTTTTCACCTTCCATTTTTTCGTTTTGATAATTTTTCATTTTTTTAACTTTAATTTTTTTGAGTTTTTCAGTTTCTCGACTTCCAAATTTTTCAACTTTTCGTTACTTTAATTTTTCAATTTCTTGATTTTTATTTTTCAGTTTCCCTTTTTTTTAATTGTCATTTTCTCAATTTTATATCGCAAATTTTCATTTTTTTATTAACTTTATTTTTGGATGTTTCTTTCGATATTATAATTTTTCGTGTATTTGATTTTTCAAATTTTTGAACCTTCCTCAATTTTCCAATTTTTAAATATTGAATAAAAAATAATTTGGCAATTTTTGGATTTTTTGGATTTTCAGTTATCCGATTTTCCAATTCCTTTAATTTTAAATACGTGTTTCGTTTTGATAATTTTTCAATTTTTCAGTTTCTCAGTTTTTTTTTTCAATTTTTCAGTTTTTTATTTCCCCAATTTTTCAACCCCTTGATTTTTATTTTTCAATTTTCCAATTTTTTAATTGTCATTTTCTCGATTTTATGTTACAAATTTTCGTTTTTCATTACTTTTTTTTTCGATGTTTCTTTCACTTTTATAATTTTTGCGTGTATTCAATTTTTCAAATTTTCAATCTTTCCTCAATTTTCCGTTTTAAAATTTTTTTTTCATTTGACAATTTTTTGGATTTCCAGTTATCCGATTTCAATACATATTTCGTTTTTTTGATTTTGAACAACTTTCTCAATTTTTAATCTTTCGTTTTTTTAATTTTCCATTTTTTCGTTTTGATAATTTTTCGTTTTTTCAGTTTTTAGTTCCCTAATTTTTCAACTCCTTGATTTTTATTTTTCAGTTTCCCGATTTTTTAATTGTCATTTTCTCAATTTTATATCGCAAATTTTCATTTTTTCATTAACTTTATTTTTCGATGTTTCTTTCAATTTTATAATTTTCCGTGTATTCAATTTTTCAAATTTTCAAACGTTCCTCAATTTTTCAAATTTTCAACCTTTCCTCAATTTTTCTTCTTTTTTTAATTTTTTAATTTGGCAATTTTTGGATTTCCAGTTATCCGATTTTCCGATTTCTTTAATCGTTTTTTCGATCTTGCACTTTCTCATTTTTTCACTTTCCATTTTTTCGTCTTGATAATTTTTCATTTTTTCTACTTTAATTTTTTTGAGTTTTTCAGTTTCTCGACTTCCAAATTTTTCAACTTTTCGTTTCTTCAATTTTGCAATTTTTCGATTTTTCATTTTTCTATTTTTCAGTTTCCCGATTTTTTAATCGTTATTTTCTCAATTTTATATCGCAAATTTTCATTTTTTCATTAACTTTATTTTTCGATGCTTCTTTCGATTTTATAATTTTTCATGTATTCGATTTCTCAAATTTTCGCCCTCTCTCAATTTTCCAATTTTTACCCTCTCTCAATTTTCCAATTTTTAAATATTGTATAAAAAATAATTTGACAATTTTTGGATTTCCAGTTATCCGATTTTCCAATTCCTTTAACTTTAAATACGTATTTTGTTTTGATAATTTTTCGTTTTTTCAACTTTTTAGTTTTTGACTTACAAATTTTTCTATTTTTCAGTTTCTCAGTTTTTTTTAATTTTTCGATTTTTCAGTTTTTCGTGTCCCCAATTTTTCAATTTCTTGATTTTTATTTTTCAGTTTCCCGATTTTTTAATTGTCATTTTCTCAATTTTATATCGCAAATTTTCATTTTTTCATTTACTTTATTTTTCGATGTCTCTTTCGATTTTATAATTTTTCGTGTATTCGATTTTTCAAATTTTCAACCATTCTCAATTTTCCAATTCTTAAATATTCAATAAAAAATAATTTGGCAATTTTTGTATTTCCAGTTATCCGATTTTCCAATTCTTTAATTTTAAATACGTATTTCGTTTTGATAATTTTTCGTTTTTTCAACTTTAATTTTTTTTTTTTTAGCTTTTCAGTTTTTCAACTTAAAATTTTTCTATTTTTCAGTTTCTCAGTTTTTTTTTCAATTTTTCAGTTTTTTATTTCCCCAATTTTTCAGTTTTTTATTTCCCCAATTTTTCAACTCCTTGATTTTTATTTTTCAATTTCCCAATTTTTTAATTGTCATTTTCTCGATTTTATATTACAAATTTTCGTTTTTTGATTCCCTTTTTTCTCAATGTTTCTTTCGATTTTATAATTTTTCGTGTATTCAATTTTTCAAATTTTCAAACTTTCCTCAATTTTGTTTTTTTTATTTTTTAATTTGGCAATTTTTGAATTTCCAGTTATCCGATTTCTTGAATCGTTTTTTCGATCTTGCACTTCTCATTTTTTCACCTTCCATTTCTCATTTTTTCACCTTCCATTTTTTCGTTTTGATAATTTTTCATTTTTTTTTTTAGTTTTTCAGTTTCTCGACTTTCAAATTTTTCAACTTTTGGTGTCTTCAAATTTTCAATTTTGCAATTTTTCGATGGTTCAATTTTTCATTTTTCTATTTTTGAGTTTGTTTTTTTTTAATTTTTCGATTTTTCAGTTTTTCATTTCCCCAATTTTTCAATTTCGTGATTTTTATTTTTCAGTTTCCTGATTTTTTAATTGTCATTTTCTCAATTTTATATCGCAAATTTTCATTTTTTCATTAACTTTATTTTTCGATGTTTCTTTCGATTCTATAATTTTTCGTGTATCCGATTTTTCAATTTTTCAACCTTTCTCAATTTTCCATTTTTTAAATATTGAATAAAAAATAATTTGGCAATTTTTGGATTTCCAGTTATCCGATTTTCCAATTCCTTTAATTTTAAATACGTATTTCGTTTTGATAATTTTTCGTTTTTTCAACTTTCATTTTTTTTAAGCTTTTCGTTTTTTCAACTTTCATTTTTTTTAGCTTTTCAGTTTTTCGACTTACAAATTTTTCTATTTTTCAGTTTCTCAGTTTTTTTTTCAATTTTTCTATTTTTTTATGTCCCCAATTTTTCAACTCCTTGATTTTTATTTTTCGATTTCCCAATTTTTAATTGTCATTTTCTCGATTTTATATTACAAATTTTCGTTTTCCATTTACTTTTTTTTTCGATGTTTCTTTCACTTTTATAATTTTTGCGTGTATTCAATTTTTCAAATTTTCAATATGTCCTCAATTTTCCAATTTTAAAATTTTTCATTTTGACAATTTTTTGGATTCCCAGTTATCCGATTTCAACACATATTTCGTTTTTTTGATTTTGAACAACTTTTTCAATTTTTAATTTTTCGTTTTTTAATTTTTCCATTTTTTCGTTTTGATAATTTTTTGTTTTTTCGACTTTAAGTTTTTTCAGTGTGTCAGTTTTTTTTTTTAATTTTTCCATTTTTAAGTTTTATTTCCCCAATTTTTCAACTTCTTCATTTTTATTTTTCAGTTTCCCGATTATTTAATTGTCATTTTCTCGTTTTTATGTCACAAATTTTCGTTTTTTCATTCCCTTTTTTCTCAATGTTTCTTTCGATTTTATAATTTTTCGTGTATTCAATTTTTCAAATTTTCAAACTTTCCTCAATTTTTCAAATTGTCAACCTTTCCTCAATTTTTCTTTTTTTTTTATTTTTTAATTTGGCAATTTTTGGATTTCCAGTTATCCGATTTTCCGATTTCTTTAATCGTTTTCTCGATCTTGCACTTTCTCATTTTTTCACCTTCCATTTTTTCGTTTTGATAATTTTTAATTTTTTCTACTTCAATTTTTTTGAGTTTTTCAGTTTCTCGACTTCCAAATTTTTCAAATTTTCGTTTCTTCAATTTTTCAATTTCTTGATTTTTATTTTTCAGTTTCCCGATTTTTTAATTGTCATTTTCTTAATTTTATATCGCAAATTTTCATTTTTTTATTAACTTCATTTTTGGATGTTTCTTTCGATTTTATAATTTTTCGTGTATTTGATTTTTCAAATTTTTTAACCTTCCTCAATTTTCCAATTTTTAAATATTGAATTAAAAATAATTTGGCAATTTTTGAATTTCCAATTATCCGATTTTCCAATTCCTTTAATTTTAAATACGTGTTTCGTTTTGATAATTTTTCTATTTTTCAGTTTTTCAGTTTTTTTTTCAATTTTTCAGTTTTTTATTTCCCCAATTTTTCAACCCCTTGATTTTTATTTTTCAATTTTCCAATTTTTTAATTGTCATTTTCTCGATTTTATATTACAAATTTTCGTTTTTCATTACTTTTTTTTTTCGATGTTTCTTTCAATTTTATAATTTTTGCGTGTATTCAATTTTTCAAATTTTCAATCTTTCCTCAATTTTCCATTTTAAAATTTTTTATTTTGACAATTTTTTGGATTCCCAGTTCCGATTTCAACACATATTTCATTTTTTTGATTTTGAACAACTTTCTCAATTTTAAATCATTCGTTTTTTTAATTTTTCCGGTTTTTCGTTTTGATAATTTTTTGTTGTTTCGATTTTAATTTTTTTCAGTTTCTCAGTTATTTATTTAATTTTTCGATTTTTCAGTTTTATTTCCCCAATTTTTCAACTTCTTGATTTTTATTTTTCAGTTTCCCGATTTTTTAATTGTCATTTTCTCGTTTTTATGTCACAAATTTTCGTTTTTTCATTACCTTTTTTCTAAATGTTTCTATCGATTTTATAATTTTTGGTGTATTCAAATTTTCAAACTATCCCCAATTTTTCAAATTTCCAATCTTTCCTCAATTTTTCTTTCGTTTTAGTTTTTTAATTTGGCAATTTTTGGATTTCCACTTATCCGATTTTCCGATTTCTTTAATCGTTTTTTCGATCTTGCACTTTCTCATTTTTTCACCTTCTATTTTTTTGAGTTTTTCAGTTTCTCGACTTCCAAATTTTTCAACTTTTCGTTACTTCAATTTTTCAATTCCTTGATTTTTATTTTTCAGTTTCCCGATTTTTTAATTGTCATTTTCTCAATTTTATATCGCAAATTTTCATTTTTTTATTAACTTCATTTTTGGATGTTTCTTTCGATTTTATAATTTTTCGTGTATTCGATTTTTCAAATTTTCAACCTTTCTCAATTTTCCAATTTTAAAATATTGAATAATAAATAATTTGGCAATTTTTGGATTTCCAGTTATCCGATTTTCCAATTCCTCTCATTTTAAATACGTATTTCGTTTTGACAATTTTTGGTTTTTTGAACTTTAATTTTTTTTAGTTTTTCAGTTTTTCGACTTACAAATTTTTCTATTTTTCAGTTTCTCAGTTTTTTTTTCAATTTTTCACCTTTTTATCTCACCAATTTTTCAACTACTTGATTTTTATTTTTCAATTTCCCAATTTTTTAATTGTCATTTTCTCGATTTTATATTTCAACACATATTATTAAGTTTTGCAAGTTCTTCGGCTTTTTCATTTTTGATTTTCCAGTTTTACAATTTTGCAATATTTCCATTTTTTAATTCGAAAAACTGAAAAAACGAAAAATTGAAACATTAAAAAACTAAAAATTTAAAAATGGGAAGAAACTAATGCATTGGAAAATTGGAAAAACAAATAGAATAAAAAAACTGTCAAATCGACAAATTATAGAATAGAATATAAAACCGCCCACCCGCCCTGTCTCAATTGTGATGATATTTTTATTCGCCGTTAAAACACGTTTAAAATGGTAAATTTTTGTAAGGAAATATGAATTTTGCAATTAGGCTCCGCCCCTAGGTCTGCCAACGAATGAAAAGTTCATTTCTATTTAGATCAGGACAGGAATGGGTGGAGCTTAATATACTTATTTTTTTTTCTTAATATACACAGTATTCTTTGAATAACACGATACTCAAAAACATGTTTTTAATTTCTCATAGCGAAATACGGATTTTGCAGTTAAGCTCCGCCTTCTTGACTCACAACGAATAAAAAAAATCATCACAATTGAGATAGGGTGGGCGGGTGGGGCTTTTTTTAATAGTTGGGTTATGAATGGCGTTTATAGCAAGTAACTAGTACTCGTCAACATCACAACGAGGCGGCAAAATTCGCCAAAGCCAACTTGATCAAAAACACCTCTTTGTAGGTTTACAAAATCAAAGAAGCCCTCAAACATTGCGGTTTCGCGGACGTGGAAGTCGGTACTACTGAATCTTTTCAAGGACGCGAGAAAAGGATCATCATTATAAGTACCGTCAGAGCTCAACATTCCCTGCTTTTGCACGACCGCAAGTACAATTTGGGTTTCGTTAAACACGATCAGGTGAGGGATTGTTGTCGAATTTCGTAACGATAATAATTATAAAAAAATTTAGCGTTTCAATGTGGCTGTGACTCGCGCTATTAGTAAACTGGTTGTGATTGGGTGCCCTCCGGTGCTACGAACTGACAATAAGTGGACGAAATATATGGATCTGTGCAGTGAGCATGGAACTTATTTTGGAAATAGGTTTATGGCTGACAATCAACAATTCAGAGAAGAAGTGATTCACAGGACGAGACGTTTCAAGCACGTCGATGACCAGTTCAACCACGAGTGATGTTTTATATGTTTTGTTATTGATCAATAAATGCTAGTTTTTTATTTTGGCGTGTTTCGGGTTGTGGTGAATAACACACGTTCGCATAATGCACAGTAGCGGCTACCTTATTTATTCATCGTACTCAAGATACATTAATAAACATAAATTTCTTTAAAAAAAAGTACAATAAGTTATTGAAAATAAATCAATCGTAATAACAAAATAAAAAAGATTTGTAGAATACTTACCCAACGTCTGAAATAAAAGTTAAGCAGCAAATAATTTCAACTTATCACAAAAAACCGTTGTTCTTGTCACTATCTGAATAAAATGAACCGAAATTCGTTAATTTAATCTTTGCGTGGCTGGCAGTCGTTTCCTGCGTCGTCTTTGAGTACTAAGCCAATGTTCGTAATGTCTTTCGTTGGTAAGCCAGTCCTGGTACTTGTACCACCACTCCTCCCATTTTATATAGTCGTCCAGCGAGAGATCCCGCAGGTACCCAAGATCTTTGTAATACTGGTAGCGAACCCTGACATCGTCCCAAGCCGCGAGCCTCGACGGACCCGATGACAGGAGCTCGTCCGGGTAGTGACCGGCAGGAACTGGCGACAAGCTACCACAACAAAAACGTAAAAATAACCAAAACCATAAACACGGTGACTGGACCCACCTGTACCTCCGCGGAGGACTTCCATAAATATAATCCTCCCCTTCGATCATCACCTTGAGATCACCCCCCGTTTTCGTAATTCTCATGTTTTCGATGTCGCGTCTTTCTCGATCCGCGCTCCACTGCGCGATTTTGCCGAACCTCTCCGACAACGTCAGCCGCGTCGTGGCGACTATGGGCGACGTCGACGACGTGTCGCTGTCTTCCGAGCCCGACGACTCCCCCGGAGATCCCGTCCTCTTCTTCGTACGCTCTTTTTTGATTCTAGTTAACAGCACCTGGAAAAACCGACTAGACCCGACTTTTCGCCAACGATTCAACACTTACTGGTTCAGATCCTTTTTCCTTGGGTTTCCTGACCGGCTTCGCCGGCGGCTTCACTCCTTGCACGTCGATCACCTCGCCCGTCCGCCCCCGAGGCCTCGGGGGCGGCGGCTGCCTCCGCGGGTCCGTCGGCCGGTCCGACGAGCTCGGCTTCTGTGGCTTGCGTGCGGGGGGCGGCGTCATCGGCCTCGGCATCCGGCGGGGCGGCGAAGGAGACGGCGACGGCGGCCTAGGACGGATTCGTGATTTCAGAGTTGGCGAAGTTGTCTTTGTTTGTGCTTTGGCGCGGGAACGCGGCACCGAGAACGAACGAGACCTAGAACCACACCAAGACGAACATCAGCACAAAGGGCGAACAAGTCTGTAGGGTGAAACTAATTGATTAACTCAAAGGACAGTTATGGTTTTATTTCCATTTTACGCCACCTTCAGGTTAACCAATTACTAAAAACACTGTACGAGAACCAGAACAAGAGTGTCCTACCCTTCGTCTCTCCCTTCACCACATGATTACCTTGACCTCGGATGTCTGTGGTTCTTCGGCGAGCAGACCGAGCATGAGTCGTCCGAGCAGCTGCTGATCGAGCTGGCGGTCGCAGACCGACGTCCAGAACCGGAGGCTTTGTGTGGCGGCGGCGAACGGGGCCGAACAGGTCTAGAACGCGTGGCGTTTGGCGGCGACCTGCGACCGACGGGCGATCGGCTGTAAGCGACGGGCGAACGGCGCGAAATCGACGACCTGCGGCCCACTGGGGAACGACGCGGCGGCGGCGAACGGGGCGATCTGCGACCGGCTGGGGAACGAGGCGAACGGCGGCCCACCGGCGATCGACGGGGGGGCGTTCTGCGCCCGTTCTGGGACCTGGAGCGGCTGCGGCGGCCGGACGACGGCGACGACGAGCCGTCGATGTACAGGGATTTGTAGCCGCTGTGGCGCCACCTGGGGAAAGCGAACTCTCGTCAGCGGGATGATTTTCTGAAGATCCACGACTGAATTTACCTATTGGGATCTTTTGCTTCCACTTCTAGGAGTTTCTTATCCCAATAAGCGTTGGAGTTGGGAGATGCTCGGGCTTTTTTCATTACGGTATCGATTTCGCGTCTTCGGCCTGCTGGGACACTGGGATCTTAAAGAAAAAATTTCTTTTATGCTTTTAGGTTTTTCGTCAAAAATATCTTCATAAAAGTAAAAATTCAAGTTGAAAGCATGGCCAAACTCAGCGTTCAAATTTTATAAAATATCATACATCAAGTTGGCTTTGGAAGCCCTGTCAATGCTTTTTTAATAATAAGAATATGCCGCTTCCTTGAAATAGATATCAATCTGTCACTCGAGGTGAATTCTTGGTTGCTTAATCAGGTAGCAAATATGTATAGTGAAAAAAATTAAAAAAGTTAGGTTATGATGGACACTTGTGACAGGTGACGTTAAATATACAGACAGATATCGACGTTGCCAAGTTGTACACCATACCTTAAAAAAAAAAAAAATGTTACCAATAAAACTTTGAAGAATTAAAACCATATACCCTATGATTTCTTAAATTGGATATACGGCGAGACTCTGGAAACAAAAGGCCTGAAAGACGTAAGTCTTCTGTGGCAATGACAATGACATTTATGTAAAACATAATTAAACTACGACCTACGTCTTTCACATATTTTGTTTCCATAGCCTCTCCTTACGTCAAATTAAAAAAAAAATATATGGTCAATCACTACTACTTTATTTTGATTTAATTACAAGTTACCATAACTATAAATAAAATGCTAACGTCTTCAATATACAGGTGTCTCGGCTAAAATTCCGCGGCCTAATATCTTTAGAACGGATTGAAAAATATTCCGTAAACGCCATTGTTTTTAGCTTTAAGGAGGAAGCTTTAGAGGTAATTAAAAGCCTCTTTATGGGACGGGTTTTTGCTTAAAGGCTACTTTAAAAATAAAGGGGACTTAATTGATTATGATGCTTTATTTTTCTCAATTGACATTTTTTTATGTTTATACATAGATTTTATTTTTTGTCATTGTAATCGTAATTTAACGGTATATCAAAGTCCGTTAAAAAATATATGTTGCAAATTAAAAAAATAGATGTCTCATTAATTATTATAAAAAAAGGCAAAGACCACAGTTGTACGGTTCCTTGTGGAGTACACTCTAAAATTATCTTTAACTATACAGAGTGTTCTGTTTTAAAGAGGTAACTCACAACATGGTCTTTTTTTAATGAAACACCCTATGTATTTTTTCACATATTTCGACTGACCTCTTTTTAGGTTTTACAACCATAGTTTATTTTCGAACATACAATGCAACGTTGCCACGTTATTCCAATTTTCTTGAAATTTTTTAGCAATGGAAGGGTTCACAAAAAAAAATTATAATAGGGTATGTCTTATAATAACGGGTGACCAAAAAGTTTTCAGATTAGAGTTGGCCATTGAAATATTTCTCATGTCTTTGATTAAACTATAAATGTCAAACAATCAAATTTTTGAATTACAAATGAGGTTATGCATGACATTTGCAGTCTGATCAAAGACATGACAAATATTGCCATGCCAACTCTAATCTGAAAATTTTTTGATCACCCCCTATTTTGTGGAGAGATAAAGAAAGCTACGCACTTTGTTGTGGTGTAAGTAAGATTAAATTTTCATATACAGAGTATTCGTAAAAATGTTTTAGTTATTACAATTTTTAAATATCGATATTTCAGTTTTTTCAAATAGAACACCCTATATTTAACTACAGCATCTTGTTCTTTTTTGTTCTCTCGTTTTTTGCTGAGTATTTTCAAATTTGAAGTTCGAATTGTGATTTTTTACTTTTTTGAGAGATACATCGACATATTAGAAGAATGAGGATAAAAAATACAGTACGATATAGTAATAAAATACAGGGTATTCCATTTAAAAAAACGGAACCATCGAATTTGAAAATTAAAGATAAAACCGATTTTGGCAAATGACACACTCTATGAAGAGAGAGGGTGGGTGGGCGGGTCCAGTACCTTCTAAGATAAAACTGATTTTGGCAAATGATATACTCTCAAAGAAAACAGAGGGTGGGTGGGCGGGGCTAGTACCTGCTAAGATAAAACTAATTTTGGCAAATCACATACCCTCTAATAAAAGAGAGGGTGGCTGGGTGGGGGCAGTACCTGCTATGATAAGACTGATTTTGGTAAATGATATACTCTTTAAGAAAATTGAGGGCGGGTGGGTGGGGCTAGTACCTGCTAAGGTAAGACTGATTTTGGTAAATGAGACACCCTCTAAGAAAAAAGAGGGAGGGTGGGTGGTTGGGGCTAGTAGCTGCTTAGGTAAAACTGATTTTGGCAAATGACATACTCTCTAAGAAAACAGGGTGGGTGGGCGGGGCTAGTACTTGCTAAGATAAAACTGATTTTGGCAAATCACATATTCTCTAAGAAAAGAGGGGGTGGGCGGGTGGGGCTAGTACTTGCCAAGATAAAATTGATCTTGGCAAATCACATATCCTCTAAGAAAAGAGAGCGTGGGTGGGCGGGGCTAGTACCTGCTAAGATAAAACTAATTTTGACAAATCACATAGTCTCTAAGAAAAGCGAGGGTGGGTGGGCGGGGCCATTACCTGCTAAGATAAAACTGATTTTGGCAAATGACATACCCTCTAAGAAAAGAGAGGTGGAGCTAGTAGCTGCCAAGATAAAACGAATTTTGGCAAATGACATGGAGGTTTTTTTTTGCAAATTATTTAAAACAATTTTAGGAGGCTTTGGTGTTCTATTTTTGGAAAATTTTGACCTCACCTACCTGCGTTTGAGTTAATTTTGGAACCGTCTTTTTTTTTTTAATTTAAAACAATCTGGAGGTTCTAGGTATTCCTGTTTGGAGAGAATTTTGGAGCTATTAGTCTCTTTTCTTATAATAATTTAGTCTCTTTTCTTTACAATAATTTTCTTATATAAATTTCTTAAGAGGATACGTCATTTGCTAAAATTAGTCTTATCTAATCCCCCCGCCCCATCCGCCCGCTTTCTATTTTCTTGGAGAATGTCATTTTGCCAAAATCAGTCTAAACAGGTACTAGCCCCACCCACCTACCCTCTCTTTTCTTCGAGGGTATGTCATTTGCCAAAATCGATCTTATTTTAGTAGGTACTAACCACGCCCCCCCGCCCTCTATTTTCTTAGAGGGATCTCATTGGCCAAAATAATTCTTATCCTAACAGGTACTGCCCCGCCCAACCACCCTATCTTTTCTTAGAGGCTATGTCATCTGCCAAAATCAGTCTTATCTTAGCAACTACTAGCCCCGCCCACCCACCCTCTCTTTTCTTAGAGGGATCTCAATGGCCAAAATCATTCTTATCCTAACAGGTACTGATATCTTTTCTTAGAACCTATGTCATCTGCCAAAATCAGTCTTACCTTAGCAACTACTAGCCCCGCCCACCCACCCTATCTTTCCTTAGAGGCTATGTCATCTGCCAAAATCAGTCTTATCTTAGCAACTACTAGCCCCACCCACCCAGCCTCTCTTTTCTTAAAGGGATCTCATTTGCCAAAATCATTCTTATCCTAATAAGTGTTAACCCCTCCCACCCACCCTATCTTTTCTTAGAGGCTATGTCATCTGCCAAAATCAGTCTTATCTTAGCAACTACTAGCCCCGCCCACCCACCCTCTCTTTTCTTAGAGGGATCTCAATGGCCAAAATCATTCTTATCCTAACAGGTACTGCCCCGCCCACCCACCCTATCTTTTCTTACAGGCTATGGCATCTGCCAAAATCAGCCTTATCTTAGCAGGTACTAGCCCCGCCCACCTATCCTCTCTTTTCTTAGAGACGGTTTCCCAAAATAATACACCAAGTCTCCCGAATTAAAAAAAAAACCACTGCGGCACTCTCGACTTTCAAATTTGTAAAAAATAAAACACTGAAAGCTCAAAAGATTTTTTTCAAGTTCATCCAGCAACGAAATATCAAATTCCTTTAAATAAATTTATTTGAAAATAAAACACCAGGGGACTTAAAATTAACTGCGAATATTTTAAACGTAGGGTTTTGTAAACTTTGACAATTTTTGATACGTTAAACATTTTTTACTGCATACTCGACATAAGAATGAATTTTTTTACTATTTTTCCCAAACTCACCAGTTGATTGTTAAGAACGCAATACAAGAGTTAATCCGTCATTTTCCAGACACCCTGTATAGATAAATTTGTAGACAACTTATATGTATTTAAATTTGTGTCCAGTTGAAAGCTATGAAGCTGCCCTTGATTTTTTGTAAACATTACGAAATATGTCTACAATAAACCTAAAATTTATTTGATGACAGATAACAACACGGAAGTATCAATTATACATAACAGTATGGATTAAGAAAACACATCCGTTTTTCGCTAGGTTTTTTTCTGTCAAAAAAGCAAAGCCAACTTGATGACTTTTTTTTTAAACACCCATCAGAACGAGACGGCAAATTCGACGAAATTTGAAAGCCAACTTAATGTACAACGTTTTATAATCATTTGAAGTAAAATAAACCAAACTTTTTTGTTTTTATTTTAACAAATTTTTGACTTGCTGGAGTCAAAGTTAGAGATCCATTTATTATTTAAATGTATTATGGGCAACTGTATATACCAACAATAATAACGTAATAACAATATCATTATGTATAATACTGAGTGATTATTAATGTTTGTGATTTTTTGTCAGGTTGGTGACATTTTCAAATATAATGATGGCATTCCTGACATCAAATTGAAAATTTTAGTACCAAAATTGACATATTGTCACTAATTTAAAATTGCCAACCCAAATATTTGTTCAATCACCCGGTATTTTGTTTATTATTTTGATTATGTTGATAAAATGAAGACAGTTGGCACCACTTTTAGTAAGTTTACCGCTCTATAACTAAAAATAAATACACTAAATCATGCAGTTACCTTTTGTGACTGTACCTGTGATTCGAGGCGTTTGGGGCTTGGTGTCCATTCTGAGTTTCGACGCCGATGACGCGTTTTTCGAGCGCTCTCTGCTGCGACTTCTCCTCCTGGACGACATTCTGCGAAATCTCGAATAACTTCCGTCGCGAACTCAACTCGTTTCAACTTACTTATCCAGCTGCTCGCTTCAGCACTCTCGTCTTGAAGCAAGTCCAAGAGGAGATATTTGGGGGCCGATTTCTTCCAAAGTCCGAGAATGGGGCCGTGGGGGTACGATCGCGAGTCGGTGAGCAAGTCACGGCCACGCTAGAATCACGACACGCGTTATCAGGTGTTACCGACAGCACCAATGTTACGCACCACATGGCAAGCCCGACAACAACAGCCATGTGGTTTATAACGGACAAACGGGCGAAAGACATTAAGGTTAGTTAAAAATGCTGTTAGACAACACACTCTGCTCCCCATTCAGCCTCACACTTGCTGCAAGCACTCATCACCAAGCAGAAATGGCATGATCCGAAGCGAGTTCGTCGGAAGATGCTTCCTACGAGCTTGTGCGTGCTACAGGACCTGAAACTGTATCTAAACAACTGAAAATTCCAAAGACAGGAGCGGCTATTCACGTAATTTGTAAAAATAGAGCGTTTAACGTCACTCTGAGTTCGAGGCGGACTGTCCGACTTTGGCGAAAATTCCTTCACCGCACAGCGAAAATAGAACAACTTCACACAAGTCACTCAGGTCCGGGCCGAGACCGATTCGCGCTTTGGATCGATTTTCGGATCGGGCAAGTTTGAATTTCGCGCGGAAAGTGCGCGGCGGCGAGGACAACGAACCCAAAATCAATACACATAAAATCACGACTTATCACTAACAGGATCACTTACTTTTCCAAACGGAACTACTACGTTCGTTGCAAAAACGTGTTAGCGGAGGAGTGTGGCCGAAAAACCATTATCTCTTCGGAGTTTTGCCGATTTTTCAATTTTTCATGCGCTAAACGACGACATGACGACTTTAGACGACTGCGACACTGTTATGCCAGATGCGCATGCGCGACCCGAACGACACCTTTCACCGCCTCTAATTACTTAATTATTCCTTATTCTGCCACTCGGTGTAATAAAAATCGATCCAGGATCGCCCACAAATAAAATGATTCGAAAGCAGAGGCAGGAAACAGTCGCCTTCGAATATAATACACCGTGACCGGACCAAGGTCGAAGATTCGAACTCATGATCGCAAGGGAAATTGGTTCACAGAGTAGCATCACTTCTCATATCCAAGGCTGTATTGTTGGTTGCGTCACGGAATTTATATGCCCAAATATGACATGTGCCGCTTTTCTTGACAAGCAAGTTCCTCAAATCTACCTAAGCACAACCATCGTAAGTTGGTATCGTTGGTATTGAAGAGTATTCGGGACGGAGCTTAACTGCAAAAAAATGCTTATTTCTTTACACGAAATTAAAAACATGTTTTGAGTTTAGTGTTGTTCGTAGACGTTTATTTTTTACAGAAAGGCGCTAGTTAACGACCGACACGGCGTAGAGTTGAAGATCGAAGTGAAAAAAGTGAAAAATTTCCACTACGACTTCCGTAATATCAAAGGGAAATACGTAATATAGGTAGACGATTCCAAAAGAGTTACTTCTGTGGTCATACACCACAAACCAAAGCTAATTTCAGGTCACTCCAGAACAACTTCGACTCCACAACTGCACCATAACGTTCAAATGCAGAATAAAAAACACCAGAAAAGACCCCATTTTCGTCACAAACACAAACTTACTCCACCCTTCACACTACTTCGACATTATCCACGACAACTGCTTCGGAGACGACGAATCCACGTTCATCAAAATAGCACCAGGTTAAATGAAACTCAAAATTTTTGAACCCGTCTTAATGCAAAGATTTAGGTCATGTGTACCCGTTCAAAGTAACTTTCACGACGGACGTTTTGTCCTGCGCTAGTTACAAGATTCCGTTGTCTTGTGATTTTCAAACCTCTGACAATAAAGATAATTTTACGATAGTGAGGACATTCGTAAGTTGGCAATGTGGGACTTAACAAAAGTTACTAGTGTGATTGTAGTTGACGATCATTGCTGACAACATTGCAGCTGAAGAGGAAAAAACTAAGAGCCCGTTCACGAGTCAGCCGTGGAAGGACGTTCACACGACTCCTACCACAAAGTCGACGTAAGCTTTGAGCGTAACGTGAAAATGTAGTAGTAACGGTGTAATTTTAGACAATATAGGGATAAGTATCAAGTTCCAGGGAAGCTGAAACGGCTGCTGAACTATAGGTTGCAAAAGATTTAGGTCATGTGTACCCGTTTTTTTTTAATCGTCGACAGCCAAAGGAGCGGAATTTAATTGCAAAATCCATACTTCCTTACAAAAATTTACCAATTTATTTAAACGTGTTTTAAGTTTCTAAAATAAAAAAATAATCACAATTGAGATTTTATATATATTTTGCCTTTTTTTTAATACACATAGTATTCTTTAAACAACACGATACTCAAACATATGTTTTTAATTTCTGGCAAAGAAATAAGTATTTTGCAGCTAAACTCAGCTCAAGTTTGATTCACGACGAATAAAAAAAAATCATCACAATTGAGATAGGGCGGGTGGGAGGGCTTACATGTTGTCTTTTTGTTTTAATATGTGTAGACTTCTTTTCTCCACATGAAACTTAAAACATGTTTAAAATGGAAAATTTGTATCAGGAAATATAAATTTTGCAATTAGGCTCCTACCCATAATTGCAAAATTCATATTTCCTTGCAAAAATGTAACATTTTAACCATGTTTTAAGTTTCTTGTTGTGAAAAAATGGCTATGTATATTAAGAAAAGAAAGGAAAATATAAGCCCCGCCCACCCACCCTATCTCTATTCGGATGATTTTATTGATTCATCGTAAGCCGAGGGGCGGAGCTTAATTGAAAAACCATATTTCTCTAAAAAATTTCCTGCTATGAGAAGATTACATATATTTAAAAAAACAGGCTAAATATAAGCCCCACCCACCCACCCTATCTCAGAAGTAATGATTTTTTTTTATTCATCGTGAGCCGGGGGTGGGAGCCTAATTGCAAAACTTGATACTTTTCTACAAAAATTTACCATTTTAGACATGTTTTAAGTTTCTTGTTATGGAAATAAGTCTACACATATTAAGAAAAAAAGGCAAAATGTAGCCCCGCCCATACCTGCCCTGATCTAAATAGTAACGAAGTTTTCATTCGTTGGTAGATCTAGGGGCGGGGCCTAATTGCAAAATCCATATTTCCTTGCAAAAATAGATTTCTAAGAATAAAAAAAAAATCATCACAATTAAGACGGGGTGGGCGGGCGGCCCAAAAACATGTTTTTAATTTTTTAATTTCTTGTAAAGAAAAAAGTATTTTGCAGTCCAGCTCCGCCCCTTTGACTCACGACGAATAAAAAAAATCATCACAATTGAGATAGGGTGGGTGGGCGGGCAGGCTTACATTTTACCTTTTTGTTTTAATATATGTAGACTTCTTTTCACAACATGAAACTTAAAACATGTGTAAAATGGAAAATTTTGTTTAAGGAAATATCGATTTTGCCATTAGGCTCCGCCCCATAATTACAAAATCCATATTTCCTTGCAAAAATGTATCATTTTAACCATGTTGTAAGTTTCTTGTTGTTAAAAGATGGCCATGTATATTAAGAAAAAAGGAAAATATAAGCCCCGCCCACCCACCCTGTCTCTATTCGGATGATTTTCTTTATTCGTCGTAAGCCGAGGGGTGGAGCTTAATTGCAGAATCGATACTTTCCTACAAACATTTACCATTATAGACATGTTTTGAGTTTCTTGCTATCGAAATAAGTCTACACATGAATTGCTAACTGCAGAAAGGGGACATGTCCCATTTTTTACCACAATAACATTCGTACATAATCGTGTTCTAGAGGTCTAAACACATCTTTACTGCAAAAACGGGCCATGTTTAATGATTTAGCTCGGGGCTACAAGCGGATGAAATTTACGGTTACAGCAGAAATGGGATATGTCCAGGAGATATCGACTTTCTGCAGTAAACACCGTGGTCTCAACGTCTTGCGTTATTCTTATCCAACACGACACTCAAAAACATGTCTTACATGGTAATTTCTTGTAGAGAAGTAAGAATTTTGCAATTAAGTTACGCCCTCTTGGCTCACGACGAATAAAAAAATCATCACAATTGAGATAGGGTGGGTGGGCGGGGCTTATATTTTGCCCTTTGTTCTTAATCTCCGCAGTCATCTTTTCACAACAAAAATTTAAAACATGTTTAAAATGGTAAATTTTTGTAGGGAAATATAGATTTTTCAGTGACGCTTCACTCTTCGGCCTGGAAATGAATGAAAAATTCATCATTAAACTAGGCCCCACCCACACCTACCGCGAACTCAATAGTGGTGAAATTTTCATTTGTTGCCAGACTGGGGGGCGGAGCATAATTGCAAAATTCGTAGTTCCTACAAAAATTTACCGTTTTAAACATGTTTTAAATTTGTGTTGTGAGAAGATGACTACGTGTATTAAGTGCAAAATTAGTATAATAACTAGCCATCAGCCAGAAGAAAATGACGGATATAACAAACACTTTACGATTTATCCCAGACACTTATAACGCATTTTGGCAGGAGATTGCTACTTGGCCAACTGTAGAACAGGAGCGCGATAATGATTAAGTTTTTTAGTCAGATATACATATAACATGTTTGTGTAAAATTATAACTGAAATAAAGCTGTTTTTTGTGTTTTTTTTTACCTTTTTTTTCATTTTACTGCAAAAAGGGGATATGTCCAAGTGTCAAATTTGACAGCCAAATTGACCCAAAAAAGAAAACATGCATTTAACCAACACTCGTTGATAACTGAGAACATAGAGAACCGACAATTGAAAACGGGGATCGGAAACAAGTAGTTGTAAAAATCTGAGACGTTTTATTCATTTCCTCAACATTTTGAAAAATGTGATATATCCCCTTTCTGCAGTTAGCAATTCACATATTAAGAAAAAAAGGCAAAAATAGAAAATTTTACCATGTTCAACATGTTTTAAGTTTCCTGTTATGAGAAGAAGATTACATATATTTAAAAAAAACGGCTAAATATAAGCCCCAAATCTCAGTTGTAATAATTTTTTTTATTCGTCGTGAGCCCGGGGGCGGAGCCTAATTGCAAAATCGATACTTTCCTAGAAACATTTACCATTTTAGACATGTTTTGAGTTTTTTGTTATCGAAATAAGTCTACACATATTAAGAAAAAAAGGCAAAATGTAGCCCCGCCACCCGCCCTATCTCAATTGTGATGATTTTTTTATTCGTTGTCAGATCGAGGGGCGTGGCTTAATTGCAAAATCCATATTTGTCTAGAAAAATTTATCATTTTAAACATGTTTTAAGTTTCGTGCTCTGAAAAGACGACTAGTAATTAAGAAAAAACGCACAATATAAGCCCCACCCATACCTGCTCTGATCTAAATAATAATGAAGTTTTGATTCTTTGGCAGACCTAGGGGCGGAGCCTAACTTCAAAATCCATATTTCCTTACAAAAATTTACCATTTTATTTGTCTTAAACGTGTTTTAAGTTTCTAAGAATAAAAACAATCATCACAATTAAGATGGGGTGGGTGGGGTTTATATTTTGCTTTTTTTTCTTAATACACATAGTACTCTTTGAACAACACGATACTCAAAAACATGTTTTTAATTTCTTGTAAAGAAATAAGTATTTTGCAGTCAAGCTCCGCCCCTTTGACTCACGACGAATAAAAAAAATCATCACAATTGAGATAGGGTGGGTGGGCGGGCAGCCTTATATTTTACCTTTTTGTTTTAATATATGTAGACTTCTTTTCACAACATGAAACTTAAAACATGTTTAAAATGGAAAATTTGTATAAGGAAATATAGATTTTGCAATTAGGCTCCGACCCATAATAATATTTCATTGCAAAAATGCATCATTTTAATCATGTTCTAAGTTTCTTGTTGTGAAAAGGTGAATATGTATGTTAGAAAAAAAGGAAAAAATAAGTCCCGCCGACCCACCCTATCTCTATTCGGATGATTTTCTTTATTCGTCCTAAGCTGAGGGGACCTCTTCTCACAACATGAAACTTAAAACATGTTTAAAATGGAAAATTTGTATAAGGAAACATCGACTTTGTAATTAGGCTCCGCCCCATAATTGCAAAATTCATATTTCTTTGCAAAAATGTATCATTTTAACCATGTTCTAAGTTTCTTGTTGTGAAAAGATGGCTATGTATATTAAAAAAAAAATGGGAAATATAAGCCCCGCCCACCCACCCTATCTCAATTCTGATGAATTTTTCATTCGTTGTCAGACTGAAGGGCGTAGTCTAATTGCGAAATCGATACTTTCTTACAAAAATTTACCATTTTAAACATGTTTTAGCTTTGTTGTTGTGAAGAGAAGACTATACATATTAAGAAAAAAAAGAATAAAATGTAAGCTCCTGTAGCTATAATACCTAATCTTGTTGATTTGAAGAACAATTTTCCTAAATATCTATTATTGTAGATAGAAGACAAAAGTGGTTTTTTACGATATTTCTGTCACAGTTTTTGGTTAATTGAACTGTTTTTTCTATATTTATTACAGAAAAAAGGAAAAAATGTTATATTTCGTCCAGCACCACGTTGTCACAGTAGAGATAATTGTTATCTCTACTGTGACGTTGTCTTAATCAAGCTTTGTAGGCAACCGATTAAACGTCAAGTGACATGGTCCGACGAACCAGTTCATAGTGGTATTTTGAACTTTGGATCCCCCAAACAACTTTCTTTCTTTTCGATACAGGGCAGCCGAATAGATTTATGTATTTATATGGTTTCTGTTAAAAGTTTTGCCATTTCTGAATTATTAAAAACACGAATTAAAAAAAAATCATTTCCAGGTAACTCACCAGAGGTCGCCCACGTCGTGCTTAAATGTCATATGTCAATACTCTGTCAATCAATCTGTCATTCCTTTTTTACCGTTTGCATTTTGTTATCAATTTAATAGATTATTTATTTATTTATTTACACACGATGAGCGATAAGCAGGAAGTGTCCGAGACGCTAAAAGCCGCGCACTCTTATCTAACTCGCTTGAAGAATCTCAATAACATGATCCAGAACGCGGAACGTCAAATACAAGACTCCTCGAAAGAAACCGAAAGGACCATTGAAACGACTTTTAGCACCTTGTTGGCGAACTTGACGCAAATTTTACTCAATCGTAAAGACAATTTAATCACCAGGGTCCAAGAAGTAAGTTTTGTGTCCTTGGAACAAATAAACAAGCGTGGTTTTAGACTAGGCACCAGAGTTTAGCACCTTTAGAGGAATGTAGGGCCGATATTTCTAGACGAGTTGAAAAAACGCACAAACTGATTTTCGAGGGGCAACGGCTACTCAACGGGGCCACCAAAAACGTAGATGAATTTAGCCAAAAGTCAAGCTCATTGGGGAGTCTTCCGGAAATACCTGAACTCAAAGAAGTGCCTTTCATTTCGTTTCAATGCGAACCCAGCGTGGAGTCAGAGTTGCTGGATATGTGTTCACAGTTTGGAGAAGTGTTTAAAATCGCCCCAGTTCAAGTAGTGTAAACCAAATTAGTAAATTACTGTAAACTTAATTAATTTCTGCACAGATTAGCCAAACTGTTGAACGACCCGGCGCCATTCTCGTCGAGTGGCAAAGCGTAGAAAACGACGACCGTTGCGTCGATATTCAAGAATTCCGGCTGCAAAGAGCCTTTGGGGACGTTACAGCCCAGCAGCACTTAAAGGCAAATTTTTCAGATTGTTATTTAGGTTTAGAGACACAGTTTTTACTTAAAGATTTGCAAGCCAATCAACTTTATTCCTTTAGAGTGTGTTGCAAGTTTGAAGGGTCCAGTGAGTGGAGCCCTTGGTCGCTACCTCACGTAACTTCCACCACGATAAAGCCGTTTTCGTGGGCTCCCAATAAAGATTTTATTCTTGCCGACGGAAACAGGATCGCCACTCCTGTTAAAGATGCGCCGTCTGTGTTGATCTCAGATGGCCCCCAGTTCGCCGTTGGTTATTCCGTTGAATTTATGGTACAAAAATCAATATAAATACACAACTTTTATTGACACAATTTTCAGTATTTAGAGTTTGATAATAAATGTTCTACTATTGGATTAATCGTTGCTAATGATGCTAATAACGTAAAACGTGTTAAAAGTGAAGATCACAGTTACTTTGCTCTGGATAGCACTGGTGAGATTTTCGTCGATGGAGTAAAGAAATCTACAAAGTTACCTGAAGCCGCCAAAGGATTAAAAGTAATAACCAAACATCCACAATCTCGATACTAAATTTTATTTTGTAGATTTGTTTCATGTGTGAGTTGATTCACGATGACAAAGTCAGAGTCAACATTGACACTTGTGATAAACAGGTCACATACGACTGGCAAATATGTAAATCAGACAAGCTCTATTTCGTAGCGCAATTACAATCACCTGCTAGTAAAATTATCGTTGAATAATTTGTTGTTGTATGTGTAAATAAATAAACATTTCTTTACCCTACGATACTACTTGCCCCCCGTAGCGCCAAATAACCCGCAGTTATGTCCATGGGAAGGGCAATAAGCGTTGCATACTCCTCTTTATTGGCAAATCTCAGTCTAGTTTGGGGGTCAGTGTACGGAGCCGGAAGCCCCGACAAGTCTGAAAATTTTTCCGCTGGTTTGAATGACGGGGGCGCGTTTATGGAGCTGTAGTGCACTACGTTGTCCGGCCAGGGAAGCGCCTTCTCCGTCGAGATTATTTGTTTCAGAGATTTCCAGGCCCGTTTCTTCACGATTGTTTTGGAGTTGGGGTTAAGCGAAGCGGTTTTGAAGACAAGTTTTGGCTCGGATCGGACGTCTTCTGGATTCATTTTGTGACTTGTAAAGTTTATAACTCTAAAAAAGTAACACAATTGAGGTTAGGTTGTTGTTGACATGAAGTTTGAGGTTAGATTACATGATAATCTTGGGGGTGTATTTTGTGTTGCATAACACAAGATCAACGATTGTTATCAATAATTGATTTTATTATGGTTTTAAAACAATTTATAATAAAAATAATACCTGTACTACTCAGTCGAGATGATAAAATAATTGTAACAATTGTCAAACGGAACACGAATGCGTTGCCAACATAATTATTTTAAAAAATAAATTTCATAGCCCACTAGGGGACTATTTAATTATAACTAGATTTTTTCTCGTATTTTGGAAAAAATATAACAAAAATTAAAGATAAAATTAATAATTTTTGAATATCCAAGTTACCCAAAATATGTCACTAAATCGACTGAAGTCCGTTCTTTTTTTTTTTAAAGAAAAATCAAATTCACAAAAGTGAAAAATGAAAACTATGAACAGTGTATTTATTTTTAAATGTTTATATTAATAATAATAAATAATTCATTTCATAGTGCGAAGTTAGTTAGAACAAAATCCGTTACCGTTTATTTTGATACGCAAAATGTTGCCAAGTTCATTACTTCAACAAACAAATAAAATCTATTTTTCATCGAAATTAATAATTATCTACTTTCAACAGACGCTGCTACGTTCAAACAAATAACCCATTTTGTACAATTTAAATTCAATTCAAGCGTGAAAACAAGTCGATTGAAAACTTTGCCCCGATTGTTTTAAATATAAATTAAAATCGGCACCGAATAAATGCACTCATTGTTATTCTGCATTCAAATTCTCACCCTCCAGCCATAAATTATACTAACACTGTGTCATTTGCAGTTTTAAATCCGTTTACCTCTTTCATTCACGGATTGGGTCCCTCGCAGTGGCCAGGTGTTATAAAATTTCTCAATAGAAGGTCTACTGGAACTAATTCCTGACATTATTAAATACTCACGATGACATTTTTTTGTGTAGAGTCACGAACATGACGAAAGCAAAAACGGACTTTTCATGAGGCGAATTTTGTCTTATCAGTGGTAATTACAAAAGCCATAAGCCGAATCGATAATAAATGGGCAAGCGGTCACGACATTAATTCCAATAGAGAATTTTTGATATATTCACTCGAGGTTCACACTCGCCGTTCTTTGTTTTAGCACTTCCAGTGAAGATGCGGGTCAATAGTACTCCAACAATGAGCTCCTCAAGCAATTTAAAAGTGCAACAATGGCGTTGATTGAGTGCCATTCTTGATAAAGTGGACTTTTCACACGGGGTTCTTGTAATTCATTAGAGAAAACAAAAGCTTTTTAATTATGGCCTATTCCGAGTACCGTGGTTGAAAAAAACAACAGGAGCTCTGCAGCTGCATAAAGAGCAATACTTAACGGCTTCTGGGATTGAGTGAGAAAACTTTCCTTCAATTAACAAACGTTTTTTTGAAAATTATTCGTTATCACTGGCGTTGTTTTTGTTGGTAATTTGACCGTGACGAGAGTGCTGATCCTTCGAACAACAACCAAAGACAGCAGGCGTCAGGGTAGCCTAAATATCACGTTACAAATGAGCTCCCTTTGTTTCTCAAGAAGGACATGATACCGGGTGGTCTTGAATCCGTGTTTAGTGTGGCGCCAGGGCTGTCATACCTATTTCTTTAATTTATTGATTTGTTTGTCTGCCATGTTAATAAGATGCAAAAACAACCATTAATTATCCAATTCCAAACATATGATTACCTGTGTTGTTGGTTTAGTGAATCAGCAAATCAATTATGTAAAATGCCAATAATTTACAACAAATGTGGCTTGAAATCTGTTCACGGGAGTGTTAACAGGGTTTTTGTCGTCCAGGGCCAACAAACACATCGTTGGTATTACTGTTTTTTTAAGTGTTGGGCTAAAAATAGCAAAATTAAGAATAGAATAAATTAAATTTGAATTAAGTAATTAGTTTGCAAAATTGCCCACTCGGTCGTAACAAGCACGTTTTATATACGATAGATATATATGTAAATGTCGAATAAAAGTATAAATAATTACCTATTTCTCAACAAAATAATAAATAGTTGGCTGGCTACTATCCATAATGTACCTACCAGATGTTCGTTTAGAGGATATTGTGATTTAAAACTGTCAAATTAATATCATAGTTTAGATTTACTAACTTCCAAGCGGTGAAGTCAACTGTAAACATAAAATTTTTCAACAAATATTTTACTCCAAATACGTTGCATTATTCTCATTTTGGATTTAAATTTTAGAACCATTGAAAAATAAATTGTGCGATTTGTTTGACACTCGTGAGACAATAAGTTTTTTTGCACATATACAAAAACTAAATTAATTTTTTATAGTTTGAATGGGGCCATCTGGAAATTGTGGATTTCCCAGAGGTGCCAATAACCGTGGTACACCGAGATTCTTTCAAATTACTTCAAAAACAAGAGACGAAATCTACAAGATTCTTCTACTAAGTACTTCAAACACAAAGTAAAAGGGTTCCCCGAAGTTCTTTTAAACTACTTCAAAAACAAAGTAAAAGAGGCCCCTAAGTTTTTTTCACACTCTTCAAAAACACCAAGAGAGGTTTTCAAGATTCTTTCAAGCTATGTCAAAAAACAAAATGAAAGGGCTCCCCTAGATTTTTTAAAACAAATGTGATTCCCGGAATTATTTCAAACTAGATACTTCGAAAACCAGACACAAGGAATTCCTGAGATTCTTTCAAACTACTTCAAAAACAAAATAAAAGGAGTTTAGGAGATTCTCGCAATCTACTTCAAAAACTAGACACAAGAGATCCCAGAGATTCTTTCAAACTACATCAAAAACTAGACATAAGAAGTCCCCGAGATTCTTTTAAACTACTTGAAAAACAAAACAAAAGTGATTCCTGAGATTCTTTCAGACTATATACTTCAAAAACCAGGCACAAGGGGTCCTCGAGATTCTTTCAAACTACTACAAAAAATAGGCACAAGAGATCCCAGAGATTCCATCAAACTACTGCAAAAACTAGACACAATGGCCCAGGAGATTCTTTTAAACTACTTCAAAAACAAAACAAAAGTGATTCTCGAGATTCTTATAAACTACATACTTCAAAAAGCAGACACAAGGGCTCCTCGAGATTCTTTCAAACTACTTCAAAAACTAGGCACAAGGGGTCCGCAAGGTTCTTTCAAACTACTTCAGAAACTAGGTACAAGAGGTCCCAGAAATTCTTCCAAACTACTTCAAAAACTACACGCAAGAGGTCCTCGAGATTCTTTCAAACTACTTCAAAACTAGACAAAAGGATTCCCCGAGATTCTTTCAAGCTACTTCGAAAACAAAACAAAGGTAATTCCTGAGATTCTTTCAAACTACATACTTCAAAAACCAGATGCAAGTGGTTCTTGGGATTCTTTCAAACTACTTCAAAAATTAGACATAAGGGATGCCCGAGATTCTTTCAAACTACTTCAAAAACTAGGCGCAAGTGGGCCCCGAGATTCTTTCAAACCACTTCAAAAACTACACGCAAGAGGTCCTCGAGATTCTTTCAAAATACTTCAAAACTAGACAAAAGGATTCCCCGAGATTCTTTCAAGCTACTTCAAAAACAAAACAAAGGTAATTCCCGAGATTCTTTCAAACTACATACTTCAAAAACCACATGCAAGTGGTTCTTGGGATTCTTTCAAAGTACTTCAAAAATTAGACATAAGGGGTGCCCGAGATTCTTTCAAACTAGTTCAAAAACTAGACGCAAGTGGGCCCCGAGATTCTTTCAAACTAGTTCAAAAACAAAACACAAGAGATCATTGAGATTCTTTCAAATTACTTCAAAAACTAGACATAAGAGGTCTCCCAGATTCTTTTAAACTACTTCAAAAACAAAATAAAAGTGATTCCCGAGATTCTTTCAGACTATCTACTTCAAAAATCAGACACAAAGAGTCCTCGAGATTCTTTCAAACTATGTACTTCAAAAACTAGGCACAAGAGGTCCCAGAAATTCTTTTAAACTACTTCAAAAACTAGACACAAAGTGTCTCCGAGGTTCTTCCAAATTATTTTAAAAATAAGACACACAGAGTGCCCGAACTTTTTTTAAATTACTTCAAAAACTCCACACAAGGGGTCCCCGAGATTCTGTGAAACTACTTCAAAAACTACACACAAAAAGTTCCCGAGATTCTTTTAAACTACTTCAAAAATAAACAAAAGTGATTCTCGAGATTCTTACAAAGTACTTACTTCAAAAAGCAGACACAAAGGGTCCTCGAGATTTTTTCAACTACTTCAAAAACTAGGCACAAGGGATCTGTGAGGTTTTTTCAAACTACTTCAAAAACACCAAGAGAGATCTTCAAGATTTTTTCAAACTATGTCAAAATACAAAACAAAAGGGGTCCCGGAGATTCTTTCAACTACTTCAAAAACTAGACGCCAGAGGTCCCTGAGATTTTTTTAAACTACTTCAAAAACTAGACACAAGGGGTCTACGAGGTTCTTTTAAACTACTTCAAAAACTAGATCCAAGAGGTCCCCGAGATTCTTTCAAACTACTTCAAAAACTAGACACAAGGGCTTCACGAGATTCTTTTAAACTACTTCAAAAACAAAACAAAAGTAATTCCAGAGATTCTTACAAACTACATACTTTAAAAAGCAGACACAAGGTGTCCTCGAGATTCTTTCAAACTACTTCAAAAACACAAGAGGGATCTTCAAGATTCTTTAAAATTATGTCAAAATACAAAACAAAAAGGGCCCCCGAGATTCTTTCAACTACTTCAAAAACTCGACACAAAGGATCCCCGAGATTCTTTCAAACTACTTCAGAAACTAGACGTAAGAGGTCCCCTAGATTCTTTTAAACTACTTCAAAAACAAAACAAAGTGATTCCCGAGATTCTTTCAGACTATCTACTTCAAAAACCAGAAACAAGGGGTCGTCGACATTCTTTCAAACTACTTCAAAAAGTAGGTACAAGAGATCCCAGAGATTCTTTCAAACTACAGCAAAAACTAGACTCAAGAGGTCCCACAGATTCTCTCAAACTACTTTAAAAGTAAGACACACAAGGAGTGCCCGAGCTTCTTTCAAATTACTTCAAAAACTCCACACAAGGGGTCCCTGAGATTCTGTGAAACTACTTCAAAAACTACACACAAAGAGTCCCCGAGATTCTTTTACACTACTTAAAAAATAAACAAAAGTGATTCTCGAGATTCTTACAAACTACTTCAAAATTACCAAAAGGGGTTCCCAAGATTCTTTCAAACTATGTCAAAAAACAAAAGAAAAGGGATCTACGATTTTCTTTCAAACTACTTCAGGAAGTAGGCATAAGGGGTCCCAGAGATTCTTTCAAACTACTTCAAAAACGAAATAAAAGTGGTCCCGAGATTCTTTCAAACTACTTCAAAAACTCGAAACAGGGAGTTCCCAAGATTCTTTCAACTACTTAAAAAATTAGGCACAAGGGGTTTCGCGAGGTTCTTTCAAACTACTTCAAAAACAAAATAAAAGTGATTCCCGAGATTCTTACAAACTATATACTTCAAAAAGCAGACACAAGGGATCCCCGAGATTCTTTCAAACTACTTCAGAAACTAGACGTAAGAGGTCCCCTAGATTCTTTTAAACTACTTCAAAAACAAAACAAAGTGATTCCCGAGATTCTTTCAGACTATCTACTTCAAAAACCAGAAACAAGGGGTCGTCGACATTCTTTCAAACTACTTCAAAAAGTAGGTACAAGAGATCCCAGAGATTCTTTCAAACTACAGCAAAAACTAGACTCAAGAGGTCCCACAGATTCTCTCAAACTACTTTAAAAGTAAGACACACAAGGAGTGCCCGAGCTTCTTTCAAATTACTTCAAAAACTCCACACAAGGGGTCCCTGAGATTCTGTGAAACTACTTCAAAAACTACACACAAAGAGTCCCCGAGATTCTTTTACACTACTTAAAAAATAAACAAAAGTGATTCTCGAGATTCTTACAAACTACTTCAAAATTACCAAAAGGGGTTCCCAAGATTCTTTCAAACTATGTCAAAAAACAAAAGAAAAGGGATCTACGATTTTCTTTCAAACTACTTCAGGAAGTAGGCATAAGGGGTCCCAGAGATTCTTTCAAACTACTTCAAAAACGAAATAAAAGTGGTCCCGAGATTCTTTCAAACTACTTCAAAAACTCGAAACAGGGAGTTCCCAAGATTCTTTCAACTACTTAAAAAATTAGGCACAAGGGGTTTCGCGAGGTTCTTTCAAACTACTTCAAAAACAAAATAAAAGTGATTCCCGAGATTCTTACAAACTATATACTTCAAAAAGCAGACACAAGGGGTCCTCGTGATTCTTTCAAACTACTTCAAAAACACCAAGAGGGATCTTCAAGATTCTTTCAAACTATGTCAAAATACAAAACAAAAGGGCCCCCGAAATTCTTTCAAACTCTGTACTTCAATAACAAAGCAAAAGGGATCCCCAAAATTCTTTAAATGTATACAAGAGGATTATAAAAGATGGTACTTCAAGTTGGCGTTGAAATCTAACGAATTTTGCCGCCTCGTTGTGATGTTGGACGACTTTTCATCGCCTGCTGTAAATATCAGTCTAACTACTTTTTAAAAATATTTTCCGTATGGTTGCTACCTGATAGACAGGCAAACAGTATTTCATTTCGTACAATAGATCTGCTACTTATCTCAACGAAGCGGCAAATTCTTTCGAAAAATTCAGTGATAGATTTTCAAAAACTAATGTAACTTGATGTAACAAATCTTATTGAAAAACAGGCATGTTTATTGTTATTGAAATTAGCGACACTTACAAATGTCTATTTTTTTGTGTATATAATGGATTTTTATTTGAACATGTAGCTGTCTGCTTCGAATTTTTTTAGGAAAAACATAAAAACAATTTTTATGCAAGAAACTCTAAACATAGGTACACTTTTTCGAAAGTTATATTTATTTTTAAGTTTTTGAAAAAAAGGCTGAGTTCCTTGTATATTTCATTCAATGTTTTTTATATCTTAGGGCTGTTACTGCGCTTAAGCAGAGAAGAAATAACAAAACTCAATGTCTGTGTCAATTTATTTAAATTTCCGTAGAAAAACTTACTTTTATACTTGTGGTTTATCAATCCACCCTTAATTTTTACCTTAGACATCCAGTTTTTTTACCCCGTACATTGTAAATTATGAATGCAATAATTTTAATGTTACTATAAAAAAAAAGGAGTAAAGCAGTTTATTTTATTGAAAATTTTAGAATACAGTACTGTTATTCTTATTATTAAGATTACACTGTACCGATTAAAATTGACATACTTGTCCTTGCTACAATGTTCACGATGTCATCACAAAATTTCACCATATAGCCCAAATATTTTTCAGATGACGTCATTCATTTCGGAAAGGGAGGGAAAACCATTTGTGATATTCCCAAAAAGTATACAAAAGTAAATTCCAATTTTGACGTATTGAGTTTTCGTATCCTGCGAATTATCAGGCTTCAAGATGGAATTGGTCATTCGTCAAAATAACTTTTACATAAATGTCACTATCGCCCGATAACTAAAACATGATTTTTACATTACACGAGTCATGGTTATAGCAGACCATTATTTTTTAAACGTCTTGAATTGAAACACTCTGTCAGTAGAGATCAACTTAGCAACTCAGCCTATTTAAAACCTGACTACTAATTGCTTGTTAACGTGTGTTTGATTGTCTAAAACAGTAAATAATTAGTTTTATGTTGAATATTTCAAAAAGTTTGTCAAAAAAAATATAATTACGGCGCAGTTCGAAAGTCACCTAAAAAAGCAACTTTATTGTTTTTGGTTGTTTATCGTTGACGTGTTTGTCGAAGATAGGACAACTAAATAAAATAAAACAAAATTCCAGAGTCACACTAATTAACGTTTTTAATTGCTCGCCTTGTTTGTGTCCACCCGTCAAACTAAAAAATCCCCAACCGCAAGCTCGCCTCCTTGTTTTTGGAATCGCCAATCCGCCTATTTAAAATCCCAAGGAATGTGCGACAAATCTGTCAAAACCTCTGTTAACGAGCATTTAAGTGTCGCTTCTTCCAGCCCGTCGAGATCAAACGCGCCGCCATGTTAAACAAAACCCTAACCAAATAAAATAATTCCAATTATTTGTTTTCTATCGCACTACGAAGGTGATTTCCTATTTCAGTCGGCGCAGACAAGTTGGCTCTGGAACTCCCACCCTTCGCTTAGAACTTGTTCTTCCAACGGTGAGCTGATTTTGCGTCGGACTGCAGTCGAGTCGTGACGTTAGCTCAAATTGGGGTTGCAGCGCTCCGATCCAGGGCCGCACTCGCGATATTTCCGCAATCTGCCTCACGTGTTCCACCCTGTGCAGTGCTTGTGAGTTCGTGGGAGGTTTTCTTTGCGTTTTCGCGACTGCTCGGTTGGTTTTGTGTTTGTGTTGATTTTTTCAGTTTTGTTTTGTTTTCGCGAGGACGCGCTTTTGGGTTATTATGGCTTACAACGACACATGAGACCAGGTGCGTATTCGCGGAATTGTGTATTTTTTGAATGATTTATCGGGTAACAGGTTGTTATCGCGGGGTAATTATTGTAATTTTAGTTGGTCTTGTGGTGAATGCAAATTCATGTTTTATGGTTATGTGGACGGAAGAAAATATTTAATTACGTAATTACTCCATCGGTTGTAATTAATGCGTCATCTTTTATTCAGAGTGGTCTGTCAAGTAGACTGGTCGTGGTAAAAAATGGGTGGTATTTATTAGAAGTGATTTGTACGAGTTGTGTAGATTTTTTCGAGCACTAATTAATATTACATATCTAGGAATTATTGACAAATGTAATACGTGTTTTGCCCCTTTTTGTCATCATCAGAGTGCATCTCGGTTACTGCCGCACTCGCGTATTTATTTTATCATTTTCATTCCAGTAGTCACTATTTCTTGTTTAATTTTAAAAAATAACTACTAAACTGTTTACTAATGTGGTGATAATTTTGTGTCGTTCGAGTTCGAAACTGGAATATGTTCAAAATAAACGAAAAAGTTCCATGCCGCTGTTCGTCATTCGACAGATTATTTAAAACTGATGTCATGGTTCGTTTCACATTGCATAAATAAATTTAAATTTATTACTTATTTAAATTGGAGCAGTTTTTTGTTAAAACATTACTCATTTATCTCCGTCTTTATTTTTCGAGTTTTGACTAAAGCCGACGAAAAACATTTAAAAACGTCCTTGTGTTATTAGGAACACACTATATACATTAAAAACTTCATTCACAAAGTCGAAATTGTAAAATTATGCACACAAATAAAACAGCAAATTATAAATTAACTATTCTAATTGGTGTGCTAATTCCGGAGTCGATTTAAATTTTAAATGTTTCTCACTTCGCTCCAATATTTTCTGAAATAAAAGATTTTCAAAATTGGTCTTATTGAATTCAACTGTAAATTTAAATATATTTTTTTTCCAAAATGTGAACGAGGTGTCCCGTTTTCGACTGCCTGTCTGTCTACAGTCTGTTCACATATAATCTCCGAAATTAACAAACAAGTGGTTTGGAATTTTAATATTTAAAATATTTACTAATAATAATAATGGCGTTTTTGTGTTCATTAACAAGAATATAGGTTATGTGGCTGGACTTAGAAAATTAGATTATATTAAGTCAACAAGAATCAAGTCAAAACACACTTGAATAGTTTTGATTCATTTTCAAATGAACAAGGAGCCTTAAAAATTTGGTCTAAAGATTTGTAAGTATATACTATAAATTTATACTTTCATTATTCTTAAAAATGTGTGTAATTATCTGCTAAAGTTGGTAATCTAAACAACGTTCCTGAGATTCTTTCCTGCGCACTTTTCTGAAAACAACATAAAAATATATTTATTGGTGTCCCTGAGAAGCTAAATAATTAAGAAAAATTTTGTTTACCTTTACAGGGACATTTGAACAATTATTATAAATAAAAACTAAATTATTATTAATGTCAGAATTTATTATTTTCTAAAAAAAATTAATCTTGAAAATAATGATAAATACTAAAGTCGGAGAGCCCAGAAATCTGAACGTGCTCGCTGCGCTCGCCCTCTAAAGGTTTTTTTTTTTAATTTAACGAGTCTAGAGATTATAACAAAACCTGGAGATTCGTTGAGATTTTTTCTTGATCACTTTTATGACTCTAAGCCGCCAGAGAAAAACGCATAGAATGCGAGCGCAGCGAGCACGTTTAGGTGTTATTAAAAATTACTCGTCTGTGCCCCTGCGAAGCTAAATTATTAATGAGAGAATCTTTTATTTGTCTAAAAATGGTGAATCCTAAAAATGTATAAAATTAATTTATTGGTGTTCCTGGGAAGCTAAATTATTATTAAGCAAAATTTTGTCGTTATTTAAAAATGTGAGTTTAAAGACTGTGATCATTAATAATATCCGTGGGACTGAACAAGGCCGAAAATGAAGTTGGAATGTGAGCGCAGCGAGCACGTTTAGGTGCAATTTAAAAAAATATTTATTGGTGTCCCCGAGAAGCTAAATTATTGAAAAGTTTTGATGTTATCTAAAAATGTGAGTTTAAAAACTGTTTGTTATTCTTAATAAGATCCGACTGAAATACTCTGAACGTGCTTGCCAAGCTCGCATTTTAGAAAGTGATTTTTTTAGAGTAATTTACTCACAAGGAGATGTCGACAATTATTATGGTTATGAATGAAAACTAAATTATGATTAATGTGAGAATTTATTAGTTAAAAAAAAAGTAAATCTTGAAAATGTTGGTAAATACGAAAGTCGGAGAAATCCCAGAAATCTAAACGTGCTCGCTGCGCTCGCCTTCTAAAGTTGTTTTTCGTATCACTGTCAAGCTAAATTATTAAAAAATGTGTATCGTCTAGAAACAATCCTAAAATAGTAAAATGGTGCCGAATAAAACCTAAAAGTTCTTTTTGTAAAGTTTAGTCTCAGAATTGTTCAAGAAAGAGAAAGTTGTTTGGATTCACTTGTAATAATAGATCTCTATATTTAAAAAAAAACACCCCTAGAATGCGAGCGCAGCGAGCACGTTTAGGTGTCATTAAAAATTCCTCGTCGGTATCCCTGAGAAGCTAAATAATTAAAAAATGTATATCGTCTAGAAACCATCATAAAATATTAAAATTCTGCCGAATAAAACCCTCTCTTTTCTTAGCGGGTGGGTGGGCGGGGTTAAACATCGTCATGGACGGGAGAAATATTAACCAAAAGTTTTATTAATAGTTATTGTGATAGTGAATGTGTTGTTTATTTGTTAAACATATTGTAAATTTTAAAATCATTATAACTCCAGCAAAATGTGAGAATTTTTTTACTATTTTTCCCAGACTCATCGTTTGATTGTTAAGAGCGTAGCGGAGAGTTAAGCGGGCATTCTCCAGACACCCGGTATAACACCAAAAAAAAAAAACGCGATAAATTAGTAGTAATAATATGGTACGTTTCACCCACATTTTGTTTTTTAATACATATATTATAAAGTACTTAAGACGAATTTTGACGTTGAAGTGTTTTTTTTTTATAAAAATCTCAAAGTTTGCGGTTTCTATATGGAGCCGCTGGAATCATATTCAAAATCTTTGGAAATCCACAACTTTTTAAAAAAATTAACCTTAACAATGGGGTAAAATACAAAAAAAATACATTAAGAAAACTTCACGACAAAAATTGACTTTTTTTATTTTATATATGGTGTTTGCCAAAATCAGTCTTATCTGAGCAAGTGCTAGCTCCGCCCACCCGCCCCTGTTTTCTCAGAGGATATGTGATTTGCCAAATTAAGACTTATCTTAGCAAGTACTAGCCAGTCCTACCCTCTGAGAAAATAAAGGGCGGGTGGGGGAGCTATTACTTGCTAACATAGGTCTTATTTTGGCAAATCACCTATCCTCTGAGAAAATAGGGGGCGGGTGGGTGGGGCTAGTACTTGGTAAGATAAAACTGAATGTGGCAAATGACATTTTCTTTGGGAAAATAGGGGCGGGTGTTTGTTAAGATAAAACTGATTTTTCCCCAAAATTTGCCAGTTTGCTTAAAAACATGATAAAGTACGTTAAAATCTAAAATGTCTAATAATCCAATTTTTTTTAACTTTGGATTTTTCAATTTTTCAATTTCTCCTCTTCGAAAATTTTCAAGTTTTCGTTTCCTCGTTTTTTCGATTTGTAATTTTTGAATTTTGTAATTGGTAAAAATTACTCGTCGCTATTCCTGAGAAGCTAAATTATTAACAAAAAAATGTACCTCGTCTACAAAAGTGGATTTTAAGTGGATATGTCACCCACCTTTTATTTTCTTAGAGGGTGTGCCATTTGCCAAAATCATTATTATCTTACCAAGTACTAGCCCCGCCCACCCACCCCTATTTTCTCAGACGATATGTTATTTGCCAAAATCAGACTTTTTTTGATTTTGAATTTTTGGATTTTTTTTTAGTTCTTTCAGTTTTCCAGTTTGCCGATTTTGGAGTTTTTTGAATTTTCAATTTTTTAGTTCAAAGTCAAAAATAAGAAAAAGACGACCAAAAAACGGGTTAATAGCACCGATAAAAAAGGCTACAAAAAATGCCAAAAAAAAAACTATTAAAAAGTTCATAAAAATTACTAGAAAAACCTTGCAAAAAAAAAACAAAAAAGAAGACGAAAAAAATTATTACCAAAAAAGCGATAAAGAGTTTTTACAAGATTAATACAGGCAAAATCAGTCTTATATTAGGAAGTACTAGCCCCGCCCACCCGCCCGGGTGGTCGGGGCTATCACTTGTTCAGATAAGACTGATTTAGGCAAACGCTATACCCTCTGAGAAAATGGAGGGGGGGTGGGCGGGGCTAGTATTTGTAAAGGTAAAACTCATTTTGGCAAATGACATAAACTCTGAGAAAATAAGGGGTGGGTGTGGGCGGGGCTACCACTTACTCAGATAAGACTGATTTTGCGCCTATTAAACTTGTAAAAACTTGAGACGCCCTGTATAAGCAAATTTAAAAAATATAAATTATGTATTAAAACTCATAATTTTTTGCACATTTAAGATATGACATACAGCAATATTTTGAAGTGACGTCATCAATTTTTTAGGGGGATGAGCAAATATAAAAAAATTATCATGCTTATGATGCTTTAAAATATGTCCAAGTTTTCAAAGAATTCGGTTTTGCAGCTCTTGATGAAATCGGTAAAATAGATTCCCGCCTTCAATTTTCAATTTTTTTGAGACACCTGTATAAGCAAATCCAAAAAATATTAATGGAATGATAAATCACAAGTAAAAATTCATCATATTTTGCACATTTTAGTTAGGATTTATACGGCCAAATTTTGCGCTGACGGCATCAATTTTTTGGAGGGGATAAGCAAATATATTTTGACTAGGTTTTATTAAAAACATTGGTCTATAGTTAGATATACAATTTTCAGGAAAATGAAAATGTTATGGAGTCATGATATTTTGCCTATTTGAAATAGGATTTGTTCCAAATT